TTAGTCTTATCTCTAATCGAGTAATTACGGGTGTCTAATACATTGCTACATCTTTACCCTTATAAAACCGTAGGTAGTAGTATACGTATAAGCTTTTTACCGTTCCTTTAGTACGATTATTCTATATAAGACAATAATACTCTCGTATTAATTACTTCTTTACCGGCGTTAGAACACTAAGGAAGCGAATTAAATAGCGAGATAGCGAGGCTATTATCGAATTTACAATTAAAACCCTCCCTTTAAGAAAGAGATATATCTTTAGCTATATATCTGCCCTGTCTATATACTTTTAGACAATTTTCTACTAAAAAGTAGTTAATTAGTCCTCGGTATCGGTGCCTACTAGAACGCCTAAATAGGTATACGGATTAGACGTAGATACTACTTAAACGTTTTTAATATTAAGCTTAGGGAGGTTCCTAATCTTAAGAAGGAATAATTTTTGCTAATTTACTTTAGCCCCTAATCTAGCATTATACTAATCGAGGATCCTTACTACCGTATTAGCTTCCGATTAATTACGGATAATTATCTAAGTATTATCGGCGAAAAGACCTATCTTAATCCTTATACCCCTAACGTAAACTCCTTTAATTTAGTCTTCTTAGAGGATTATTTGCGCGAGGGCCTTAATTATAACGATAAACAATATGCAGCTAATAGGGTCTTCTTAGCGGATACTATATCGGACCTATATAAAATCGCTAAGATAACTATTAATAACTATACGTATACGAGTATCGGTATAGATAACTTAGAGCTATTTAATAAAAGTAGTTAGAATTCCTAGCTTTGCTAGCGCTTCCTATAGGTAAGTATAGTTTACTCTATCGTAAGCTTTCTCTTAGTTAAGGAATAGAATAGCTATACTATGCTCTTTAAGGGGCGGTAATCCGTTCGCACCTAGTACGTATCTATTAATTAAATATTAGACGGTCCGAATATTGTTATTAATTAATCTACCTAGTAATTAGGCGGTCTAGTAGTTGCTAATTACTATAAATAGTGCCTTAATAAGGCGCTACATTAACACTTCGGTATAGATCTTATAATCTACGTTTATAATTAATAAGGGACGATAGTTCTTTAGGTTAACCTTTTCCCCCTTTTTAAAGAGTAAGGTTAATACGCCCTCTATCTATCCTTCGGGTATAACCCTAATACTATTAATTTAGTTAAAGACCTAAGCGAGTTTAATATATACTATTAGAGTATAATCCTTATTAGGATCCTTATCGTATCTCGTATATTTAGCCTTATCCCCTCTTCGCTTCTTACCTAATCCTAGGTCCCTTTCCGGTTTAATTATACGGACTAATAACTTATAAAGTTTATAAGGCAAGCTATTAATACCGGGCGACTTCCCTATAGCCGTACGCCTAATTAATGCTAGCACCTCCTTAGGATCGATATCCTTTATAAGGCTCGCTATAGTTTCTCTCGGAACCTCTTTACGTAATAAATTTAGTAGGATCTGTCGCGTATTTAGGTTAGACGGCTTTATACTATATAGTTCTATATAGAACTCGGCCGCGGTCTTAACTAGCTCTTTAGGTTCTGTTTAAATTACTCTATTTCTATTACGTAGTCCTTTAATTAAATCTAATATAAAGGTTTTAGCGCGTATATAGAACTACTTTATCGGCTTCTCGTTATATAGGAGGTTCTTCGCGTAAGTATTATAGGCGTATGCCTTATATTACTACTCTATAAGGCACTACTACTAAACTTCGATAGCCGTAATTTAATGTTTAAGCTTATAGTTAGGGAGGAATAAGGAAGTAAGTTTAGAATAAAAGTAGAATTTTTAGCCTTTTTAGTATAGCGGCTAGGCGTAGGTAGCGCGTAATATATAAGTAGACGACGCTTACGATAGTAGTAAGAGAGCCGCCGGTTACTCGGATATCTCCTCCTTCTCGTCGTCTTCCTCCTTCTCCTCGGTAGTAGCCGGTAGGAGAGCCTTAACCTAAGATCCCCTATCGTTAGAGAAAGCGGCGGAAGCCGTACCTAAAGTAGCGACTAAGGTACTTATTAGGCGGAGCTCCTAGAGATAGTATTAGTATAGTACGAGAATAGTATATAGAACGTAGGGGTTTATAACTTACTTCGTACTTTAGTTCGAATATAGCGCGGCCTACGGCTACCTCGTTCTAGGCCTAGCGAAGGCTAGTATAGGCGATTCTATTACCCTATACTTCGCCTACGCCTCCCTTACGAGAGATAGTAAGCGAGCCGACGGACTTCCCGTAGTTCGCCTACTTTATCTTATCGGAGCGCTTAATATCGCGAGCGACTAAGTTTATACGGCGTTAGAGGACCTACTACTCGGCTAAGCCTACTACGCTAGCGGTATACTCCTCGCGAAGCGATAGTATAACCTTCGCCTAGCGTACTAGGTTAGGAAACTCGAGCGTTACGTAGTAGTAACTACTAAGAATATTATTAGACTCGTAACCGAACCGTAGGTAGAAAGTAAGGACTTACTACTCCTTATAGCGGAAGTACTTAACCTTAGCGCCGACGGTTATAACGCCGTCGTAATCGGGCTTAGTAGCTAGATTAGACGGTTAGTAAGCGAACCGTAAGGTAACCGTACGAGAATATACGGTTAGCCGCGTACGGTAAGTAGCGCTTATAGATAGTAGGGGTAGCGCCCTACGTATCGGCCTTAGTACGAGGCGGGGCATTCGGTACGATAGCGCGGGTAGCTTTTAGCGGTATAGTAGCGGTCGGCTTACTAGTAGCGTAAGAGGGGTATAAGGGTATTAAGAGGGTCGCGGGAGGTAAGCTAGTAATATAATAGGGCTTACTATACGCTTAAGGTAGTAGTACGAGTAGTATAAGGTAGTATCGCTTAAAGTAAGAGAAGAGCTTTAAGCGTAAGGAAAAACTTTAAGATAATATACGCGTACCTACTACTATAATAACGCGGGTTATCCTACTAGTAATATACCTACGTAACTACCTACGCGACGAAAGATAATAGAAACCTATAAAAATATCTAGAAATAGACGAAAATAGTAGGTAGACCGAAAGGCTAAAGCTAAAGGCGTATAAGCTATACGTACTCGACTTAAGAAAAGTCTAAGAATAGAAGTACCTACGAGTACGGCGAGGCGGTATAGAGACGCACGTATATCGTAGTTAGAAATTAAGAGGCTTATAGGAGCCGAGACGTCTCCCTTTAAGGAGGGGGATAATTATTAGGAATTACTAAGGCTTCGGCTATAGCTAGACGTAAAGTTAGACGACTACTAAGCGTACCGGCGAGCGCCGCGTACGTAACGTATAGTCGCACCTTAAGAGGCGCGTAGGCGCCTCGCTATTAATAAGCAAGAATTAGTTTTATTACTAGTTAGACGACTAGTTAGCATTCTATATACTACGACATCTTTTATATATCTTATAGTACCGTATAGTACGTGTACTCTCTTAGGCAATTCTCTACGAGACTTAGCCTCTAATACGGATTAGACTCGGTCTTTACGGGTAGCTTTTACCTTCTCCTTCTTATTCGACTTTCGACGCGCCTTTATATTAACTTTAGTAACTTTGTCTTCGATATCGTTAGCCTAGTTAAGTATTAGTTTGTCTATATTTTCCTAAAAGCTAAGTAGCTATCGGGTATACTAGTTAGTACTTAAGTTAGGTTTATCTATAAGGATATCGTCGTTAGATAATATAAACTTATATTCCCTATAAGCATCCCTTAGTTAATTCTTACGAGAGTATCTATTAACGTGTTTAAGGTCGGGGGAGTGCCTCTTTAATAAAGATTAAACGCCCTTTAGTATAGCTATCGTATATACGTAGTTAGCTATAGGCTTATAAATTAGTATTACTTTTCGGATATACTTCTTTATTAACTATAGGGGCAGTTTACGTTATTTAGAACCTATTATAGGGGCTACTCTAACTCCGAAAGGTCTAGTTTTAGTTAAAGGTATATTCGAACTCGATTAGTTATAAAATAAGGAGCGGTATATAACCGAAAGGTTATATAGGCTAGCTTATTTATAACCGATAGGCGGACWAGCCTTTAATCGCTACCGGCCTAATACTTAGTAAGTTCTACGTACTATTCTAGTTTTAATTAGCCGTTACTTAGCCGATCCTATAATCTCCGCTATCTACGTTATAAATAGCCCCTATTATAATACCGAAAGGCCGAAAGGCCGAGCGGAAAGAGGGCGGTAAGGCTACTAATAGAGCGGAGGGGGGGGAGAGTATAAGGTAGGCGGCGGCGCTTACTATTAATACCGTTCGGTCCGTTAGTTCCTACTATTATATTAGTTTAGGTCGTATTATCCGTTTTACTTAGTAAGGTTTAAAACTTAGCTAATTAATCCCTTAGAGCGTCCGCGGAGAGGCGATAACGTACGCTTGGAGCGGAAGAGTCGATAAGCAGGCTCTTTCCGCCCTATAACTTCGGTCTAGACGGTAGCAACACCGCCGTCCTTTCCCCCGCCACAGGGTCTGGACCTCACTTCACTCACGTTCCTTCCTGCTTTCTTTTGCGCTAGTTAGGTACCCATTCCACATTTCACACCACACGTCTAAAGCGCTAGATACTCGGACTATCCCGCATTCCCACATCACGCGATGGATTCGGTCGACTAAACGCTGTCACGATGGCCTCGAGATAGCGCTGTTGACGACATCTCAACATGTGCAGCCCGCTACAGACTCGTTCGGACGGCAGCGTGAACGTCCGCGTGCTAATTGATAGGACTGAACTTTGCCCGAACGCATCGGAGATTACTCACGAGACGACTCCCATGCCGCGCAGCCAATATGCATACTGCACTGAAGCTGCGGTCAAGCTCTCTCAAGCCTCGAGGCCCTGTGGAATGTATTCTGCCGTGACTACCCAATATTTCGGGCTGGCTGAGGAATGCTTATGTAGGTCGCTCTCGTCAACAACGCGGGTATGTTCCTTTCATCTGTTGGCGTCTTTTTGTTACGACGAGCAGCTCGCCGTCTGTACTGCCCCGTCATGTTTTCTTCGCCACTTGCTTCGAGGGCTGCAGTTGGCCTTCTATTCACTGCTCTCTCATGTGCTACCGCACAATCTATTTCTGGGGGAAAGCTTCTAACTGGAGGTGGGGCGCCTGGCGCTGCACCATACGAGCTGGTGGACGACTACGACCCATCTGTCTTTTTCTCCAAATTCAACTACTACGACAGCTACGATCCCACCTATGGCCACGTTCAATATGTCAATGAGTCTGTTGCAGTGCAGAATCGCTACACCTACTATTCGGAAGAGGGCAATTCGGCTGTCATCAAGCCAGACACCATTGGCATTTGGCCCAATGGCGGCAAGGGAAGGCCCAGTGTTCGGATCACCAGTGACAATACCTACAATCATGGACTCTTCATCATGGACATGAAGCATATGCCCACGGGTTGCGGTACGTGGCCAGCGTACTGGCTACTCGGGCCTGATTGGCCGCGCACTGGCGAGATAGGTAAGTTGGAGATCGATACTTTCCGAGTGCGCGAGGACTAATGGACCTCGTCGTAAAGACATCATCGAAGGCACCAACACTGCGGAATTCAACACCATATCTCTCCACTCCACGGCAGAATGTACCATTGCCGGCAGTGGTCAGACTGGATCGTTTGAGAATAGCATTTGCGATGTGAATCAAAATGGCAATTCCGGATGCGGTTCTCAACTKACTAATTTCACCGCTCTGCCCAACAACTACGGCGTGAGTTTCAACGACAATAAGGGAGGTGTATACGCCACTGAGTGGACCTCAGAGTATATCAAAACCTGGTGGTTCCCGAGGCAATCAATCCCGAGCAGCATCACATCTGGAGCCCCTGACGTTGCAGATTTCGGCATTCCAGCCGTCAACGCGCAAGGAAGCTGTGATTTCGACGCTCGCTTCCAAAACATGAGCGTCATTCTCAATATTGATTTCTGCGGAGCTTGGGCTGGCAACGTCTACTTCAACAGCTATCCCAACTGTCCACAATCAGCAAACGCCGCATCCGACCCAATCGGTTCATGTGTTGACTATGTCGGCAACAATCCCGACAAGCTGGGGGAAGCGTACTTTGAGATTTACTCGTTCAAAGTCTATCAGATGCCCAGCGACGTTATTCCGACATCTTCATACAGCACAAGCCTCTCGTCAGTCACACCAGTAGGAACCTCGAACAGTATCCCGCTTGGTATGGGTGCCACCACATCGACTATATCCTCCGCTCCGCCTTTCACTGGTTCCGTGGCCGGCCCAGCAGCGACGAATCCCCCGCAAGCTTGCCCGCAGTACGACCAAAGTATAATTTTGAACAGCAATGGCCAGCAAGATCTGATATACTGCGGTTTTGACTGGACTGGTCCGAATCTTGGCATCCCAGATACAGTGGCCAGCTTCGATGTATGCTTGGTTCTCTGCGACAACACTGCAGGATGTGAGTCTTTGACCTACACTGGTGGCAACGGTTCGGGACTGTGCTATCTTAAGCCCGTTGGCGCTACTTTGGTCGAATTCCCAAACGTCAATGCTGCAAGAAGGGTCGATGGCGCGGCGTCTGGCTCATCCTCTACACGGGGAACTTCCACCGCGTCGGCGTCATCTTCCACCACACCGGCATCATCTTTCATATCTTCTGCGGCCGTTACATCTGTTTCACCCACCACAACAAGCGCCTCTGGAAGTACTGCCACCGTTGCTGCTTCGGTGGCTACCTGTCCCCAAAACAACCTAAACCATGTGATCGACAACTGTGGAGTTGAATATATCATGAATTGCGGGACTGATACTTCATCTGGATCTTTTGTTGGTGTTCAAGTGGCATCTGTTGGCGCTTGCTTCGAGCTATGTTCAAGTGGAGCACGAGGGGCCTGCTCAGCCTTTGGATACGAGACTGATTCGAGATTTTGCTATCTCAAGCAAGGAACAAACGAGCATTTTCAAGATGTCCGTCCTGGTGTGATTGGTGCCATCCAGGTCGCTTATCTCAACTCGCCAAATGCGCCAACAAATTCGGTGAGCAGGACTTGCATTGCAAGCACTGTATCATTCCCGTCTTCCACCGGGACAACTGCAGGCGGCTCGACGGCATCAAGCAGTTCTTCTACCTTGAGTCTAACAGCCAGGTCCGTATCAGGTTCGCCAACTTCTGCAGTCGTTCCAAGTAGTTCTGCAGCTGGAAGTTTGTCCACGAGGAGCTCATCTGCTCCCACAACCAGCATCTCGTCCGCTGTCAGCAGTGTCCTCTCTACGACATCGTCGCGAACATCAATTTCATTCTCGGCAACCCTTGGAACATCATCTGCACCGTCAGCTTCGACCGCCATATCTTTGCCGAGTGTCTCTAGCTCGACTCCTGTCCTATCGGCCACAAGCTCCCAAGCTGTCGCGTCGTCCACCGTGGTCCCGGAGACCATAACAAGCATGGTGGGCAGCATCTCGGTAACTTTTTGCCCAGACTGCGTTGTACCGACTACATTAAGCACAACATCTGCCATTCCATCATCAGGGACCACAGTAGCCGCATGTCCGACGCAAACGGCCGAGATTTGCAGCACGCAGGGCGAAATACAACAGCCAATCACGTGTGCATCCCCAGGCGAGGCACCTTACGCCGTTACATGTGGAATTGTATACACTGGTACCGAGATACCGGATGATCAGATCAAAATTTCCAGGAATGCTAGAAATGCCACGAGACTCGCAACCCGCTCAGCTATCCTTAAGCGCTTCTCCAGTCCAGATTTTGGAACCTGTCAAGCTGCCTGTGACAATACTGAAAGCTGTGTCGCTCTCAACTACGTCGACACCGAATGTACTCTGTTCAGCGCCGTTGATGGTACCGCACTTCAGCCTGGAGGGGTGGGTGCTGCCCAAATCGATGGTGCACCAATTGCAGAGGGCGACGAGCCTACCTGTCCACAGTCTATTGGGACGACGTACATTTCCGAACGAGCGGTGAATTATACGATCTCATGCTCGTACAGATATGATGGGAGCAATATCGTTGTGTTCGCTGGAGATGCATTCAGCGAATGTGTGCCGCTTTGCGATACCTTCAGAAACTGCGTCGGGATTCAGTATGATACGGATTCTCGAATGTGCTATCTGAAATCCTTCTTTGGAACGCCCAGTTTTGACAATACTGGGAGCTCCGTTGTTGGTAGGAAGGTAGCTGTTGTGCTTACAAGCTCGACGCTCACTTCACGTTCGACGTCGACTTCAGCGTTGAGCTCAGGGGTCAGCTCTGCGTTAACTTCAGAGGCAAGCTCTACACTAAGCTCTTCACTAGGTTCTATTCCAAGCTTAATGTCGAGCTCGGGAGGCAGCCTGGGCATTTCATCAATCACATTAGGCATGAGCTCTGCTGCAGGCCCAACTGTCACMGCTACTACAGGGGTAACCACGACAGGGCCCGTGGTGACCATCACTCGCAAGTATATCCCCCTTTTTGCGAATGTACCTAGCTAACGTTCTCTAGCATCTGGGGATCTGTCGGGGGTAATCACCGCCACGACAGTAATCGTGTCTACACTCCCACCCGGTGCTTCTATCACAAGAGTAACAAGCGGTTCTTCGACCGGCTCTTTCTACGTGTTTACGACTACATCCGTCCCTCCCCCCAGCGGCAGTGGGAACATTCCTTCGGGAAGCTGCATGGAAGAGATATGCTTTGACTGCGGGCTGATTCCCATTGTGACCACCAACTGCGGCGGAACGACTACCGGGATGATTCCTCCCACCGATTTCTCAAGCCTCACAACTGCTCCGTCGACAATCTTGATCACGTCTGGTGGTACTACCTACACTAGCCGGGCGCCGACATCCACTCCCTCTGCGACCGCGACCGCCACCGCGGCATGCCCCACACAGACAGCCTCTCTTTGCGCCTCCTCCAGCAAGGAGCTATCGTGTTCATCTCTGGGCGGATTTATCTACGAGCTAACGTGCGGCGTCATTGTCTTGGGGCTTGAAATACTCGATGAACTTGTCAACCTACTCGACAAGCGCTTTGTCGCAGCGGACGTCGGCAGCTGTTTGTCTGCCTGCGACAACACTGCGTCTTGTGTTGCCTTCAACTACGTCGAGAGCGAATGCACCCTATTCAGCAGCGTGAGCGGAACATCGATCCTGGCGGGAGCTGTTAGCGGCGTCCAAGTCGGCACAACTGGCGGCGGTCAAGCTCCGACGACGATAACTGTAACGTCGTATAATGGTCTCTGTCCATCTCTGACTGCAGGTGGAACCGGTACCGCGACGGTGTACAACACATTCACCATCACTAGCTGTGCAGCTCAGCCAATTTGCCCCAATCCCGGGTTCGTGATCATCGGAGGGAGTACCACAGTCCCTGGCGGCGTTGTTGTCACGACTACCAATGGCAATGGTCYGCCAATTACTTACACGCAGATTCAGACTAGCGACATTCCCATCACCACGACAAACAGCAATGGTGCTACTGTTGTGTACACRCAGACCGCGGCCCCGATTTACTCTGGTGGAGCAGGCAGCGGCCCTGGTAATGGTGGCAGTGGAGCTGGGACCGGGCCAGGTAAGTTTTGCAAACAAGGGAGAGCATGAGAATGGTTCTGAGAAGCCTTGAATGCTCCATGGCGTCCCTCGCTATTTGCAAAAGTCGTCGAGGCTCTGCTAACCATCATGTATCTTCAGGCACAGGACCTGGTACTGGCTTCAACACGATCACCGAGACTACGACCAACAGCAACGGCATGACATACTATATTACACAGACACCGACGCCAGCTGGTACAGGAGCAGGAACCGGCCCGGCTGTGATTACTACAACAGATAGCCGTGGAAGCACAGTGAGATACACAGTCACCACCACCTTGGTCTCAACAGCAGCCGGCACCGGACCTGGAACAGGACCAGGCACAGGGCCAGGCACAGGAGCAGGCACATGACCAGGTACAGGAGCTGGTACTGGTCCTGGTACCGGCTTGGGAACTAACATTGGAACTCCAACGTCTGGCGGGCCGACCACAACAGTCACGACGACGGCACTTCCTACATGTCCGTTCGCAAACGGCCAAGTGTATGTCGATGCATCGGGCTTTTCATACATCATCGTTTGCGACTCCGCCTACTCCGGAACCGTCTTGAGTACTGTATCCATCGCCAACACTGGCACGCAGCCTCGTCTTTCGGATTGTATCGCCGCTTGTGATGCCTACAACTTGCAGAACTCGGGCACCACGCAGTGTGAGGGAGTCACGCTGGACAGCAACGTCGCCACTGAAAATTGTGCCCTTGTCGGGGGAGTGCTGGTAGCCACCACAAAACCTGGTGCGTACTCTGGACTAGTGCTTCGTGCAGTAGTCGGACCCGGCGGTACAACGATTGTTACTGGAGGAGGCGGGTCTCCCACGACCGCAGCTGGATCGGCATCAACCAACACAGTCACGACAACCTCCGTCAGCATCCAGCCCACCACCGACGTGGTAACCTCCTACGTCCCATCGACAGTGTATGGAGTCTCTACCGTCTTCTCGACCATTGTGTCGAATGGCGTCACAAGCGTTCAAGCCTACGGTATAACAACAGTGATCACGATAAGTCTTATCCCAGCCACAGCTACGACGGTCACCACAACAGAGCGGATCTTCTCCGATCGTATCACGACTGTATTGTCGAATGGTGTGACTACTGTGCTGGTTCCTTCTACGATCCTCGGGCCCACAGTAACCACAAACGGCGGCACAATCACCCAAGCTGGACCGACAGTCACAGCTACAGGTCCTGGAGGCAGCAACGGCGGGACTGCCACCGTCTCGCGTACGACGACCACAACTGTGATTTCGTTTGTTCTGCCATCCTCGGTGTCGCGCAGCTCCAGTACGAGTACATGCCGCACGACAGCCACGAATTATTTGAGGGGAAGCGTGCTTGAGAGGAGGGGTTTATTTGATGTTAATCGGAAGTTGGCTGGAGATGAGCTCTTGGCTAAGCCAGGCGCGATACCGGTCATGTAGTGATAGCCACGTATGTGATTTAGCTGTGTTGATAGCAGGCGGACAGATGCAGGAAAACGAAATGTTGCGCTAAGCAAGACCATCAAGGTGATTCATGCCGTGAACTTTACTCTCCTCATCCGCACTCCTCATGTCCTCGCTGTCGTATTTCTTCCTCCAACGGCCGAGGATACTCTACATACGCTTCTTTTCCGGGCCTGCCCATTTGATCTCATACGTCTCAACACCCTCATGAGTCGTCTGCCACGGATGCTTATGGAGTCCAAATCCTTCCGCCTCGGGCTGTGGAATCCTCGGAAATATACCCATCTTCAAGACGACTTTCCCAGGGTACAGCTCCGTCTCCGAGCGAAGCGGACTGTGTGTTTCTACTGTCAGCTGTCCCTATCCCTCACACACAAACACAATGTGGGAACCACATACTTCCCACAATTCCCACAAAAGCTCCTATACACCGGATTCCCACTCAACGTATTCCGATCCTCGTAAGTCTTGAGCGTCCCATCACGATCTTCGAAGTGCACTTTCTCGCTCTCGATTAGAAGGTTGGAGCCTACGTACGACCCGGAGGTTTTGCGGCAGTTGGCGCAGTAGCAGAGATGGCCGCGGCGTTTGGCGAAGAGCTCGGAGTCGGTGATGGTCACTGTGATGCTGCCGCAGAGGCAGGTACCCACCAGCTTCTCGGAGAATTCGGAGAGGTCGTGGGACTTGGGGTCGCCGGTGGGAGCGTTCGGCATCTTGACGGAGTGAGGGATGGAAGATTGCTTTGGTTAGATAGGGATGCTTGAGAAGAGGGAGGCCACTGTCAGCTGTACTTCAGAGCGGGTTCCACGCGAATGCCAGCTCTCCGTGTCGTTGGTAAGCGGCCATCATGGAGCTCTCCGCACTTGGTGTACTTCGCGCCCTTGGAATCAGGTCGGGCCTGCTAAAGCCGCATAGGCGATCATCTAGCCAAGCTGTATACAACGCATTAAGCTTCGTCTGAATGATAGCGTGTATGGCATATCGTTATGGGCACTTCWCCGAAATGACTTTGTCCCATCAATATGCTTCAATGCTCGAAGCCGGCGATGGTTGAATTCACCCAGCAGGAGATGACGCTCGGTTAGCGATCCGAAGAAAATGCGGGGCTCATTTAAAGTTTCGCCTACGTCGCGTCTTCCAGCGCGTCGCCACAATCTCGCATCAACAGACAATGAGCGCACTCAGTAGCAATGCCTCACAGCGACGATTTTGGGCTGGAAGATGATGACACCTTGTTCCTGGAGGCTGCAACCCAGATCGAAGCCTCTCAGCATGGAGGCTTTGATCCTTCCCCAAGACCCACCAAGAGGCGGCGAGTGAGACGAAGAGCGAGCGGACCGCCACAGCTGGATGGTGATGGCTCCGGTGATAATGATGGCGACGAGGAAGAGGGGTGGTCGGATGAAGCCGATAGTCCTGCAAAAGACTCGCAATACTTCCAGCAATCCACCGCGATTCCAACCCAGGGAACCAATCTGGGAAGTGATTACGAAGGCTACTATCTACCTGGTGAACTTGGCCTGGATGAAAATGTGGCGAAGAATTCGAGATTCAAGATTCATGTCCCGGCTGAGGGTGGGCAGTTTCCGAACATTCTGGTTACTCAAACACAGCATGGCTTAGACGATAACCCGGCGGCATTCAGAGGACCCATCTGGAAGAAGCCTCCCGTGCCGCCGCCTCCTGCTTTCAATCAATTTCCGGGCCGGAATGTTAACAACACCCCTATGGAAGATATGGCCGGCGTTGGTAAATTCTTTCAGTCACGTTTGGGGCAACCAATTGAGGATGACGATGCTGCCTTCGCTGCGCGTTTACAGGCCGAGGAGGACAGGATCGTTCAAAGGCGAAGAGCTGCTCTGACGGTAAAGGGCATTGCCGGACCTTCTATCGACATGTCTCAAGATCTCATAGACCTCGCGGATCTGCCATCAGATGCCTTTTCTTCTTCATCTCCGGAGAAGTCGCCAGMGAAAGGTGTAATTGAGATATCTTCCCAGCCGACAAGTGGCATTGCACGAGGTGCACCGGGTCCAAGAATGAGAGCACCGCAGACTGGATTGAAGCAGCTTGATCTTTACGGTCGACCTGCTACGCAAGACATGTCCTCGTCGCAAGCTGCGAAGAAGAAGCATGCATGGCCCTTGGCGAACAAGGAAGAGCCTCCTACTCACCACAAGCTGGACGCCAAGGAGATGGAATCCTGGGTGTATCCTACAAATTTGGGCACTGTCCGTGACTACCAGTACAACATCGTATCCCGTAGTCTATTCCACAATACACTGGTTGCCCTTCCCACAGGTCTGGGAAAKACGTTCATCGCAGCAACAGTCATGCTAAACTATTATCGATGGACTACCGACGCGCAGATAGTGTTCATGGCTCCAACGAAACCACTTATTGCCCAGCAGCTCGATGCTTGCTACGGCATTGTCGGTATCCCAAGACGTGATACGATATTGATGACTGGTGAGACAGCCCCCGGACTGCGTGCTGATGAATGGATGGAGAAGCGAGTGTTCTTCATGACTCCACAAACCGTCATCAATGATTTAAAGACGGGCATTTGCGATCCGAAGAGGATTGTCCTTTTGGTGGTGGACGAGGCTCACAAAGCTACTGGAGGCTACGCATATACCGAAGTCATCGCCTTCATGCGAAGATTCAACCCAAGTTTCCGAGTCTTGGCCCTCACGGCTACTCCTGGATCTACGGTCGAGGCCGTCCAAGCAGTCATTGATAATCTCGGCATTGCCAGAGTGGAGCTGCGCACGGAGCAATCTATCGACATTAGACAGTATACCCACGAAAAGAACACCGAGATGGAAGTGTTTGACTACAGCGAGGAGCAATTACTCATCATGGGAATGTTCTCCAAAGCACTTGCTCCTTCAGTGGAGAAGCTCAATAGCCAGAATGCTTACTGGTCGAAAGACCCAATGGCTCTGACCGCGTATGGCTTGACACAGTCGCGATCAAAGTGGATGCAATCAGAGGCTGGCCGCAAAGCTCCTCAACCTATCAAAGGGATGATTAACGCCATCTTCACTGTGTTGTCCAGTCTTGCTCACAACATTGGCCTGCTCAAATTTCACGGCATCGGTCCGTTCTACTCTGGTGTGCTGAACTTTGAAAAGGACGTCAAAAGTGGTCAAAACAAAGGCAAGACGGCTGCCGGGATCGCCAACTCTGAGCACTTTACGAAGATGATGTCGACGATACGAACATGGACCAACAATCCAGAATTCATTGGCCATCCGAAGATGGAGTACCTGCGAGAGGTTGTGTTGAATCACTTCCTAGACGCCGGTGAGGGAGCGCAGGGAAGTGATGTCCCTCCGAGCGCGACAAGAGTGATGGTGTTTGCAAGCTATCGAGATAGTACAGAAGAGATCTGCAGAGTGCTAAAGCGGAATGAACCCATGATTCGACCACACGTTTTTGTTGGGCAGGCAGCTTCGAAAGGGTCCGAAGGCATGGATCAAAAACGGCAGAACGCTGTGATTCAAGACTTCAAGAGTGGCAAATACAACTGCCTGGTCGCCACATCCATCGGAGAAGAGGGTCTCGACATCGGAACCGTGGATCTAATCGTGTGCTACGACGCTTCATCGTCGCCCATTCGGATGCTGCAGCGTATTGGTCGAACAGGCCGAAAGCGTATTGGCCAAGTTCGCCTCCTGCTTATGAGAGATAAAGAGGAGAAGGACTACGCCAAAGCACAAGACAACTACGCGTACATACAAAAGACGATTGCCGATGAAGACAAGTATGCTTATAGAGACGACCAGAGTCCACGAATACTTCCCAGGGAGGTCAGACCAATCCCCGACAAGCGGCCTGTGGAGATTCCTGTTGAGAACAGCCAGCCTGTCGACCTGAACGAGCGAGCGCGGAAAGGCAGAGGCAAAGCCAAGACAAAGCGCCCCCCTAAGAAGTTTCACATGCCGGATAGCGTTCGGACTGGCTTCGTGAAGGCGTCGAAGCTTGGGTCGGATGATGACGGCGAGGAGCAAGAAGTTGTGCCGAAGAAGGCCGCCCTGAAGAAGAAGCAGGCCCCCCTGAAAAGTTTCGTGAAAGCTCGTGTCTCTGTGCCGACTCCAGAGCCGGAGGCTGCTCCACTGCCATACATCACGGACGTCCTCCTGAATGATGTTCAGCAACAGGAATTGGAACAGACCTACGCTCGTGCCACAGATGGCGGACAGCTACAGGCCATCGATGCGTCAATGATGCCTGCCTCCAAGTTCGTGAACTTGGGTCCTACTAGATACGTCGGCCATGGTCGTAATGCGAAGCTCGTTCAAAAGACAATGCAAGCAATTCACGGTATTGACAGAGAGACGTTGAAGAGGCTCGAAGACGGTCTGAATCATGATTATCTGCGCGCAGCCGGTTCGGCACGTCTGCGTCTGGTCAGCCCGGAGGTCGAAGCTACAGTTTTGATGGCAGAATCTGCTCGCAAACCAAACGCCGCTCCGGCTGCGTTCGTCAAGCCAGCAGTAGAGTTTCACAACGCCATCCCAGTCTCCGACCCTGAAAGTTCAGATGCAGAGCCTGCACCTCCACGACGAGTCGCATCGCCTCCTCCAGCGGCAAAGAAAGCTCGAGCACCTGCAAAGAAGAAAGCACCTGCACCGCGGAAGACGCCCGCAGTAAAGAAAGCACCTGCCGCGAAGAAGACCCCAGCCACGAGGAAGACTTCATACGGCAGCGATGCCGAAGAAGGCGCTTCCTCAAGCCCTGAACCTACTCCTGCCGAATATGCCGTGGCGACGCAAGGTATTGATATCGGATCAAGAGATACAAGCGGCGAGGAGGAGGAAGAAGAGGAGATGGACAGTGAGCTGGAGGCTTTCGTTGTGAGGAGCAGTGATCCAATTGAGGCTGATGGTTCGAGCTCTTTGCCTGGTACGCCTGCGAGGAGTGGCGGGAGAGTCAAAGGGAGGAGAAGATTAGTGAGGAGAGCCAGGGTTGATTTGTCAGACGTCGAGGAAATTGCTGAGAGTGGAGAGGAGTCTGGTATCGATTTTGATGACATCGAAGAAGACGGAGATGGAGAGGATAATGACGAACCTGTCGTTGTGGCTGCTGGGAGGAAAAGGCGGATAGTGGAGGATAGTGATAGTGATGAGTGAGAGAGAGGTCATGATCGAGGGTATAGCTATCTCAATGCCTACGCTTGCTACAGAGCTCTCCAGAAGCTAGCTCTAGATATTGAGTGCCGTGGTTTAAGACACGTTTTGCAAAGCAAAGCCTTATGTCGCCCCGATCACCGACCGAGGAGGTCGATCGTGAATCTCCGGTATAGGCTACCAGTGATGAAACAGCATATTGCAGTCAAACGAATAACAAAGTCCTTCAACCAAATAGCACATCTCAATTGTCATTAGCCCACTCAAACAATTAAAGCCATTCTCTTGCTGTATCGTCGCTATGCTCCATACCCCAGGTCTGCTACAACTTCAAAGCACGGCACAATCACACTCGTACCCGCTCTGGTTCTGGCTCGCTTATTGTAAGCGGTCTGCTGATGCTGCTGGACGACTGGACGGTCTGACCAGGAGAAATGATCTTGGAGGATGTTCACGACCAATCTCGCCTTTGTGAGATGTTCAATCAGACTAGTCAAAACATTTCCCTTCTTCTGCCCCATACTACTGGTACAAGCGCGGTTTCCAAAGTCCGTCTGCAGGCAACATTCGTTGTTTCCTTCCCGAGCGCAGAACCATAGAGACTGCACATTGATAAGAGTGTTATCAATATCGGTACCTCCCTTTCTAGGACATTCGTCCTCCTAGGACATTCTTCTTCCTAGGACATTCTTCTACCTAGGACATTGTTGCTACTCCAGACTTGAATCCTACCCCACTCAAATTGGCTTGCAATGTTCACGACGGTTAACAAATTGATTGCAAAAACTTTTGGGGAATATGAAGCTTTTACTGATCAGTGTGTGTGGGTGTCAGGGGCCACGATGTAACACCCACTTCCCCCATCTCAAACGCTTTTGTACCGCTTCTGGCCTGGCAGGACGACCGTGAAGTCCCATGAAACTCCTCTCGCTTCAAGGTCAAGAAAGCTTCGACCCATTCCTTCGGATCAAGTCATGTGTGACTTCGTATATCCCACGACCTGTTCTTCCCTGATTCATGGAGCAGCTTTGATGGCCTCACAGTCCGCCGTTTTTGTAACGAGATGAATGAGCGGGCTTTGCAGCATGGAGGCCGAGCAGCTCAATCTTCGGGTAGCAGGCAGCCTTCCTCGGCGCATGGTGTGTCCTCGACTTGCAGCTGCGTGGCGATGAACGATTCAACGCTAATCTGCATGTTTGCAAATACGGCCCGCGCAGCAGGTTCATTGAGCTTTGCCAGGATGGCATCCGAGACATCCTGACTGCTGTAGTCGTCCGACATCTTCCCAAGACACTCCAGTAAGCAGGCCAGTGTACGCGCAGCTCGGATCAAACACTTGGACCCATGCTTGTCTACCCTGGAGGGGTTAAACGAAGTCTTCGAGCCCATCTTGCCACACAGAGCATTCATTTGGTGAAATATCGATCCGGCGAAGCCATCCCGTCCAAATGTCAGAGCTGTTTCGTCTTCCAGAATGGTACATCGAAGGGTGACTGAACTGATTTGATCTAGTCCGTCGCTCTTCTGCTCGGGGATCTTGAGGATCGCTTCTCGGAGTGATGCGACCAACTTTTCGTCATCGAGATGGTGCACGAACTGCATGGTGAAAGCTTTACCGAGTTTGAGCTCGCCCGATCTTGTGAATCGATTGAAGAACTCACAAAACTGGCGATGAGTGACCGGACCACTAGCCATGACAAACCAGTTGATGGCGTAATACATCTTGGTGCACTCGCTGCGAGCCTGTTTGCAGGTGTGTGCCAGGGCAAGTGGATGCTTGTTGTCTTCCTCGGTGTCCTGAGTGTAAGAAAGTAGATCATCGGATTCTTTACCGGTGATGTTGACTTTGACGAATTCGTGCTGAAGGACCATGGCGCTGATGGTGTTGCGTATCTCGGCAGACAGCTTTCCGAGCGGCGWGTTGTCCATGGTGTGTCAAGCGTATGTTGCTTGATCGCGAATTTTGAGTGTGAGGGGGTGCTGATGCGTGCAGGTGAGGAAGTGTGTTGGATGGAGGAAGTGGTGGTTGTCGAGGAGGCGAAGCAAGAGCGACGTGGAAACTTCAGTGCTTGCGGATACTTCACATGAAAAGTGAGGGCAATCTTCAGTCTACTTCTGATGGATAAAGTGCGAATCACAAGCCGCCAGCATACTATAAGGCTTTGCGGGTGAGAAAGCGACGACGGCGCGAATGGCAATGTCAACTTGTCGGACTGAAAAGACAGATTCCAATCCTCGTTAGTAACCATTCAACCCTAGAGCGATCCAGTCCAACAATCTCACTGGAGCATACACGTCCTCATTGAGGAGCTCGATTTTGCGGTCACACTTGACTTGAACTAACGCATTGATGCGTAGACCTTAGACAATCTTCTAGAGGCTGTAAGACCTTTCCTGCTACATATTAAGCACTTCTACCACCAGACCCGCAGCTTCACTTTTAGTAAGAACCATACACTGAACGGCGTCTGCCATGCGACCTAGGGAGATTGTGCGGTCGCGGAATGGAGTAAGAAAGAGTTGATGTGGTGGTAGGCATTGTACTTGTTGGTCTGGATACAGTTGACTAARAGCGTGATTCAATCCAATCTAATAATCAATCTGATTAAACCGGTTAACGAGAAAGCGATCATTGGGCATTCCAACAGCGCACCGAGTGAAATCTGTGTCTGATAAGGCTATGCTAAGGGCAGATATGAAGGGTAACTAGCAAACTACCTTTGCGGGTGACGTGTTTGAAGGTGTTGCTGTAAAAGAACAGCCGAACGTAATCCTCACGCATTTTCTTGCACGTCTGTGTCAAAGCTGCAGCGTTCGGTGTCTTGAGGTAGCCCGAGAGAATGACGTCTCCATCATGCGTAAGAGCCATCCCCGCAATGGTGTTGAGCAGCTCGGGAGACAGCTTGTTGAGTGGCGAGTTGTCCATCCTGGCGTGATGACGGTGTGTTGAAGTTGGTACTTTTGTGAAATGCGCCGAGAAAGCTTAAAGTATCTTGATGATGCCTGCACGCTGACGTTGTAGGAGGCGGTGTTGCTCTTCTCACTGGAAAAGCTGCAAAGAGGTGGAAGAGGAGCTTCTGCCTGCAGGATGTAGTCAGCGATTATGAGCTCGGGGACACGTGTCATGATGCTTCATCACTCACTGATGGCGTCGGACGCTCTTGCCCTGCGGCTGAGATGAGCTCAAGCTTCGCGGAGATATCGACGGATGCAAAGTTGACGGTTACCACGTGAACTTCTGTCTGTCTGATGGAGCTGCTGAAGCTCTTGCTGTGGCGGCGAAGAGATAAGGGAACTTCGCGCGGTGGTGTGGACGATGTGCTGGATGGAATCAAGGAACATCAAAGTGAGAGATGTCAGATGTCAATGGTGATGATGAAACTTGCGAGTAGTGGAGGGGCAGCGACAACAGCAAACACTGCTTGCTCGAGCTTAGTCATTCATTCACGTGCGAGACATAGTACGCACGGACCACATTTGCGTTAGACGAAAGTCAAAAAAGGTAGCAGGAGATTTTCGGGAGACGAAGTAGTAAGATACATATAGTCAGAGGACATTAATGAGAGAATGCATGGAAAACGTCTGTTTAAACAACTTTGGCCTTCTGTCTACGACTTAAGGGAAGCGAAAGTCATGAAACCTTGGGCTTACCCAAGTCTAAGCCTAGGCAAAACGAAAGTAGTCTAGAGAGTTGCACATTAAGGATTGGTAGAATACATTCTTTCCTATCGAGTTCAACATTTCGTTTCACAGTTGCAGGCAGAACTTGACCGATCGACGCCTATCTAAGGCGTTCATGCACCCAAACAATCATTTTGACCCTTATAGCAAGACCGTCCTGCCCGAGACCTGGAATACAACCGCCTGTGGATCCCTTCGCTCTCTTCGACGCGTCCCGATCGAGTAGATTGCAGCAAGCCAAGTCAGGCTACTGATCTCCCTTCCCTCGTCTGACAAACTTCTTGACACTATCAAGTGAACTGGAGCTTGTGAAGCACCTTTCCCAAGAATAACAGAAACTGTACGAATTTCAAGGGTGATAGTGAGCTCATCTGGACTCCCGGAGGCGGCAAAAACGAGGGACCTATCATCGGGCTCGGGGCAGCAAGCTCCCGTAATTTCTCATGGCACCGAGCTTTTATAGCTGCTTCCAGCGACTCGCACACACCTCCTAGAGATATCGAGAGCACAGTGAAGGTCTGACCGTACTGAGACACAAGCTTCAGGCGGAGCTCCGGGATTGACAATGTACAAAGACCCCCGAGGTTTTCTTTCACCGAGCCTTCCCGTATCGCGCGGCAGACGTCGGCGACGCTGTATCCAGGGTATTCTTCTCCTGCCTTTTCGAATATGCCAACAACCACGCGCATAGAGCCCWTCAATTCGGTCATTTCCGGGCCGATGGCTTTTGTGAAGGCGTCAATCTCCGCGCGAAACTCCAAGCATTCCGTCTCGAGCGTGAAGTCGTTGATGGCATAGTAGAGCTTCGCGTAGTCTTGACGCATCTCTCTGCAGGTGTTTGTGAAAGCAGAAAGGTTCTTGWTCCTGTTCTTGTCATTGCTGGTGATGATGACTCCATCCTGGCGATAGAGCACGAGCTCGGCGACCTGGTTGAGCAGTTCAGCGGAGAGCGTATTGAGAGGAGAGTTTTCCATTCTGGATTCTGAGCGGCAAGAGTCTGTTCGAGAGGCACCAATTACAAAGTGTGGTTGTCCGTGATGTTGTCGATGGATCGCTTTGGCAGGAGCTCTTGGTGATCGTTTGGAGAAATGAGCGGGAAGGGCGACGTGGAAGAATTGAGGTGACCAGACGCAGACGTATCCAGCAGATTGCCGAAATTAGTTGCCTTTAGCAAATCTTGCTTGTACTCAACTCGCTGTCGCGCGAATGCGATGAGCTGATGCGGTGTTGATCAAGAAGCGCGCAATGATTGTCTGAGGGCTTGGTAGAGTAGTCGACGATCTTGTTACGCGGTAGTACTTAACTGACTGCTGGACTGATGCCAGAATTCTCGATGTTGTTAGTGAGAAGATGAAGTGAGAGAGCGGCGGCGACATCAAACATCACTTGAGCTTAGTCATCGGCCAGATTCACATGCAGATAACAAAGTAGCGGCGATCTAACAATGAATCCACGAGCGTCGAGTGATGAGAAAATCAGACGTTAAGGCGATGCTCCAGGTTGAGGTGGTATAGCTTAAGCCTATACATGGGAAATACGCGAAGAAAGAAAGGGACATCCTAGACACGGGCAGAGTATCGCTACGGCTGAGAATCCGGACATTGCACCAGAGTAGGATTGATTGGACCTGAGATTCTGGAATATTGATACATAAGTGAAGCCATCGCCAGTTATATTTACAATGGTGACTCGGAGAGTACGATCGATGACGTCTTGTAAAAGAGCTACGCGAGACCACATTGAGCAAATTCTGGTTCGGATTTGACAATGAGAATTTTCAGCACGACATGCCATTCAAGTTGTTCATAGACCAACTGCGAGAGTGTCTTCCTGCTGTATAGACTTGCAGCCGCTCCACCCGTTTGAGCGTCAACATGGTCGCCCATCCGGAAGCAATCACTCGAGGTTGTCCTGAAGAGACATCCGTGCGAGTCTTACCTCGTCAGTCAAGCTGTTCACTCTCTCGGAAACCATTCGAAACAATCGTTTGAGCCTCTAATTTACACCCCTGTGATTTTTCAAAGATGTTTGGCCTTGCCCGACCGAAGACCATCCTTGAACAACTTTCACTTGCCGTCACTTGCGAGCGAATAATATACGCTACGCACAGTATCGTCGAGATCGCCCAACGCGTCCTGAAGATCCGAGTACTGATTAATTCTGAGCCAGTGATCATCGACTTGCGAGACTTTTTCTTTCTCCACCGCGCGGCTATACGTGTCATCCTGCTCCTTGCGAATGTCTCTGATGATTGGGAAAATGGAATCCGAGGGATGCTGTAGGTCGATGAAGAAACGGCGAAAACTGACGTTGTCGTATGTCAGTTCTAGAAAGACGCCCGAAATAGAAAGCTTTGATCCTGGAATGGAGGGTCTCTCTCTGGCGTTACAGAACGCCTTAATAGCCCTGGCAATGGGGGGAGCTCCTTCCTTGTAAGCTGGTACCCGCATGAGAACGACCATGGAGCCCATAGCCTCAACCTTGGATGGCCCAATGACATCCTCGAAGCGGGAGATGTCTTTCAGGCAGTCGGTACTCATGGGACAGTAGATGAAGTCGTTGGTACTAAAGAACATGGTTGAATAGCCTTCGCGCATCGTCTTGCAGGTCTGCAGCAAAGACGCAGCATTCGGCATCTTCCGAGAACCCGAGAGAACTACCTCATTATGCGTAAGAGCCATCTCGACGATGTCGTTGAGTAGCTCAGCCGGAAGCTTCGCAAGTGGCGAATTCTCCATTGCTGAGTTGCCTGGGTGGAGGGAGACTTTGAATAGTTCGAGCGCGCGAGGATTCTTGAGGATGTTGCCGGGCTCTTATTGAACAGAGCTCTTATTTGTGGCAGTCACGGGGCGGTAGTATGGAGAAGGACGTGTGAAGAATATCGCCTTGACCTGAAAGATGGGATCAGGAATGCTCTTCATAAGATAGGTGAAGCACAGCGACTTACTACACAGCGACAGTTCTGACCGACTTGTTGATGGAGCTTCCGGGATGGCTGACAAATTGCAAGATCAAGAAGGCTCAGGCGATCCTACGTCTGCTTGATGGAGCTCTTGAACTCGGTGGAGGATTGTAGGATCCAGGAGTCTCAAGCGAGCTTTTCTGTGGTCGATGAAGCTGCCAATCTGCCTCCTCGGTGGTGGCACGATGAAATATCGTCGTGGAATGACGCAGGAGTAGATAGTTAAAATTGGAAGGAGGAATCCGAATGGTGTTGATGGAAAGATGAAGTGGCAGCGGCGACAGCAGACATTGTCTGCTCGAGCTTAGTCATTCAAATTTCACTTGCCGCGCGATCACATGAAAATGTCTCACCAAGCGACTTCCATCAGCGAAGCCAACTGTATATCCACATCAACTAACTCTGGCACTCAAAGCATCTCTGCAAAATAGCTGCCTGAACAGCGCAAGTGATAGAGCCTCTGCGACATTTACTGGCAATTCGAAAAGCAAGGCACTACGAGCAGGTGACGGATCAGTGGAGCAGGACTGGGGGCTTCGCAGCCGGATGCAAATTATCCGCCAGTCTTCAGAACAGACTTCCAAAATCGCGATACAATAATATGGCCGGTCGGACAAATATTCCGACTGTCCGCTCGGTATGCGTCTTCCGCCTCCCCGCTCGGGATCCCCTGCAGCCCCGCCCAAATCAACCCCCAACATCCCTACACGGCAGAATTCGGGACCACGTGTGAGCGATGACGATGCAAAATCACAGACCTCCTCTGCTGTATTCCTTTATTCCTTACCTACCTCTATCTTTTCGCCCAATCTAATATCTTTGTCTTGACAATCAATAATGTCTCTCTCAATTTCTCTCTCCCTACCTCTAAGCCTAGCAACCTCAATCCACGCCTCTCAAGATCTCGAGACTGGCTCATTAACCTCCCAAGTCCAACAATCCATCATCCGATCTATCGTCACCGCAATAAAGTCCCTTCCCTCCGACACCTCAACCTGGAATCTGGAGCTCTACGATTCTCCCAAGCAAATCTCCGCAGAAGAAGCAGAACAGGAAGAAAGAGAACGCTCCTCCGCCTCTCCGCCCTCCCCTCGTGTCTCCTTCACAAGTACAGATACCTACATCCCCAATCCTCGTCCTGCACCCCTCAGAAAACGCCGCAGCAGTCTCAAAAACGGCAAAAACCCCATCCCCAATGGCCAGCACCACCACCACAGTATCCTCCATCCGAACTTCCCAAACGCCCTGCAAAAGCCTTTCGGGCCAGATATATCATTTCCCAACGCCCACTTTGTCTTCGAGGTCCGCCGTCAACACGATTTAACAAGAAGTTTTGCGGTCGCAGCGCATGAGAGTACCACGACTGCGGAGTTGGCATTGGCGATTTGGAAGTTAGAAGGGGTAGCCATGAGGGAGCAGAAGCTGTATTTTGAGGGACATGAGATTTACAATGGGGAGGCGCATGAGAGGGACGTGGGGTATGAATCGGTGCGGTTGAGGGGAAAGTTTGTAAGTTTGATTCTTCTTTGATTTGAGGGACTGAGGTACATTAGAGGGAGCATTGCTGACTTTTGCTGTAGAGACATATCCGGCAGGGAAGTATCGTGATTTTGGTTGTGACTGGGAGGGAGGGGGAGAGGAGAACGGCACCGAGGACGGGTCTGGGGTTTTAGAAGTTGACTTTTGGATATGCTTTATAGTCAGTCCGTGGATTGTGATGACCTTCTGATGGTGAAGACTACTTTCTTTGCTGACTGTCCCCTTGTTGTACCCTGTCTAACAAGTGATGCCCGTGGTTACACCTTCCTGCCGGCATGTGAAGACGAATTACTAAGCTCAAGCAAGAGCATAAAGGTAAGTATTCGACACTGCTGCACTACTTCATCTTCACAACAACATCGTCACAACACCATCTCCACAACACCATCACCGAAAAACCTTGACTCTCCTCCATCCTCCATCCAGCACTCCATCACCGTGCGACAAWCTCATTCGTCGCCGCTGATAGGCAACAATATCCGCGGCCACAGCAATCAAGGCCGGTCCTCTGGCTTGTTGACGTTCTTCACCAACGATAAAACCACTTTGGCCCGATCACGAGCCTTGTATATGGTCAAACTTCTCCACCACCACCATATTTGAGACTCTCCAGGACACCTCTCCTGCGTCTTCACTTGGATCCAACCCACTCAAGACGACGATGGAGAACTCTCCTCTCGGTAGGCCCTCCGCTGAGCTGCGCAACAAGATTAGCGCTATGGTCCTCAAACACGATAAGGGTGTCGTCATGCGGGTTGGTCAAGGAGACTGTGATAGCGAACTCACTTCTCGTCAGAGTGACCGCGGAGGCAACAAGCATCCACTTGGCTTAGCTCACACTTGCCGACAAGCACGTGCAGAATGCACCGAGATGTATTATGCCATCAATGAATTCTATCTCTTGCCCGACAGTAACACGAGCTACGATCAACTATGTGCCTGGCACACTACCTTCGCGGTGGGTAGAGGGCTGAAGCTGGGAAGTTTCAATATCTACGCTGAGCTAGAAGACGACGACGACAACGACGACGATCAAGCAATGCTCACCGCTCTACGCGAGAATATTCTTCGGATCCCAAACCTCAAGAATGACGGACTGGTGCAGCTGGATTATGTGGTGCTTGATTACCACTTTATGGGAGAAGAGAAGACGATGTGGTTTGAATATGACGATATCACCATGTCGCTCCAATATCACTCACAAATTCTCATGAAGCAGGTACTGCCTCACATCCGCGGTACAGCACAAGAGAACCATGGGTCGAAGTGCCTCCTCCGAGCTGGACGCATCAYCCTCTGTCTCCAAAAGGCTCTCCAGGAACTCTTCGATCACGACTATCCACGAGAATGTAGAAATGGCTCTACAGGCAGAATAATTACCTTTGAGAAGGTCCAGCAGATTAAAATGACACGTTGTGCTCGTTCCGAAGCCTTAATTGCTGGTCTTAAGCAGATTGAAGACACACGATGTACCCACTCAGGCTGTCACGAGCGTCGGGAGCGTCGGGAGCGTCAGGCAGCGCCGTGATTCTTGTCAACAGTGCCCCGATGGCGGATCATTGAGGATATCTGAAGCAGTCCAAGAACGTCATCCGACAGGCAGTAGTTTCTTCACAGCCTACTCACACCACTCATTGCTGATGCCAAAGCAAGGTGGGCGATGCCATGTTATCAAAGACAAAATGGGAGGACATCCCTCGCCGACCAGATCCATGGCGCTTGGGAAAGCATACTCCAGACTTACCACATCTTTAACTCCAAACTTCTTCACCAGAAAATGCCCAGAATTTCCTCTCTTCAATACGACAGCAACCTTCACCAGCAAAGCAGACTTCAACACCAATCACCAAAAATGCACTTCTCCACCCTCGTCACAGCCGCGGCCATTCTCTTCGGTCTGGCTCTTGCTACTCCGATGCCGCCTCCACCAACTTTCTACGTACTCATATGACCTCCACCACCCCTGCCTCACTAACACCACTCCCTAGAAGGAAACAACCCTTAACGACAGTCCACCAACCCAGACTCTAACTTCCGTCATCGACCCCAACCCCAACAGCAAATGCGTGGAACCCCTTCACGCCACCTGCGTCGTGTAAAGTCATCACTCCCCTAACTTCAATCGAGGCTCGTGGGAAGAAAGCGACTTGCTCTTCCAGTGGTTGTAAGTTGAATAGCTTAAAGCCTTGGGATGGATCATGGACTGACAAATTTGTGTCTAATAGCGGTCCCGTAGCAATAGGAAAAGGCCAAGGTGTGTTGCTCGGGAGAGGTGGAGAAGACGAAGAGGGCGGGGAATTTGAGATCTCATTGCCTTTGACTGCTTGATTGATTGAGAGGGTAGCAGCATCATCCTTCGTCATCTTGAATGTCATCATCATCACACCCTCTATCCTGTCCCGTCATATTCCAAGCCCTCGGTGAAACTACCTCGAAATCTTACTCATGACTTCCCTCTGCTGCCTCCGATCGCCCTCGACATCGCTCAAGCTGCGCATACTCCGCAAATCTCCCACGACATCCCTGGCCTTGCCAAAGTAGACCTCCTGCAACAGATTGCGCATCTTGGTCTCCATCTCCTCCACCATGCGTCCGATATTGCCGACATGACTCGTCTCAATCTGCCCATCACTGATACCCTGCAACGCCAATTCATTCTGCTGCTGCCGCGTCAAGTTCCCCGCCAACTCCAACGAATCCACTCCCGCTCCTCCTTTGACGCCCAAATCCAAAATGACCGTCGACGTCAATTTATAATGTGCCTTGCGCTTCGTCGCCGCCTCTTGCACCTCCAACACATGGATACTATCCCACCCGGCCTCGCCCACGACTTTTTTAAACAACACCACGCCCGCGAACCCATCTTCCAATTCCCACAAGTACGCACTGCTCACGCCACCCTCGTAGTACAATTCGCGATAGACGTCCACGCCGGCATTGAGGGCTTCCTCCATGGTGCGAATGCGGCCTTTGGGGAGCAGGTCGGCGGCATCTTCGGGGTCGATGGGCGGGTGGAAGGTGTTGGACCAGGGGGAGCGGTAGGATTGGTTGTCGCGGTTGTAGTCGCAGCAGAGGAAGTCGCGGCCCGTGGTGGGGCAGCGGGTGGTTTTTAGGGTCACGTCTACCGAGGAGAGGAGGTCCTCTTCGAGCGCTGGTTGGAGGGAGATGATTCCGGAGAGGTTTTGAGAGGTGGAGGAGGGAGGGAGGCGGCGGAGGAGGTCGCTGGATGGAGGGGATTGGTTAGTTATTGCAGGGTGGGTTGGTGAGGTATTGATGGGTGTGGACTTACATGGCGGCGTCGAAGGGGTCCATTGTGGCCATTGTGACCTGAATTGTGGTGATGGAGATGTGGTGTGTTTTGGGGGAGCTTCAGTCGAGGTGTCGATCATCAATCGCGGGGCTAGTTGTAGAACTAGGGCGGCGCTAGACTGGGGGGCAATTACCTTATGGAGACACTTATTTCTCCTACTTGCTTCACATCAGCAACACCCCCTCCCACATTGCCATTGGGCATTCGCGGCCATTGACTTCACAAGCGAWCCTGATGATTCCACGACACTGCCTCTCCGCTTACTCCCCAGCCTCGTGGCGAACGGAACACTACTTACCCACCTTGACTTGTCCGGCGATGATTCCGAGCGACTGGAGACGAGACGATGAGTGAAATCCCGGTCTTGCCCTCGTGAGTCGTCAAGCGTGTAGGCGGTGTGACTGGTATTGGCGTGTGCTGGTGCTAGGCTGGGCGAACGTTTGCATTTTCCCCCTACGGCTGAAGGGGTAGAGTATGTTATCAGAACAGAGCATGACTTGTATCGGGATTGGTCTAGATATCGTCTGCTGTCACCTCAGATCTCCGCCGGATGTTCCTTCGAGATTTTCCGGGTACAGTCCTGCTGTCGGAGGCGGAGCTGAACACCCAAACGCAATCGCTGCACTTGGGAGCGTGCTCGCTCGGTACCGAAAAAGTCAACCTTCGGATGGCGATCCGATGCGTGCGAATCGCATCCTGATGCTGCACGTCTATCAGAACAACATTCCTGACCCGAAAGCATGGCATGGGATCTACCTAGGAAAGTGGGGATGCGCGATCTTTTCGTCAGTGTGATGACCGAGAAAAGGTAGGAGTAGTGCATTTTGTCAATCCGCCGACTTTTTCTCTCTCTCCATCTGGTCAAGTACTTTCTTCCAAGACCCATTCCCATCCACACCCAATGCATTCCACATACAATGCCGCCCAAGGCACCTCCTGTGCTCTTCTTCCTCGACCCYGTGAATAAGCCGTCGGCGAGCAAAACCGCCAAGGCGAAGAAAGATATCCGCTCACATGTTACGGCGCAACAACATCGTTCCCGGAAATATCAGCGGCGACAAGATTCTGAAGCTGCAAAGGTGAAATGGATCGTAGAGTTGGAGAGACGTGGATGGGAAGAAAAGGATAAGCAAAAAAAGAATGCAGAAGGAGAAGAAGAGGCCTACGACCAACTCCTCCCAATCATCCCCGCCTCCTCTGACCTCTCCAATCCCATTACAGCAGCATTCCGCCGCGGAACCCTCGCCTTCCAACTCTACATCCTCGACGACCCATCCAATCACATTGGCAGAATCCTCTCGAACCTAGGAACAGATGCCATGAACGTGCTCGTGGGCATTCCTTCCCTCTCCATCAAACCACATACAAAACCACTAACAGGATATTTGTTTTCGCTAGAAGAACTACGAGCAACTAGTCCTCCTCCAAACTCCCGAATGGGAACGCCAATACGCCCCTCTCACCAAACCCGGCATAGCCTACAAATACCTCATCCCAAGCCTCTTCCAAGACCCCGCTCTACTCGCTTCGTGCATRCTCCTCTCCCTCTCCCAACTCATCGCTTCGCGAAAACAACCCATCCACCCCCGGATCATCCACGGTATCTTACAGCTTCGCGGATACGTGATGAGGGTGATTAACGCCGCGTTGGAGGATCCGAAGAGGAGGGCGAGTGATCATATCATCATCGCCGTTTTGTTGTTGGCCACTTGTGAGGCTCTGCATGGGTTGCGGGAGAGTTATCCCGTGCATATGGTCGGCTTGATGGATATGGTGAATTTTAGGGGCGGATTGAGGGAGTTGGGGAGTGAAGGGTGCGTAGAGGCTTTTAGTGAGTATACTTCCCTCAAGACCGAGATATATACAGAGAAAGCGGGGGGGGGAAGAGAAAGTATAGTAAGCTGACTTATCAATGACGAACAGTTCTCTGGCAAGATGCCAACATCGCGAATATCGTCGGAGGGAAAACATACAGCCATCTCGCGAAAAATCCAAGTCCGCTCCCCGACGCCAAAGTTGATAAAGATCATTTCCTCGCGGGCGCGGTGCTTACGGCGGATACCTTTGCTGAGGAGAATGCGGGCAAGGATGTTCCGACTTGGTAGATATCAGTCGCTGGCACCTGCGAGTGGAATGAGGATGTTGGTTGCGAGATCTCTTAAGACTTGCGCAGCGGTGATTGGAAAGGTTCGAATCGACGAGCGTAATCTCATCACTTTGGATGACAGCTCCTCTTCCTCGCGAGGACTTCATGTGAAGGGAGTGGTCGACGTCGAAAATAGAGCAGCCTCCTATATTAGACCAGATTCGAATATACTAGTCGTTTCTTAGACTGCCAAAGTACCTAGCTCTCCCGCAAGCTTTCCAAAAATGATAGGGCACACCCCGGGCCCGATTGGTAAGCCCGCCCATTCATGCATTAGAGATTTCTGGGAAGGGATCTTTGGGAGACGAGGCGGTATTATTACCATTTGATGATGAAGTAGAGATGATTTCACCAGGTGACGTTGAGCTGTTGGAAGTAAGGAACTTCCCACGCAGCAGGTTGGGCGTACTTTATCAATCACCTGTAGAAGTTTCGGCCGTCAAGGCAAGTACGTTTTCCGCGTCAATAGACTTTGCTCAACCATGCGACCAACATCCTGTCATCTGATAGGTTGGCCAAGCCGGTAGTACCACCAGCGATGACCTTCATGTCGATGGGAGATGGCGAAAGGAGAGAGAGAGAGCCCGGGAAGCTAGCAGGTCGAGCTAACGTATGGGTGAAGTCACAGCATCCAATCATATAGCAGCGGAGTCCAGCCCGCCCATGTGCCGTGACTTCCCGACGCCGATGCGACACATCGCAAGTAATAAGTGAGTGAATGACAAAGAAGGTGGAAGGTTCGAGACGAATGATTTACCAATCTTCGAGCTGAACACGCGACCACACTCTCTTCTACCTCTTCCACCTTCAACATGACATCCTCGCCCACCCCAAACCACACCTCCTCCCACCAAATGTCCGAGGGCGACGTGGATGCGATCGGCGCGCACTGCCAGGCCGAATACTGCCGCCAACTCACATTCCTCCCCTTCAAATGTGAATCTTGCAAAGGGTGTGTAAGTGCCCACATGGTCCATCATCACCGAACATCCCAAAAAAGCTCACCATTCTAACCACATTTTTTCCCAGCTCCTACTGCGCTAACCACCGAACCGAAACGGCCCACGCATGTCCCAAAGCTGGCGAATGGGCTCGCAGAAAAGCACAGGCGAATCAAGGACCTGAATCACGACTTCCCTTCGCCCCAAAGCCCAACATCCTCACCCACGAACAGCAATGCTCCGATCCCGCCTGCAAAACCCTCATCAACACCCCGCTGGTGACGGGCGTGCACTGCGAGAAATGTCGCCGGGAATACTGTCTCAAACACCGCTTCACCTATGACCACAACTGCGTGAATCTCACTCCCTTGGGAGGAGGAGGAGGAGGAGGTGGAACATCTCTAGCGGGACTACAAACCTCAAAGGAAAAAGGCCTGGCAGCTCTGGATCGACTCCGAGCCTGGGGCGCCTCCAAAAAATCCACCATCGCCAACTCCACCCCACAAGGTAAATCCAAGCAAAGCGCCGCCCAAACCCTCGCAGCGACAACCGCACTTAAAAATACCGCCAAGGGCGACGACAAAATCCCTCGAGATCAGCGTATATACCTACATGTGGAAGCTTCGTCAGAAACTCTCACGGCAAAGATCCCGAGGGGTAAATTCTTCTATGGAGCCGAGTGGAGTGTGGGACGGATGTTGGATGCCGCGGCCAAGGCGCTGCAGGTCAGTAATGTGAATAACCGGAGTGAGAGCGAGGAGGATAAGTTGAGGGTGTTCCATGTGGAAGGAGGGAGACTGTTGGATTTTGGGGAGAAGGTTGGAGGGAGTTTGAAGACGGGGAATACGATTGTTTTGTTGAGAGGCGTGGGTCCTGGACTGGCGCCTACGCCTGAACGGGTCTCGTAGAGGAGGACATTGCTTGGTGGAGGGACTTGAGGGAGGTGGGATGATTGATGAGGGGTGAAGGCTGGTGATGCATGGTGATGGTGCTTTCGGCATAGCGGGCGGTGGTATCGGATGCATAAGGTAGTATAGTAGAGACGCTGCTACGAAGTGACGAGTTATGAAATAATCATTTAGATAGGAACGCCTCATTGTTCAAGTCTGCGGACATGAAGAACACATTTCCATACACATAGTCTGCCGGAGCTCTTGCATGCTCCCAGTCGAGCAGATGCCCAATTTTGTCGATGAATGCATTCCCCGATATACATGTCCTCGCTCACCCTGTTGTTATATACCACGCTGCCGTGGACTGTAATCTTTCTTCATCCTCCGTACCCGACCGACCATAGCCAGCAGAACCAGATCCTCATCAAACATCAAACATCAACCCAACCACAACATATCATGACATATCATAAAGCATCATAACACACCATCATCCCCGTCAAACYCCCTCCCGAAAATCATCCCTCGGCGTAAAGAACAGCTGCAAAGTCTTCCTCGCAGCCACAGCATTCTCCACCGCACTCATGAGTTGCGCCCCACCCAAACATTTCCCCAATCTCCCTCCACTCACATACCGTCTCAAAAGCGCGTCATCCGTATGATGCATCCCAAACGCATCTCCAATCTTCTGCATCATCGCCTCGGAACTCTCCACCCCATCGAGATAGATTTTGCGATAATCTCGATGATCTTGGGTGACGAGGATGAAGTCTTCGGGCTTTTCTTCCTCGACGGGGTCGGTATGCCAGATGTGCAATTTGGCGAGCATGGAAGCGACGCTCTTGAGAGAGGTGAAGCGTCGTTGAGGTTTGACCTGCTGCTCACCATCGACGGCAGGACTGTTGATGTCGTGGACTTGTTTCATGTGCCTGCGCACATCTTTCGGGTAGGGATGGCGACTGCCGCAAATTTCACACTTGTGTGCTTTGTTGGCGTGCACGTTTTTAAAGTGTTTGGTCGCGTCGCACGCTCGGTTGTAGCGTTTGTTGCACGTGGGATGTTCGCATTCGTAGCCGTTTTTGATGCTTCTGGCGCGCTTGGGTCGTCCGTCTTCGTCGCCGAGATCGATTGATGGGCGTTTGGAGCCTGTCGATGCTCGATACTGTGCATTGGGGTCGAGAGTTGATGAGATGTTGGCCGAGGTTGATTGAGGGAATGCTATCCATGAGAGGTCTTGTTCGCTAAAAGGGGCCACACTGTTACCATAGCCTTGCTGTGTGGTCCCGTACGTCGTCCCGGAACTTAGAGAGGGAGTCTTGAGTTGAGTGGGGTCCCCAAATGTGTCAAACATCGCGCAATAGTCTTGCGGAGGGGTGACGATGATCTTGCCTTCACTTTCAAACCCCGCAGGCGAGATTGTCAGGATTGGGTTTTGCATATAGTCGCATCCTCCATTTTGGCTTGACGACTGTGCTGGCTGCTGTGTGTAGATTGTTGGTCTCACCGGTGGGCCACCGCCAGCKACATTCTTGGATGCGGACATCCCACTCCAATCCACAGGCGCCGCGGCATCGTGGAACGGAGTCGTTGGAGCGTAGGAGGCATGAGAAGCACCATCTGGAATACCGCTGTCAAATAGAACAGTGTCATCTATACCAGTCTCGGGATAATCCTGGGCTACGTCCTGGATCATCGCCGCGAGGATCTTCCATTCCGGGTCCGAAGTCTCCGGCCACATCCCCCACTCATCTGTGTTGTCCATGGCCATTGGGTGGCAATGGCAACTGCTGGGTTGGTCAGACACCTGCGTCGACAGACCAGCGGAATATTCGTGTACAGTCGGCGCAGCCGGGTTGGAGGACAATCAAGGTTATAGAGGTTAGGCGGGAGACCAGGCTGAGAAACGCCCGGTGAGGCTGAGGTGGAGGCTTATCAATTCTCATGCAGCTAACTCGCTAGACTGCGCAGCTGAGGCACCAACTTGATCCTTCAATATAGCGAGGGAGGGCTCCGCTTGCTACCGGCAAGAAAATTGTGTGTTGTATCGTATGGATTGTTGGCAATGAATGTATGAGCAGGATGACGGGAAGAAAAAAGTACTAAACCTGAGAACATTCTCCTCCTCTGGTGTTTCAAAAGGTGTTGCTGAAAGTGCTTTTGCAATCAATGCAAATGGCGGCTTCCGCAGATTTTCGAGTGCACGCCGCCAACACAAATCGTCATGAAAAGATGATCGAGTGATGGAGCTGGCGGCGAGCCATTCCAGAGAACGGTATATATTGATGGCATCGTGGACGAGTTGCGATATCAGCAAATCAACCAACACGGGCAAAACTCCACATTACCTCCTACCAACAGTAACAGTCGCTGGGTATGCAGTCCATTGAAGCGGCAGTGGAAAGGAGAAGCTCACAAGATTCATGCAGCATCCATTGTGAATATTCATTTCTCCCGGCAGAAGATTGTGCAATCACTCAAAGCGTGGTTACTTTCTTGCCTAGATTGCTTCGCATTCGGAACCACATCCAGTGAGTCGACAGTCTTCATGCGTCGCGATGAGACTGGCTGACTGTCATGTCTGGTAGCAATGACGGAGCCTCAATTGCAGAGAGAAGTGCTTCGAACCAGGGAGGACGAACTTGTCAGCTTCACCGGCGCCTGGACGGATGACTGATGCTGCAGATTTGCCGGAGATGACAATCCCAGCGTCGCCTTGATGGTGATGATGGTTTTGCAATGAAGTGAGTGGTGGAGGAGGAAAGGTGATGCAGGYGCAGCACGCGGGGATAGATACGAAAACCACTAGCGTGGTGCTTCGATGTGGCCAGTGCTTCTCATGCCTGTTCTGAGCCGCCATAACCTGCTACCTGTATGTAGACCGCGTTGTGTAAGTCTTAGTGTAAGGTAGTTCCATTAGTTGGTAATTGATGATACARCTTGTATCGATGTGCAACAAATCGTTCGCCTTCGTGCTGCGATGCGAGGTGGGCATTGTCGAATCTTGACTAGCGTTAGGGTTGGGGTAACGGCCTGTATCACTTCCAACATGGCCTATTGTACCTAGCACTCGTGCTGTGTGGATTATTATGAGCAGGACAAAGTCGGTGAAGTAGTTGCGCTGACCGACAAACTCTCGCAGACTGCTAGTGTGGAATCCTGGAAGGACAGTTGCGGGGCGTGTGTTGGCAGAATCTGAACGTCTGCAAGCAACGCCAAAGGTACCGCTCACATCGTGCGTAGTTCCATTCGCACAACACTACTCCGTAGACCATAATGACAAGATCTACAGAATCTGCAACGCGGAACATGAAACTGACGCTATCAAGTCAACTGTTCACCGTTATGGTAGAGTATTCATCTTACATCCGCCCCCACCTTCACATGCGCGAGGTACCCCGGACGTTCGCAGGGTTCATCTTATCGACCTCGGCGCTAAGGTCGGTAGCGTGTTGCGTTCGCGGGGCAGGCACGAGACCCAGCCCAAGCTCTCCCAAAACACCTAGGTACCTAGCTTGGGCAACTACTGTACGCCCTCCACTCTTCGGCAGTTGTAGTTGAACTTCTTCGCATCAACATCATCGAGTCATCAAAAAGGACTCCTGGCAGGTTTCATTCACTGCTATTACTTTGATACTGAATTCATACTTTGTATTGATTGCATGCCACACCTCGTGCGGAATCACCGGCAGATGACCATCAATCACCACCGTCGTCCTCGTCACAGCTGCTGACCAGGCCAAGCGGACGTAGCGAAGGGCTTCACTCATCCCTCTCGCCCCATCGTCCCGCCACTCCACTCCAGTCACCATGTTGACATCCTACCTCCAACATGGCCTTCCCCCGGCGAGACATCAATCATTGTCCTCGACCGTCGGCATGCGGACATCAACCAGCACTCGTCTCACCCGTCCCAGCGCCACCAATATTGCTCAATCTCGCAGTCATTGGGGATGGCGACGTCCTGGCGACTATAGCTCACACGTCGATCCCTTGTTCCACCGTTTCCACCGTTCTCGCTCGCTGAAGACAAGAGCCAAGCAGATTGATAAAATGAGACGTCGGAGTCGATGGGATTGGGATGCAGCTCAGCAACCATTCTTCAACGCAAAGCACATTCGCTTCGCGAGTCACTTTGGCGGTCCCAAGTATCATCCACGCAAGCTTGAAGCCGATAGAAAGAATGACCGAGGCCTTGATGGAGAAGACGGGTTCGAGCTGACCGAAGCCRAGAAGAAGTGGAAGGAAGACATGGAACGCATGCGGAAGCGTATTGAGCAGGATCCATACGAGGCCGTCTTTGGGAAGCGTTTCCAACCATTCTGGAGCCCGCTCCTCAGCCCGATCCTGCGATGGACCAGCGAAGAGCTGACCGCAAAAGCTGACGCTCCTGCAGAAATAAAGCCCAAAGATACCGCGGCCAAGAAGACACCGGAGCCTGTAAAGACCGAACAGCCAGCTAAGAAGGAGCGTGACGTGGATGCTGACACTCCGAATGGCCAGCTGACCACCTACTCATATTCTGCATCCACGGCCTGGGATTCCAAGTCCAACAATACCCGCGGACAGGAGTGGGACTCCAATTCTGGAGAGACCAAAACCTGGGTGTACGATCCAATCGCTAATCGAAAAGTCCTCCGAGTTCAGAAACCCATGCCAATTAGCCCAGCCCAGGCCATTCAGGCACTCCCATCGATCCCAGAGTCCAGATTGAAGGAACTGACCCAGAAAGAAGTTCGTAAGCCTATTGGAGTACCAACGACGACTGTGAACGAAACAGACAAGGCCTCTGTGTACTTTCCGTCTTTATTGAACACATCCGTGGCTGCAGGCCCAGCTAAGACTTCACCCATCACCAAAGCTCCCGAAAGCGATCTTGAACTTCTCACAGCGGAAGACGTTCGAGCCTCGATGCGAGGTCGACAAGATCGTGCCCACTACAGCACACGTGCGAGCCCACAGAAGCCAGCAGTCTTGCAGCCAGCAATACATCGCATGCAGGCAAAGGAGATTCCAGAGCCCGAGGATTTCGATGACTCCGCTGCACACGAGTCAACAGGTGAAGGGATACAATCGAGCCATGWTCCGCGGGATTGGGATAAACAGGCCGAGTTGCTACAAGCCAACCGCGTTCTACGAACCCGCGGCGTCGCAAACGATGAACCTACTAGGCTTCCTGCTGACAACGATCCTTCATACACGCCGGCGGGGTTCAAACCACCCACTGTATACATGCACGGCCGCAAGGTGGAAGAGAACGGTCGCGTAATTGATGAGCACGAGAGGACACCGGCTGACAATGATCCAACCCTCGATCGATTTGCTCGCTTCAAGCCGCCGACTGTCTTCAAAGATGGACGCAAAGTGGAGGAGAATGGCCACAAGCTTAATGCACTTGCGCGTACTCCATACGACAACGATCCTACGATGGACAAGAGTGATGGTAAATTCAAGCCGCCAACAGTGTACATGGGAGGGCGAAAGGTCGAGGAAAACGGCCACAAGATTAACGAACTTGCGCGTACTCCATACGACAACGATCCTACCATGGACCGGGACGTGAAACTCAAGCCACCGACTGTTTATGGGAGCTTGAATAGCAGCAAGGCCAAGCACTCCGTCCCCGCCTACGATCCCAACGCCGATAAGCAGAGCAGAWACCAGCGAAAAGTGATTGAATTGAAGAGAGAGCTGGACCTGTCTTACGAACAAAGCACGATCAATTCAGAGATGCACGTAGAGCGCATTCGTGAGTTGGAGCGTGCACTACAACAGGCCTGCGCCAAGGACACATCCAAGGACGCGCGCAAGGACGCATCAAAGGTCACTGGTCCAGAGCACGTCCAGGCAGAGGGCGATTTCGACATTGCCAACGTGGCACGATTTGCCAAGGACAATTCCAAGTGGTACAAGCAGTCGACGCATTCGCCCGTTGCAAGTCCACAGGGTCGAGAAATCTCCGCAAGTTCCGCAAGTACTCCCTCGCGGGATCCCGTTGTTGAGAAGTTGCTCGCCAAGTCTGCAAAGGAGCATGGCATCGCTTATCGTGAAGCGACACACGAGGACACCAAGAACCTGCTGAGAGAGATGGCAGAGAAAGACCGTCAGATAAGCGAGTCACGCGCTGGAAGAAGTCCGGTTGTGGATTCCCATTCAGCCAGGATTGATAGGGAGATGGCTATCAACTACAAGAATAAGCCAGAGGATACCGCCAAGCTGCTTGCAGACCAGGCCGAACAAGACCGCCAGATTCACGAGACTCGCCAAGGGAGGAATCCCTTCCAGGATCCACTTTCAGCAAAGGTGGACAAGGAGATGGCCGAGAAGTTCGAGCACAAGCCTGTTGATACTAAGAGGTTGCTCGCAGACTATGCCGAACAGGATCGTCAGATTCAAGAAAGCCATGCTGGTAGGAATCCCTTCCCAGATCCGCTCTCAGCAAAAGTCGACAAGGAGATGGCTGAGAAGCACAAGTACAAGCCAGAGGATACCATCAAGCTGTTAGAAGCAGATGCCCTGCGGGAGAAGGAGTGGACCAAGTATGTTGAAGAGAAGAAGGTTGATGCCGTTGAGAAGAAGAAGGATGCAGTCAGTTGGAATGTTCAGTGGGCAGATCCACCCGTTTACAAAGTCCTCGCATACGACTCTGGTAACGATATGTTCTCCACTGCGACCACCTCGTCCAACTTTACCACCCACGAGTCACCCATCTCGATCCAGGATGCTCTGTCGCAGCTATATCAACCAGCCAGATTCGTTCCTCACTTTGCRGAGTTACAGAAGGAGGGCTTTCAAGTCATCTTTGGCACCAAAGACTTGTTACTCTTCAAAAAACGCGTCGATCTCAAGCCTTCTCTCGTGGGTCATGACCCGGTGAAGTCAAACGATACGCAAGCGCAGCCAATCACCTCTTTAGTGGAGCCAATATCGGAAACATCGAACGAGGGCGCAAAGGCGAGATATACTCCACCAGGTACCCCGAGCTACGTCTCCCCTGGCTGTCCAAACAAGAAGTCAGGCACGGCTGTCAATGGCCCGAGTACGATTCAGTCTCGACGTGGCGACATGTTTGATTCGCGAAAAGACCACGACAACAAGCGAAGCGCACGTGTACATCGCGAGGAGCGGGTATTCTCCGGCCGCAAGAGTGGCGGATATCAACGCTCCGAGCTGACAGCGGAGGAGATTGAGTTGTTGCGTAGACTCAAGGGTAACGGCAGCGGCTGGGTTAGCAGACTTAGGTGGGCGCTCGGAGTTGGTGTAGGTGCAAGCGCTGTAGCTTATGGCGTTGGAGTCGCTGTTGAGAACAAGGAGCATCGAGACCGGGAGCGCTGGGAGGATGTTCTCGCAGGGCGAAAGAGTTCGTAGTGGGACAGCCCTCTATTTGAAGCACGACAATCATGGGCGGAGCAATGATGCATTTATGAGCGTTATGAAGGGCGATGGAGTTTTGGCGAAGGGCACAGCGGCGTATTTTCGAATTTTTGATACTCTCAGGTCTCGCAGGGCGTGGGAGGTTAACATGGCTGGAGTGAGACTGTCGCTTGAGAGGAGAAGCGGAAGGGATGGATGGACTTTGGACGAATCTCGCAATGGGGCTCTCGCTTGTCCATAATTTGCGATTTTCGGGACACCTCTACTCAGTTTTTGCTCGCCGCAAGTGACTCGATCGTTTGCGGTAAGATAAGTCGTAGCATAGGAGCATACGGTGAAGGTTACACCTCCGTAGTTCATTTCGTCTTCTTGGATGGGTTTGCAGCTTTCCCACCGCCTAATCTTGAGACCAGACGTGAGTACATGTCTACACCCATGAAGATCGCTGGAAAGAAGAAGAAGAGGAAGAAGTTAGATGTGACTGGCGTTGTACGATATGACGAAGGAAGAGGACTTACAAAGCGCAATATAAGGCCCATAGAGCTGTCCCAGACCCATCTTCTCGTCGGTGCTGAGATTGTTCCAGGAGAGGAAATCTGCGATGCAAGTTGCTGTTGTGATTGCGGTTTGTACGGCGTAGATTAGGAGGTGGATGGGGACTTTTGGGTCATCTATGAGATCTTGTTAGTCACATGAGGATTTCTTTCCCACGTGAGAGATTTTCAAGGATGTCTTACCGCGTAGTAGAGCTCCTATCGCCCAGGTGGAAAGGGGAAGGTGGTAGAGCAGTTCCATGTACATGTATAAATCGAACCAGGCGGGAGGAGAGACGAAGAATTGATCGCGGTAGGTTTGGATGTACCAGGTTCGGAGGGTGGTCATGAAGGTTGGCTTTAGGGATTCTGGGTAGAGGGGTGTGAGGTCCACGCCTGTTTCATTGGGGGAAAAAGGGTGTTAGTTTTTGGAGAGAGTGGATGGGGAGGAGGAGGAGGAGGAGGAGGGCTCTTACAGAACATTACGGGGATGTGGATTAGGAAGAAGGTTAGGTAGAGGAGATCTTTTTTACGGGATAGGATGGACATTTTGGATGGGTGGGAGTTGGAGTTGATGGTGTTTTTTGTTGGGGTAGATGAGGAAAGGTCAGCAAGTTGAGGTCGTGGAGGTTTTAAAGGGTGAAGTTTGCATGGGTTCGATGATCGACGAGGTTGTTGTTCTTGGCATCTGTATGGGTGGATGTCATGTTTGTGGAAGAGGAAGAGAGACATGGGGACATGGGGACGTGGATTTTGGTACTGTTCGTGATCTACTATTGCCATTTACAATATCCTACAGGCTATCTGTTGTTTGAACCCAGGATGCGGCTGTGTATTGAGCCAGTTCACCCCATAGTTCCATAACATCGACTCCACAAGTTTTCCGACGCGGTGCAGCATTCGTTCATATGAGCATCCAGAATGCTCCCGATGCAGTCTCATCCGCGATCGATGGGTCGTCGTTCTCACAATGCACATGTGATCTTTCGATCTACCCTGGAACATCCCATCACTGCCCCAAGACCTGCTTGACAATCCTCGCGACCTCTGCGCGATCCACCGGCTTTCCTTCCAGACTGCCTCCAGGACCGATGACCTTCTTCAGTACCTGGCCCATGTTACTCCCACTGCCTCCCTGCACCCCATCCACCACCGCAATGACGGCTTCTCGGATTTGCTCCTCGGAAAGGGTCTCCACGCTCCCCGCATACTCCTCCATGACCGCCGCCTGCTGATTCTCCTTCTCCACCAAGTCCTCTCGACCTGCTGCTTTGGCCTCCTCGCCGGCATTCTTCGCAGCTGCTGCGCGTTTCCGCAATATAGACAGCAGCTGCAAGTCGGACTTGATGGGATTTGATGTTTTGGCGGAGTTTGCCACTTCGGCTAGGAGGGTTCGGAGAACATTGAGACGGTTGGTGTCCTTGGCCTTCATCGCCGTCTTGAGATCCCCTTTGAGCTTGAGCAGGAGAGGCGGCGCTGGCGGGGTTGGGGGGACTGGAGTGGCGTATGTGCGGCGGCATTGCAGACAGACATTGCGGGTGGGAAGAAATGGAATCATGCGACTTCGCGCGAGAGAGCGGGTGATGTTGAGGGACATGTTGGAGATGCAGAACAGGAGAAGGTGGGATCATAAGGTAAACGACTTTAGGGTAAGGTACATAGCTCCGTAAATTTTGTCATTTCTTCACATCTGACCCCCCCAAGGATTGGTGGAACGCGTTCGCGATTAAACTTTGGATGTTCCTGGCCTGGTTTCTGTTTCCAACAACATCTTCAGCAAACAGCTCCAAGTGAATGGAAATTTCTCTTAAAAGGACGGATCACGGATAACGAACGACCAAAAGAGGAGGGTGTCATCTTCTTCCATCGACGAACACGAATCATCCGCCCACCATAATCGACAGAAGACGGCTTCTTTCACACCGCGGAGTGATGCGCTGCTGCACCGGCACCAACAACAACCTCGCCGTTTCTCCCCACCCGCGTCGGTAATCATTCCAATTCAACATGGCAGCTGCAGCCCCGGCGACGCCGCAGCGCCCATTGCCCGGCGCCTTTATGAACACACCGGCGCCTCCGCAGGGCTCTACCATCTTCTTCAACAATGCCGCGACTTTGCGCCAGAACCAACCGCAAGCGCCAACCGAGACCGCGGCCAGTACGATTAGCACACAGACCACAGCGCCCGTGGAGCGTGCAGCTCGCACCATCAACGACACTCTGGCAGGAGAGGAGCGATTTCCAGAGCTCGAGTCGTACGTGACCCAAGGTACAAGCGGAGAATATGAGCTGCCCACAAGTCCGGCGTGGCTACCATTCCAGAGGCTGAAGAATCATGATCTTCCGCCAAGATTGATGGAGCAGGTCGGACTGGCGGGAATGGGCATGACCCTGGGCATCTTCCCTCCATTGGGCCATGGATGGGTTGCAGTGGACAACTGCCTCTACCTCTGGGATTATTCCCATCCGAACCCAGAGATTATCGGCTTCGAAGAGTGTACGCATCCCATCACCAGTGTCCAATTGGTCACACCCAAGCCGGGAGTCTTTGTTGCCGACATCAAGCACATGATTGTGATTTGCACAGCAGAAACGATGCTGTTGCTTGGAGTTGCCACCCCAACCACTCCCACCGGTGCACAAACAGTCGCGCTGTACGACACGAGGATGCAGATTCCCATCAGAGGGCTCGCGGTCAATATCGTGGAATGCTCGAGGAAGAGCGGGCGCATCTTCTTCTCCGGAACCACATCAGACGACATATACGAGTTCCACTACCAACAGGACGAAGGCTGGTTTAGAGGTAGATGTAGTCGTATCTGTCACACCAAGTCATCGACAAACTTCCTCTCGGACAATATCGCCGCCGTGGGCTACATTTTTGGGTCCCGGGAACAAGCCAAGACTTTCAGGCAAATCGCCATCGACGACTCCCGAAACCTGTTGTACACGCTCAGCACTACAAGTGAGATCAAAGTTTGGCTCATCAAGGATCGACTGGATGGCGGTCTCACGCGACTTTTGCCTTCTTTGCTCCAAAACACCGGACATTTTAACAGCCGCACCGAGCTGCTCCAAGGGAGAGATGTTGCGATTGCTTCTCTCAGCGTCATCCCGGCGACCGAAGCACGCAAAGTCAGCATGATGGCTACCACCAACACAGGCTGCAGGCTGTACTTGTCCGTCACGCGTGGATATGGCTACCAAGCAGACGCGCAAAACCCACCCACAAGCATCCAGATCCTGCACATTCGCTTCCCCCCGACAGATCCCCATGCACCACGAGCGCCGATACAGCAAAATCAAACAGCTGTTGGCGCGTACAACCCCAGCGGACAAGGCGACAGCAGTTCGAGATATCTCACACCGACGACAAATGCCACCCGCTTTCCGCCCGGTTACTGGATGGCAACTGGCCCAAATCCGGATGGCACTACCACCCCCAAGCTCTTCTGCGCGGCATTCGACTCAGCGCGGCTCAAAAATCCGCAGGACACGGCCCAGCTGAAGGACCGCTTTGCGGAGTATGGCCAGTGGATTGACCTTCCGGATGGGTTTGAACAGATCTTGACCATGAACGACGATTTCGCTGCTGCCGGTGAGCCTACTGGATTTGGCAATGAGCTGGCCGTACAATTTGACAAGACCTCATCTGAATTTGCCATTGTGACGTCTTCGGGCATTCAGACCATCCGCCGGAGAAGACTCGTCGACATCTTTGCGTCAATCATGAAGTATGGATCATCAGATGATGAAGGTCTCGAGGGAGATATCAAGCGGTTCGTGCGAACGTATGGCCGAGGTGAGACCGCCGCGACTGCGCTTGCCGTCGCATGCGGTCAGGGCGTTGATGTTGCTGACAGCCGCGTCGCCAACGTCACTGATCCCGAGGTCATTGAGAAAGCCCGCAAAGCATTCATCGAACACGGTGGCAAGGCAGACTACAATGCGAATGCAGTCATCGATCAAACGGCTGCGCCCATTGACAGTGTACGACCCAGTCCGCGGCACGAGGGAATGGCTCTGTACATCTCGCGTATCGTTCGGTCAATCTGGAAAGCCACAATCATCCAGGAAACAGTCGTTCCCGGCGTGGGTGTTCAGATGGTGCCAACCATCACATTGGAAAAATTGCGCTCTGTCCAGCTCAATTTGAACTCGCTGAGAGACTTTCTCGACCGGAATCGCAGCTTCATTGAAGGATTGGCAGGTCCAGAGGCTCTGAGCAGAGTCAGCTCTCGACAAGAAGAAATTGCGCTACAGGGCGAGCATCGTGCGATGAACAGCCTGCTCGAGCTTATCAGAAGCATCACCGAGGGTATCAGCTTCGTACTTGTTCTTTTTGACGAGCGAATTGAGGAGATTCTTGCTCTTCTCCAAGAAGATAGCAAACAAAAGGCAAGAGAACTCACCTTCGAGGGACTGTTCGTCTCGCCTACTGGCCGCGACCTTGCGAAGGAACTCGTAAAGGCCATCGTCAACCGAAACATCGCCAACGGCAGCAACGTAGATACTGTCGCCGAAGCGCTTCGCCGAAGGTGTGGCAGTTTCTGCAGCGCAGATGATGTGGTCATATTCAAGGCGCAAGAACAGGTCAAGCGTGCTTCCGAAGCAAACTCCACCGAGACTGGCCGTGCTCTGTTGAATGAGAGTCACAGGCTCTTTGCCACGGTCGCGAGCAGTCTGAGTTATGAGCATCTCAGATGGGCGACTGAGCGCTACGTCGAAATGGAGTTCTTCGCTGGCGCCATTTCACTCTGCCTAACTGTCGCCACTGAAAAGGACAAGTCAAAAAGAGCTCTCGCATGGTTGAGGGACGACAGACCAGAACCAGATGCGAGAAAAGAAGCTTTCGACAGCCGTAGTGAATGCTACAATCTCATATTTGCAACGATCGAAGCGCTCGATCGTACAACGGCAGACCAGCCCGAGCTCGTGGATGGAAGGTATACACTGGCAGTCAGGAGACGCAACGAGGCGTACACACTCATTGATGACTCGGATGATCTTGTTTTCCTCACTTGTCTTTACGACTGGTACGTGGAGAGACTGCAGCAACCTGATCGCCTCCTCAAGATCGAGAACCCCTACGTCGTGGAATACCTTCGCAAACGTAGTCAGGACAGCAGAGGCCACGCCGACCTACTTTGGCGTTACTTCGCCCACTACAACGACTACCTCCAGTCGGCTTCCACCCAACTCGAGATCGCGCAGTCACACTTTGAAATTAGCTTGGAGGATCGCATTGGCTACCTGTCGCGGGCTCGGACCAACGCCAGCACCCGCCAGACAGCGATCACAGATTCTCGCCAAACCAAGCAGAAGCTTCTCCGCGAAGTGTCTGACCTTCTCGAGATCGCCAGTGTTCAAGACGAGATCCTCAATCGTGTCCGCAGTGACCCGCGCTACAGCGGCGAAGAAGCCCGCCTCGTTCACATTCGAGCCCTCAACAGCCAAATTCTTCCAGTGGAGACCCTCTTCAACAACTTTACAGATCCAGGCAGCTATCACGATCTGTGCATTATGCTCTACCAAGTCGCGGACCACCGCAACCCCGCAGACATTCTGGCCTCATGGCAGCAGCTGATTACGCAAACGAGCAACGAAGCGCCTGCACTTTACGGCACTCAGCGTGCTCCATGGGAAGCAGTCGGCGCCAAAGTCCGCGAACTTGGAAGGAGATTGCACGCCGCACCCTCTACGTTCCCCATCCAAGCGCTCCTCCCCATGCTCGAGCGTTACGCAGCCGAGACCCCTTCCGCAAGCCAGATCACGCAGACATGGGCTGTGGACATCTTCCTCGACCTGGAGATCCCACACGAGACATTACTCCCTGCTCTCGAGCAGATCTATTATGGTAATGAACACCCTTTTGTTGGTAACAGGAAGAAACACATTGCGGCGAAGATTATCTACCTTTTGGCCGAATGGATGACTGCGAGTGAGATGAGCGGTGACAGGATTTTGTTTGGAAGTGAGGAGAATTTGAGTATGGTGGTCGATATTCTGGCGCAGTTGTTGAGAGGCRGGGCTTTGGACCCGCCGGGGCAGAGGCAGGCGGAGGAGCTGGCGGCGAATATTAATCAGGCTGCGAGGTAGATTGAGATGAAGCGCCGATGCAGTTGAGTGAAGGAGGAGGCCTTTCGCAGTGAAAGGTGGCCTTTTGGAAGATAAGATTTAGCGACGGCGTTCCATTGCTGCCTCCAATTGTTGCCGTCTTTGGTCGATGAAGCTCTACTCGTTGGACTAGTCTCCGTGATGAAAAGTAGACGCCATCACGTTATGCAGAATGGTGAAAATGTGATGTTTGTGATGGGAATGGTTCGCTATTAGGTCCTTGCTCTGACGTGATTATTAAGGTGAAGTCTGATTGCTCGCGTCTCGCTTCTCGTGGAACCTTCCGACTGGACACCCGCAATCGCATACACGATGCTCGACGTTCCAATTATAGTACAGTACATACACGCACCCACCAAACATGCAAACCGCTTCTACCAATTCTCTGGCCTCGGTTCCTTCTACTCGCTCTTTYTGTCGTCCGCTGCTGACTGGCTCCCGTTGGTCTCCAGCTTCGTCTCGAGCTCTGGCTTCGATGATCCATCGCCATGGCCAGAGGCAGACTGGAGCTCGTGAAAGAACGTCTTAAATCTACCGAGTGAAGGTCGTCTCCCTCTGGTTGACGGCGAAGTCTCTTCTTGTGGCGAAGGGTACCCCATCGGCGGCGGCGAGCCCGAGATGTCGGAGATTTGGAGTGGAGATACTGCTGTGGAATCCCCGACCAGAGTATCTGCTCCATCAAGTTCTGCAATCGAAACATCAGTGTCTTCAGATATGAGACTGCCACGACTGAAAGCCCGTGATTCCGCTTCGCCAGTCGCCAACTCGTGGCGATGCGCAGTACCAACACACCGAGCTGTCGAATTGGCGTCGAGCTCGGGTTTGACAACATCTTCTTTGATGTCATACCCTTCCAGCGGCTTGATCCAACCGCGAAGGTCGCCGCTTCTGTCGTTGAGCGATGTCTCCCTTGGATCAGGCAGTCCGACTGTGCCCCACCTGCGTTCTCTTGCCAGTTTCTTCTGCCGCCAAAGCCACGCAAGGCGACCGATGATTACCAAAAGTGCAGTTATGGCTCCGATACAGATGCCCGCGATGGCACCTTTGCTCAGACTTGAGCTACTCCTGTGGTGGTACACTACGATCTCTCTTTCATCGTTGCCAGCGGGGAAGCTGGCCTGGGCTATGGTGAACTCTTTGCGATTGTAGTCCACCGCGAGGTATGCTTCTTGCAAGAACGTCCGTCCAAGGAAATACTGGCTCTCATTCGCCGCACGCTTCAGTGGGAAATAGCCTCCAGAGTCTGTTGTCAGATCAAAGGCCAAATATGGAAGTACGACGTCCACGCTTCGGGCGTGAGTCTCATCACTTCCTGCTAGTGAGAAGGTAATGTTGGGATTCCGCATCTTGAGCGTGTCAGTATCGTTCGCGTAGTATCGTTTTGCTGTATCATTCCACACCAGACCAAATGCTGATTCGAAGGAGCTGCAGGCTGCCACGGGAAGCCAAATCYCCGGGACCATGCTGTCGATATACGTAGATATCGGTAGTCCGCCAGTGGACACTGGCCCTGAGACTGTGTCAAGGGTGATGCCTGTGATTGAAACCAAGAGATCCTGTTCAGACCCGAAAGGAACAGTCAAGCCATGCTCCAAGTCTCCGCGCTTCTTATCCCAGCCGCCAAATGTCAGACTGCCATACTGCTTCCCCTCTGGTGGTCGGTACTGAGCGCCAGCAGTGTAGGCCCAGTAGGGGGCCCTCACCTTGCCATTCTCTTTCAGAGCTCCGAGGATACTCTCATGCTGATCAGTTGCGTTTACGATCGTCGCGTTCCGCGCTTTTAACCCGAGCTGGCCTATGAAAGGAAATTGATTGGCGAACGCAGCAACGACCTGAGACTCCAAAGGCGGTATAACATCTCCTTCTCCACCAAGCGCAACGACATCAGTTCCCACAAGCGCAGGCCCCTTGTACCCAAGAGACTTCTCCGATTCGAAGTTGAGCTGGAAGTAAGGCTCAGCTTTGGACGTGCTGAGATCAACGAACGTGCTCGAAGAGTTCCATTGGAAGAGCCCGCCACGTCGTTCATTGCAATTGGCGACACTTTTGTTGTTGCAACCCTGAGGATGAACAACCCACACTTCAGAGCCCGAAGTCGATGGGAGAACTCGAACGAGCTGCGGTGGCGTTCCCACACGGAGATCAAATGTGGACCATGGACCATCGTTGCCTTCCCACTGGTAGCTTGGATTGATCGAGAGCGCCATTATGCGGGCGTAGTATGGTTGAAATCCTTCGCAATCTCGGGCGCACCTCTGATGTCCTGGGCGCCGTATGTCAGAGCAATGCCACGTCCAAATGTGGGCGAGATGCACAGATGATCTGATTTGCGCTCTCAGTGTGCACAAGTTTCAGAAGGCTGCGTCTGAGCATCTTCATGGTATCAATCGGGATGTCGTGCTTACTGAGGAGAACCGACACACCATCACCGCTCGAAATGTGGCGATTCCCTTTGCCACTATGCGGTCTGGTCAATCTGCAGTACCGTATTATAAGAGCACCCGCATGAAATGGTGGGAGCACTTCAACCCAACACATTACACGACGTCCACATTGCTGTCTTTGCAATCCCCAGCTGACCTAAATTGTAGCTACGTAACATGGTTCTGGGAATATCCCAACTGGACATCAGTACTTTGATTGTCGTGGAGCCACCGATCGATCGCATGGACAGTACATGCTGTACAAGCATATGACYGTATCTTCTGCACCGTATAATGACGCATGAGACTACAGGTTATAAGTGACGGAAGAGAAGTTTGCTCCAATACCTGTATCCTGAAGCTGATCATAATGTCAGGTGCATAATCTTGTTGGGTTGCCATGCGAAGTCCGTTTCACAGGTATCGATTGCTGCAGCTGAAGCTTACATCGGGATTGATATAAGCTGACTCCGCATGAAAGCACCCGAAGAAGTCGTCTGCCACCCTGGGAAGTGCAGCATCTGCGTTGTACATTATAGGCTGTTGCAACGAACGAGTGTCACTGCTYGTGAGCGACAAATCCCGAATAGAAGGCTTGAGAGTGAGTGTGGGTTTCTGGCTTCCGATGCCTCGTGGCACAAACGGCCATGACTTGAACTGCTCCCATAATGTGTGCCATGTCTGCAACACGTTGTTATAATATCGCGGGTACTGGTCAGGCTTTCGATCCACGCAAGCAGGTAACATCGACTCGAGGATTACGCGGCTCGAAATGCAGCTGCCTTTCGAATGCCTCGATCTTCGTCCCGATATAAGCACTAGACATTTAGACTTGCTCTACTACGTTTGTGCATCTGATTTTCAGCAATTGATGCTTTGACTGCCGCCGAAGCACGTTGAGCGTACGCTTCTATCTCAGGAGAAAGTTTCGCAACTTCAACACTCCGTCTGAAAACCCTTTTGTCTGTGATGATGATAAAAGCTCTGAGCTTTTGTTTTATAGCGACCGCCAATGCCTTCATCACGGCAGAAACCACAAACACTGAAGCTCTGGGAACTGGCGGACCACCTGAATACCTAGCCTCTCGGTCGGACTTTGGCGGCACGACCTGGACGGAAGGCTCATTGAGGCCATCTGATGGGCGGTCATCTAGCTGGAGCCCTTTCATTCCAAGAACGGGGTCGAAGAGCCACTTCTTCGGTCATCCGTTCTGTTCCATTACAGTGACAAGCCCTGGTGTTGTTTCCATTTCAACGGTTATCGTAACCTCAATCATCACTCAGATTGAGGTTACCACCCACATCTTATCAGTACCCACCACAACTACGATCACAGACGAATGGACCAGCCCAACGATACATTCACGGAGCTCGCCTGCTTGTGAACCACCAGGAACAACGCCCGCAGGAAATGCCGCATACTGCAATGGTAAAGGCTGCGAGATTACATTTGACAAAGGCGCCATTGTTCATTGGGAGCTACTCACCAATCGCACGGCTCTTGTCACCCACTACTTGCACAACACGTGTATGGATGTGGTTTGCAACACCATGGAGTTCAACCTTTACTACTCTCGGAGTGCCACGAGCTGTGATCGGCCGCCATGCCCGAGCAATAGTCTCAACTGCGAATGTAACATTGTGGTTGGTCCATTTGTTCTACCTGACGGGCGCATCACTACAGTGTAAGTCTTACCGCGGTTGAGTGGTCTGTTGATGCAAAATTGCTAACAAATGAGATAGCACGCAGACAGGACCGTCTGGTTGGAATCTCAATTTAGGTCCAACGGCAACAGCTCACAACATAGCTCGCTGCGGTACTGGAGGAGCCGAATGTCTCGAGGCCTCTACCACTACCCTCTTCACTCCTTTGGTCTATACAGACCATGTCAAAGTCCTCAAAATCACACATCATAGAAACAATTCCAAACACGAAGCAACGGCTTTTCTGCTCCCGAAACTCGCAGCCTACTTCCCAGCAAACTATCCTCTGGGACAATGTACAAACATCAAGCTATCCCTACCTTTACCGACCCCTACAGCGCTTTCGAAGCGCGACGACGTGGCAACAGTCGGCGGCGATGGAGTTACTACTTGGCCAGGCTGCGCGACTTTGACGGATGATTCTGTTGCGAAACGAGGCCTGATGGCTCGGCAGGAGTCTGCGACTAAGTTGCCGATATGTAGCTCGAGGGGGGAACGCAAGACTGAGACTGTTACGGCCAGTCCTTGGGGTCCTGGTACTACTACAAGCGCTGTGGAGTCTCGGGTAAGGTCGGAGGCGAGGAGATGGGAGGTTCGGAGTTGTGGTTGGGTTGTGTGGTTTGCGGTTGCTTGGTTTATTCTTTGATGAGCGAGTTGTGGGTCTTTGATGATTGCATTCTTTAGATGTGAATGATTGATGATTGAAAAGGGTGGAGAAGAAGCATTAGGATGGGACAAAAGAGACGTGCAATATACACAGCAATCGATATCAATGGAATCGTGTGAAGTCATCTATCATTGAAAATGGTTGGCCCCGGTACATAGAGGCAGGAGAATTTGAATATTAGTGTGACAACATATAACATTCATTTCAAGCGAGCGAAGTTCCTTGCAATGATGCCCTTGCATGCGAATATAATACCCCGTATTTCGAGCTGAACTGGGAGTTCTGGTCTTTGAACAAAAGTTACCTAATTAGGCACATCGTGACGAAGTTTCGCCACTAGACTAACCTATGGGGTCTAACGTCGCCCTACCAATTCTCGGCGACAGTGTCCTCACTAGCTATCATCTATGGACAGATCTAGAAGACCGGAGCATGCAGGGTCTGCGACACCACGACATCACAGGTCTGGTAGAGGATTTGGGTGTCTTCACATAACCACTCCAAAGGCTAGGCTCGTCTTGCCTCCGCGCCAAGGCCACCCACTCCAGTAGTGAAGCCTGGCCACAAGTGTGGGAGAAGAGAGGAATCGAGACTACCACTCGAACCATGGTTGCGAGAACAGGTCTCTCCCATGCTTCTCCGAGCACGTCTTTCTGGGCTCTGGTCTCGGCAGATAACTCAATGGTTGACGATACTCCGGTCTGGCCACGCAAAAGCGCCGGGATCTGACCACGACTTTTGGACGACCCTCGGACATCTTTCTACCCTACAGCGTTCAACCGCCGCTTGAAATGGATCTTGAAATGGATGACGAGAACTGCTCATCCAGCGATCGATGTTGCTTGTTGGGATCTCGCCCCTTCTCCTGTGTTGTGCAATAGTCAAAGATGAAGCGAGTGACAAAGAGTGTGGTATCAAATGCCAAGAAAATGCGCTTTTGGGTAAGTGTCTCAATCGAGCCATATATGGAGACACTACCCTGTATGACGCTGACAGGGTCCTAAAGCTTCCTTCTTAGTGTCGSCTAGCTTATTGGAAGGCTTTCTTGCTAGATTGTCTGCTTTGGAAAGGTCTTGGATGGACTGGAAGCGATCCACTGGGTGTTCCAATGGCATGGAACCATCTAGCTTGATCAGGAGAATTGTGTTCATGATTAAGTGACAATCATGCGGTAGTTCTACAATCATGTTACGACCCGAGACATTTGCATCACATTACCTGCGAGCTTTAGGCGGCGTCCGTGGGTGATTTGACCATTGGCATGGCCAGGTTTGCCTATAAAGTACAGGTAGTTTCCCACGAACGAGGAAGACATCAATCTCATCAGCTTCATTCCAAGCATACCAATCTCATCCACGAAGACTCCAAGCACAATCACCTGCCGCAGCAACAACAACAACAACAACAACAACAACAACAACAACAACAACAACAACATCACCATGAAGATCACCTACATCATCGCCGCCTCCGTAGCTGCCGTAGCTGCTTCGCCAGTCGCCAAAGACCACACGCAGGAGAAGCGAGCCGCGTGTTTCCCTTTCCAAAACATCAACGGCTGCACAATCAACTGTGGCATCGACTCCTACGGTGGCGATTTCTACAATTCTTTCGCCAAGGATCTACCCGAATGCGCTGCCAGGTGCAAGCAGGCTTCCCAATGTGTCGGATTCTCATACGTGGGAACTGAGTGCTACATGAAAGGCTCGCTGGGTGTCCCGAACCCTGACCTGCGAGTTATCCTTGGCATCTGTCCCAAGTAGTGGAATCCGACACTCCCCAACCACCTCCTACACATCTCCGAGGCCTATCGTCCTTCGATCATAGCAAAAGCGCACCAGCAGCTACAACTACTGCTCCGCCAGTATACATCTACATCTGCACTTGTTAGGACGATTCGGGAGCATCTACTTCGATGGATTCACTCGCTTGTTGGATTTGTAATTAGAGCTTTAGGTGGAAAGTTGTAGCGTGTGATAGACAGGGTATTCGAGAAGGGCCATTCACTCACTATATAGTCAGGCAATCATCATTACTATTGGGAATCAAGCGTCGTACATCCTCCCTAGCGTCTAGGGACTGTGATATGAAGTGAAACATCACCATCCTTGCTAGTGAGATCAATAGTGCCTTGTCCACGAAGAAAGCGGAGACATGGAGAGAAGGTAACAGATGCCGCTAATATTTCCATCGTTAGCATAGTCACTTTCCAAGGGGTTTGGTAAATAGCGAGCGCTCATTCTACTCGAAAAAAACCMTTTTTTGCCACGATCTTTAGAAACCACAACTACGACGTATGATAGATCGCATGATGTTCAATCTCATTCATGTTTCGTGTCCAAATATGATGCTGTCATTGACTGGTTGCGGTGGAGGTTCCGTGATTGTCAAGTATACTGTCATTTTTCAAATCCCCTTMTCACAGGGCGGATGGGCCTTTTTGGAGGAATATTCCTGTCAAATTTTGCGTTGTCGATGTGGACGCTCCTTGCGTTGGAACATCACTCGTTGCTGCACAGTGGAGAGCTTCCGGCTCATCGATGCTATCGCAGATCAGACCTCATTTTGAACGCTGTGTTGGTCTTCAAACACAATTTCTGGCCCCTTGCGAAATGATCCAGAACTCGCTTCTCCGTCGAGCACCCTTGAGCTTCCCAACGTCCGAACTCCGACTTGCGTTGTCGCATGAAGTTAATCAAGCATGTCCTAGCCAAAGCTGTTTGACTCTAAGCCGACCGTCTTTGAGCATTTGAGCCTCCTCATGGGCCGTCACTTGGCCACGTAAATCAGGTGCACGCGCATATGGATCCCACCAGATCTCCCAGGCCCAGGCTCCAGCGAAGCCAAGGGTATGGCGGATGAAAAGCCAGCAGCCAAAGCCAAAAGCGATCCATGAAACAAGCCTGTCGTTTCCCGCTAGGTATGTTGTTGCCAAAGTACGAGAGTACCCCGTCAGTACCATGAGGAGGAGAATGAAGCAGAGCGGAAGATTGAACCAGAAGCAAAATTGTGCCAGAGGCGTCTGGAAATTGGAGATGAGTTGCCAGGGGGCGTATGATGTTTCGCTTTGAGTGGATCGTTTTGTCTTTGATGTTGATCGAAGCATTGTCTTGATTGCGAGTGGTCCTAGTCGTCTCGTCTGTAGAGGAGTTTTCGTTCAATCACAAGTACCATGTATCTGGAGATCCAGAGAGGATAGTACCGCTCAAGACTTTACGGCAACTTCGTCAAGACAGGTGTTAAAGGAAGAGAGCATCGACGATACTGATGTCATATCTGCAAGGCTGGAAGCAAGGGGCACAGCAAGCTTGCAGGTGATCGCCAAGACCAAATGCAGACCAAGAAATTTGGCAGGCGTATCGCTGCCTCCGCTCCGTCGCCCGAGGCTTCGCCTATGCATACTCGAAATTCAGTCCACAAAGCCTACGGTACAGCCGTGTTACCAAACGACCTGGGGTCCCTTACTTGGCAAGGTATGACAGTAGGCTCGGTACCGACAATAAGTCTTGGCGAATGCGTGACTTATCAAGTCAGGACACGGATAATGTAAACCTATGTGTACCCGACAAAAGGTAGCATGTTGACGATGCAGTTGCTGAGTGTAGTTGTACCAGGAGAGATGTTACTATTCAGTAGCTGGTGGGCAGGAGCCGCAATGCTCCCWGAAGCAACAACATTGCATATTTCAACCAAGACATGCTGGTGTCCAGGAAATAGCGTCATGTCCCACCAGTGAGTTCGCATCAACACGGATTACAATCCTTCCCGTGGCCCTCCGCACCTCCTCATCAGGGAATTTGACTGCACGACTCTCTTTGCCACCGAATCCTTCGATGGTCGCTTCGATTCAGTGAGTGGAGCGATGTTAGGCCGTACGTCCTACCCCTTCTCCAGATCGAGATCTAATTGGATGTATGAGAGGCATGCTATGTATTACTGTTGGAGGCTCAAGACTGCTCCAATGCCTGAAAACGAGAACTATCACTACCACGCTGAACATCTCAGGGACAGAACGCACCCAAAGTTCCCGCCATTCAGATTTCTACCTAATGATATGGAAAGACCTACTGGAGAGCATTTTTGATGCTGCAATAGTATGAGTGCCTCAAATCGGATCGGAGACACTAAGGAATACACCATGGAATGCCTCTTCACTCTGGAGTCGAACTAATGTACTGTGGGCATCGTGAGAACCAGTACAGAGTCTTCGGGGCGGATCAAGAAGTCATGTTACTGGCTCTTGTTGGACTGACTCTCTTGCTTGGCCTTTGACTGTCCACGCGAGCTGCCCATCCTGAAAAGGTGGATTCACCAAGGTCGTTTGGAGGTCSTGTAGATCTGTCTACACTGTGCTGTAACAATGATGCCAACAATARTACCCTTGTGCAAGCATCGATCGATTGAAGGTAGATGTAAGTGCTCATGGCAGCATATAAAAGACACATCCTGCTGTCTTAGGGCCCGTCTCTGCATCAAACCATTTCTCAGACCTCACACGATTCTACGAACATGACAGCCCTCATCTTCATGCTGCCTCTCTTAGTAGGAATAGCCCAGGTTCAATGGAGGGCAATCACCTATGGGGGCTTCCGATGCGCAGGACAGATGCTCCGAAGCTACGAGTCTTCGGATGGACCGTACGTCGAGTGTCGTAGCATCGAGTTCGCCGACACCGGGCTCGCAACATCCATGATATTTACATTAACTGATGAGGCTACTTCTGGGTATCGCCTTACCCTGCATGATGCAGACACCTGCTTCACCGGTGGAGGAATTGCCGAGTGTACGTCTGATCCTGCATATTAGACGCATTCCATTGCTAACAGCACGACTACAGTACTTCCCGGCGACAACTCTTTCTGCCTGGAGCTTCAAGGCGAGACATTCTTTACTGTTGAATCGGTCGTTGCTGGATTGACGATCCGAGGAGCACCATCTGCCTCTGGTTCTGCTCTTGCGGCCCGTGCCCCTGGCGACTTGATGGAAAGACAGTTCGACGGTCAGTACGACTGGATCTTCAGCCGCGCAAGCGCCATTGTACCTCTCGCCACAATCGCTCTCCAAACCTGTGAGGGCTTCTTCACTGGCCCAGGAACTGCCGTTGCCTGTGGCTTGAGTGCTTTGACTGGTATTGCTCTGTCAGTTTTGGCGGCCATCGAGTTCACACGTGCCCTCCAGCAACGTCCCCCCGGACAAGCACGACTCGAGGGGTCAGACTCGTCAGACATGTACAGCGAGATATTCGGCCTCTCCGACGTGCCTTTTGTTTCTGATGATGTTGTTCGGGGCATSACCACTACATTCACCAAGGCACCATTGCGCCAAGCGGAAGGCGCCGAGCCAGACCCAGTCCTTCACATCATGCTWCAAATGACCAGTCACGAAACCGGTCATGCCATGATCGCCTTGATGGATTTCGATACCACCAACAATCGAACACAGTTGAGCCACAGCCCACAATCCCCAAACGCCAATCGCAAGCGACAGGCCGATGACAGAATTACTGCCTACTACTCCTACGACAACTATGGTCAAGACGCTGTAGATGCCACTCCTCAGAACCAGGCGCTTGCAACTCAACTCGGCGAACGGCTGTGGTATCAGATCGAGTCTACCGACCAAGCCACCTATTGTGCGAACCTTGCCATTGCAAACTTCAACGGTCAGCTAGAGAGTGCCAATACAGGCTTCGTATCCCTCATTACCGGCCAGTTCATCGACGAAGTCTCGAGATGTCCGCTATAGATGCAAATACCGAAACCTTTCGATTTGGTCTAGAGCATCACTACGCCACCTGATGGAAAGATTCGCGGTGAAGAATGCGGGTTCGGGGCGAAAACAGGAGGAAGTGAATGATCAATTTGCGCTACACCGCACTCATTAGGCCCTTTTTCATGACTATCTGYGGTATACGAAGAGAGACTCAATTGTTTGAAGTCCCCAGCTTGCAGGATCTAGCTATTTCGCAGTTCAGAAGACTAGAAAGAATGGGATCTCTTGCACTCTTGTATATATGGTCGAACATAATCAATCAGGAAGTCTACCAGATATGTTTTCACTAAGGCGTGAGTTCAAGCTTGAACCTTTTGTTTTTAGTGACGCTGAGAGTGATGATCACAGATTCGCGTGATGAGGGCATGGTAAGGTACTGTTGGTGTCGAATTGGAGAGATGATTTTTCTGGTAAAGGAACCCAGAGATGCTACTGCTGGATCTAGTATCTCTATGTCTCGACAAATCTGAAGACATCCCCGTCCTGTAAGCTATGCTCTTCCAACGTAGCATGTTGCTCGAAATAGAAGCTGGAAGATTTTGAGGAGGCTATATTGGAAGAGACCCTACCCACTTGATTACTATTAGGGCTAGTTCCAACAACTAAAGAGCTGAAGCTCTTAATTGCCTTGTGTGTTATACCAGAAGACCAACAATATCTTGGTAGAAAGCCAAGACATTCACTCAGGCGCAAAGTTTCATCGCGTGAACCTAAATTCAAGCCCTGCTGCGCCAAGCCTACCTCGGCTGGATTGGAAGTGAAATCTTTCCCACAGCATGGTTTTCATGTCTATCTTTCTTCCCGTCTTTATTCGTAAAGACTCATGTACGGCTCATGTACGGCTTTCGGTTCCCATCTGTACAGATTTACTCGATTCGTAGAGCGGCTTCTGTTGGTAGATGATGTAGAAATAGGACGGCAATGAGGACCTCGAACTGATCGGCAGCGGTTCATATTGGATGCTCGATTGCATACAGTTGTAACGGTCTACCAGAAGTACAGCCTTATCGGGTGATATCATAAGAAGAGAGACTGCTCCCAATGGAAAGCTTGGTTTCTAAAGTCATTCCGTTCTCTCTGTAGATCATCCACGGCTACTTTCGACAAGCAACCATCTATACAAATCTCCCGTTGGTCGATTGGTCTCTGGAACACGTCCAATTGAAAAAAAAAATAGATTCTCGCCCATCATGCATCTCATCAACGGCATACAGATAGCCGTGATTAGCTTCTGTTTCCCTCAAGCGGTATGTACACCATAACGATCCCAGACGTCGCTATAGAAGAACAAGGTGAATGCTTTGACATCAATTCTGGCATTTCAGTGTCTGAAGACACGACCCCAGCTTCCCAAGCTTGCTGTGCCGTATCAAGCAAGCATGTGGCAAGCAACTTCAACAATTCCGCTACGTGACTATATCTCGTCGGATAGAAACCTCCGTTTCCATGGCAGCAAGTTCCATCTCGTGCAAAGAAACGACGTTACGATCTCCCAGGGTCCGCACATCAAGCTGAAGAAACACCATTCCAAGAATCGAGGACTTCCACACAGGTGTATTTGCATCTCTAGACGTCAAAATCAACGTGACCAAAAATGTGACCGCCAGTAAAAGCACCATGACAGGCAGTGAGAAGAACCACCAATTCACGTGCACGACGACYGTCGGAGTCATCGCCTTGCCTTGGACCCAGGTGGAATTTGGACCCTCGCGAATTTGATTTGTCATTGCGGTCGCGATGTCGTCGATGGTTTGCATGATGTTGCCGTTGTTGAGTTTCCATAGCATGCTGGTCATCAGTGCTCCGGGGCTGGCGGCAAGTCGCTTCATGCCGATGTTGCTGTTCGTGTGGGTCAGTAGAGTCTTGATGAGTGTTCGCATTGATGTGATGGCTTCGGTGCTGATCCACATTGCGCTCGGGTCTTCTATCGTGCTCATGTTCGAAGTCTCGCCCATTGGGAGAGCAGCACAATGAGAAGCATCAGTTTCGGAGTGACAGTGTGAGAAATTCGTCGGCTGCTCGTCAATGACGGTATCAAATAGTGACCCATTGATCACGGATGGGAGGAACATCTTTTGACAGGGGCTGATCTCGCAGGTGTAGATAGCTGGCCATGGGAGGTACCATTCCAGCTGGGGTCCCAAGCGAATAATCGAGATAGTAGCCAATCGAGCGCTCAGGTTTCCATCGACTAAAGCTTGGCTCTCTACTACTGTTTGCAGCACAGTACTATTGTGAGCCCGGGTATCTGGATCGTATGATGTGCTTGCCTCGAGAGCTGTGCCATTTGGAGTCGTGTAGGTGCAGTTCTGCTCGGTGTTTGTTACAAGGCCAGCTGATCCAGTAATGTTTGATGACAGACACGTTCCGGTTGCGAGGTCGGTTTCGTTTGTACATTGACTGCAGACTCCGAGACTCTGAAAAGTATCCCATGTACAATTGGCCGTCGAGCAGATATGTTCGACTTGGGATTTGGATGTTCCATGAAACATGCCAGCGTAGATGGAATTTGTCATGTTCAGTATTAAGTCGATACCTACCCACTGTCAGTCGTGTGCGAGTAATTTCCAGCATCCGACTGACCGGCAAAAGCTGAGGGCCCGCTTCCTTCACGGACGGCGACTTCATAGGCCGTGGCTGTTCGAATTACAGCCATGTCATCTGCAGAAGCCATCATGACGGATCGAGACTCCAGAATCTGTTGGGCAAAAGGATCCATTGCAAGTGCGACGACAGTGATTATTGCTCCAATGTATGCTAGGGCTGGCTTAGACTTGCAAGTGATAAGCAGTTTTAAGGCACCCCACGGTCCGCGACTGGCATCGTCAAATATTTGCAGGTCGTATAGACGGCGTGTGGTCTCCGCTAAGTACTTCCATTTGAGCTGGCTGATTCCCTCCGCAGTAAGCATCAGAAGTGAAGACTTAGAGAGGGTGACGAAAATGGATACGAGTGCGTTTGGGGATATTGGGAGCTTCCAATCCATGAGTCTTCTGTCATTCATCACTAGTAAAGCGGCTGTGACGACGACGAGACATACAGTGCTGAAGACAACTGCGAGGATCTCCCACACCCACTGTCCAGTGCATCGATATCTTCTGATCGCTGAATGTCTCGACGAATCCGCGCGGTCGGATCTAAGCAGAGTCTCAAGGGTGTCGCTTGATGCCAGATTCGGCTTCGAGAAACTCGTTATTCTGTTGTGTCCGGAGATATCCGTATGATGGCTTATCGATGCATCTTCGCCAACTCGCTTCATCCTGAAGGCCATTCTGGAGGTTTCATCGCCCGGCTCTCTTATCAGTATCCACAGAGTCACCCAGTATCCATTTCAAAGTCAACCAAGAGTTCATGTCCTGGACTCCGGGTGCAAGGGCAGAAGTATACACGTCAAGTAGGCCGCAATATTATCGTGACTTCCGGGCATGTAAGCATCAGCCTCATGCTGTGTACCACCAAGGTTTAATTTGGTAGCGGGTAGGAAGATGGTCTACCTTATTGTGCCAACTACTGAGTGGCAGAATGCAGGCACCTACTGCGAACGAAGCCAAGAAGCTTGCATCCTTGGAGTACTCATGGGACTATGCAGAAAAACCTTCGTCTTGGAAGAGACAAGGTACCGTCCAAACCAGGTGGTCGTCGACAAACCCGTCGCAAGCAAGCTGCAGACCCTCTGCCTGGAAAGCCGGTGTGAGGTACCTTCAGACTGGACGATTGCGTGAATGAGCAGACTGACGTCGAAGTGAAGGAGATCAGCCAACATCACATCGGGTTCCATCTCGAGGAGCCGGCAAATCAAAGACGTCACCGTGGAAGTCGGCCATATGTACATCATCATCATTCATCTCAAGTGGGAGATTATTCTTCTGTACAACGCGACCTCTCCTGGAGGCCGCTGAGTTGAGTATCAAACGCCGTTCGCCGCGCTATCATCGCCCTTCAAATGAGCATCTAAACCACCTTGCTCTTCCACAGACCGCAGGGATGCTACCTCTTCCAGAGAAGATGTTGTAGAGGGTCGTACTAAAGCTCCTTCTCAACTTTCTTCTCCGGAAGAGTCGCTCCCGGCGCAATTTTGTCCGCACCAACGGCCCCGGCTCCACCAGCAGCTACGAAGACCTTGTGAAAAACCCACTCGGTCGCATGCTCTACCGGCTCATCAAACATATATGGCAGAGCCGGCACAGCTGCCAGGCCAAGGCCGATAGGTCCCCACGTCCGTATTTTAACATTCTTCACATCCTTCATGGCCCGACCCGAATAGCGCACAATCGAGTGAATGGTAAAGGCCGGAAGACCCATGCTTGCCAGACCCTGAAAAATGGCTCTCTGTGCCATGACAGTCCTGTAATCCTCAATTGCTGGGACAGCCTTTCCTCCATACGGCAGAGCCGCCAGTTTGTCCTCCTCAGTCTCCGGATGCAGTACGCGCTGGTTGTGCTTCCACGCTTTGTAGCCTTCATGCGAAACATCACCTATCAAGTATGCCCATGACACGCCGTACGCGGCTCTAATCCAGTTGGGATGTGCGACTGGCCGGAACGATTCTCCGATATCACTGGTGTATGCCACATAGCGATGGGCTGAGAGCATAATCGTTCGCAGACGGCTGGCATACGCAGCATATCTTACGTTGGAATCTGTAGTCTCGCCGGCATCGCCTGCGGCTACAGTCTCCCAGAATTTCTCCTCATGATCGAGAGTATCTTGTAGAGATTCGGGAAGCTTTTGACGAGGAAGTGGCTTGCTGAAGTCTGGCCGAGGTTCTGTKCGTTCGAATGGAACAGTAATGTCCTTGTCCGTAGTGGTATCGTCACGGCGCGGTGAGTTGGCCATTTCAGCGCTGGTGGTAAAAAAGTTGGTGGTAGTGATGGATGCGATCTGGAAATGACGACGGAGAGGAAACTCGGGCAAGGCAACACAGCAAGAGCTCTCGGGACGAACCGGCTAAAATTAGACCTGGGCTGCCAACCGACGGCAGGTTACCTAAGCCGACCGCAAAGCTTCGACCTCACTTCTCACCTCCGCGGCAACAGCATCCCATTGCGCCTCACCAGATTCATACCTCCACACCTCCACGACCACCTTTCAATCCGCCAAAATGGTTGCATACTACGAGATCTTCGGCCAGAAAGTCGGCTCCCACATTGTACGCTTTCCCGATCGCATACCGGCGCCTCCTCAATCCCATGATGCCATTGAAGACGCCCAATGCCGATACATTCGCGCTGCATTCCCCAGTAGCATGACTAACAGTGTCCGCGCATAGCTCTCTATCGGCGTCCTTTCCACCATGTTCGTCGGCACATGGGCCATGGCTGGCGGCAAGAAGTCGCCTGCGTCAAACACCCCTCCAATCAACGCCTCCAGCAAGGACGAAGAGAACTTCATACAGTATGTTGGCATGCGGTATTGCCGGATAGAGCGGATGTCACTGATCCGATCGCTTTGTAGACAATTCCTGAAGGAGGCGGAAAAGGACGAGAAGAAGCACTGAGTGGAGACGAACATGTTTTGAYAGAAAGGATGGTGATTGGAGACTGCCGTGGTCCGTTTGCAGGAGCGAAAGAGCCGTTGTAGATATGACTGGTATGAACTGGCACACCCTCCCATGTGAAACTGGGTCTCTTTCTCCGACTTGGCCCAGATGCTTGTGGATGGTGTGACGCTGAAGATAAATGCGACTCCACTGAGTATAAACGGGCAAGCTTCGTGGTTCAGGTATCATCTTTACAGGAAACATAACTCTCGGAAAGGCCGGCATGCAACGTAAGTGATAGTTCCTTACGTATTTGCCTGATCCAGGCAATGATGGAGGACACGCCGTCATACCAGACGTCGCAAGTGTATTTTGGTCCTGCGTCCGAAGCCCACACTTAAACCGACTACATATACTCCCGTGGCTTGACCGAATCAATTCCATGGGTGGAACGGCGGACGCATGAGTAATTCATGATGGACGTTCGAGTGGCTCCGAGATACCTTACCGTCTGGCCGCCATTCAGGAGACTGAGCGACAGCAGGAGATTGAGGAATGATTTTTACGAATCGGTGGACCGGTTTTGGTTGCTCGTTTTGACAGRGTGTGACAGACCATTGCGGCTTCCGCAGGCCTGTCTTCGACGCCAGGAAGGAGACCTCTGTCCCACATCACTTCTTCAATGTTTCCTTCAACCTGTCGAACGCCTCGCCACAACAACAACTTCCATCGACATAACTACCGTCAAGTCACCATGACAGCTCCGAAACCATATATGCATCTTCGCATAGGCGAAGGCGGAGTGTCTAGATTACTGTCGGGTCCCGGATATTTGACTCGAGTTGGTACCGACGGCTGCTTTTCTGGCGTTTTCTGCTCAATAAGAATCGGCCCTACTCAAGTCTTTGCGGCTCACCTCAGCGCTCGAAACCCCCAAGAACAAGGATCGGATGGCCCGTGGCTTCCGAATGCGCAAGTAGCGTCTGAATTGAAGCAGGTGCTCAAACAGAAATTGAGCCTATTGTTTCCCTATGCTCCACGATCCAGCTTCACGCATCTCGTTGAAAACAAGGAGTTTCAAACGCAGCACGCTGTCATAATCTGCCTGATTCGCAAAATCACGGTCGACGGCGTCCAAATACGGACTGCAAGCTCATATATCGTCGAAGCACTCGGGGAGTTCTTCGAGCTCGATAATGCAAATGTCGCGCTGAATGCCGCCACGCAAGGCTGCGTGGTGGAATATCCGAGCGAGTGCGTGACGACGTTCGGAGAGACGATACGTGCAACAGGGACTTTGGCTGTGACACATGCAACAGGTGATTTTGTAGGTGGAGACCCCACCGTTCCTAGACTCTTGGAAATGGAGGGTGAAAAGGCAGGGGAAAATGGCTTCATCGAGGTGCCTACGAGATTGCCGACAGAATGGGTCTTCGTCTACAAAAACAACTCGGACCCAACTCAGCCGAAGACATGGTCTGTCGCTGGATGTCGACCAAGGGTTTAGTTCAAGAGGTCTTTGGAGGTCTGCAAGGCATTGGTTGTAGTGGAAAGGCCATGTGACYCGCGCGTCAGGTTCCAATCCCGAAAAGGAATAGCGCATGCATCATCTCCAGAGCACACCAGCATTTCCTTCACACCAGCATTCAACTACAGTACGAACGCCCAGCACGTTCATGCACAGTCATTACAGAGGGCGATACAACCTGTAGACTAGCTTCAGCACAAATCAAAGCAGTTGTCTCGGACTACGTCGATACATCAAATATCAACCAAGAAAACGAGAGAATGGTCGTAAACTACATTACTTTAGAGCATATTCGCCTACCAGGACATGCCGAGAATCCGCTCCTCCTCGACAACTCTCCTCTCCGTATTCTTGACGGAACCTCACTCGAGGGAAATGACGCTGATCTATCGACCGCGAACGGCACAGCTACAATTCTGTACAATTGGTGTCCAGAAGCGCTCTTCGCTCTACTAGACATCGAAGCCTGGTTCTCATTCACCTGGACTGTCACCCTCGAAGATGAAACCAAGCTCGAAATTGGACGCATCCGAAATCAAGTCACAATGGGCAAGCTCGATAAGGAAGGTCTCTGGAAAGTCATGATCACTTTCAACATTTCCCAGCTCGAGAACGGGCTGTATCAAGGGTCTTGGATGCCCAATACCGAGGAGACGATGCTTGGTGATCAGAATGTAGACGACCCAAAAGAAATTGAACGACTAGGTCGGGAATTCGTGGCAGAATTGATAAAGCAGAGAAGATGGCTTACAGGAAAGAAAATCCGACATGAGTTTTTTATTGAATCTTTGAGTCTGGGAATGGATCCCTGGGATGATGGATTGGCTATGAATCCGCATTGGCTGTATGAGACGCTCGACCTTGCAAGGTGTTCGACATGTAAATCTGGCGGTCAGCATGGAAAGTCACTGAATCGATGTGGGAGATGTGGCACCGCTGCGTATTGTTCTTCGGAATGTCAGCAGAAGGATTGGTCGGTACATAAGGCTGTGTGTGCCATGTCTGCAGAGGATAGGGGGAAAGCGCTGAGGTACTCACAGAATGGAGGGCTTGTGAATTGGGTGGGCGAGGGTGGTGGACCCGAGGCTGAGGAGGAGGAAGTTGATGGTGAATGAACGCTGGAACATCTTACCACGTGTCTTTGACAGGCATTCAACGTCAGATTTGAGAGCTAGGTAGCGTACATCCCATGGGGCGGCAGTGCGGAGAAAGCACTCACCGAACGCTACCAAACGAAGACCGAAGCACTGGAGAAGCGATGTGCTCTCGTCGAGCACAAATGGGATTGAGTGCCATGATAACTTTGCATCACAACGACGGCATGGTCGCACACAAGTATTTCTGACGCAGGGTAACCGTGACAAGTCATGAGAGAGGCAAGCATCCATGAAGGGTCAACTCTGCTCTGAAACTCAGAAAAGAATGGAGTGATCAGGATGTCTAAGATGAAATGCGAAAGTCAACTCCGCAGCGATAATATTATACCGTGAATCTACTGCTATCGCTCACCTGCTCTCCATTTCCACACACAGTTCCAGTGCGCAACCTGGTATGCTCTCACTGAGGTTCATCCGTTGCGCCTTCAGTCCGGTGCGCTCACTTGTGCTTGTAAATACAGCTCGTCTCCTCCACGTGCGCCCGGTATCGACGTTTTAATCTTAGTAGGTATGCAGCTCGACAGAATATGGGACGAAGTCCCGACACCTGAGCGGCGCATCAATGTGGTTGAAACGCTGCTTAGCCATGTTGTTTAATTCATGCGATCATACATCAGGTCCTGGACGACATGAGACGGGTCTTCGTGCAGGGGATGTCTTTGCTACGCATGCTTGTCCTGGACAGGAAAGTTTGTGCTCGCTGCAGAGCTTTTAGGATGATCTCGCATGCACTCACACCAGGGCGAGACTGGTGTCAGACCTGAGTATTGGCGCATAGCGTTACAATAGACCATGCTGAACAGCTTTATGTCAGATCAATCATCTCGTGATATGACGCTTTCGGAGGCGAAGCTGACTTTCTCAAAGTCTGCTTGACCGCAGCTGCAGGCTGAGATAGCTTGCTGAGTAGACCAGCCTCCCTTCGCTGCCGCAATACTGCTGCAGAAGGAGTGACAGTCTGGTCTAGATCCTCCATGGCAGGCGATGCTGGCAAGGCAGGCCGCTCCGCTGCTGACGCTAGTGGGGCAATGGACGACACTGGCGATGGCGCGGGACAGGCTGTGTGGGGAATTGCTTGAAAGGCTTGTGACGCAGAATTGTTGTCTTGCGTATTCGCCGGCGGCAAAGACCAAGTCGGTGCAGCTTCGACGGGCATGGGCGACTWGGTAGTTGTAGCCTGAGAGGACCTGACCTCAACACCAGGAATCCAGCGAGAATGTGGAGATGTGGGCATGCCTGATCTGTTATGCTTCGAATGCGTCTTCACATTACCGTCGTTGTCCGAGTCATCGTCCAGATCGATGACTAGACCGCAAGCTGGCACTGCTTTGCCAACGGAATCTTTGTGCCTTTTGGTAACAAGATTTGGTATCTCTAGCCTTTTGAAGGTTGCTGGAGGAGGACTGAGCGATGGTACCTTCTCGGCAGTCTTGGACTTCCTCGACTTCTTCACGGGCTTGCCGGATCCTCCTTCGACTTCCGAGCGTGCTTTGCGCTTCTTGGTAGCCTTGTCCTGCGACGCTCTAGGTTCACTTTTCCCGCCTTCGGTGTCAAGGCCAGTAGGTGTAGAACTTGAAGCAGTCTTCGGCTTCCGTGCAAGCGGGCTCTGCTGGGACGTGGACGGTCCAGCTTGACTTGATGCAAGATCATCGACTGCGTCAGCTTTCGACTTCCGACCTTTCTTCTTTGGTGATGGCGTGGATTTATCAAGGGCACCTTCAGGTAGGCCATGCTTAAGAAAGCAGCTCATTATCACCCCATCAATCGGCTTCGTTGGATCATACTGGATACCGTCATTCTTGACAGTACAGCTCCAGTCTTCTTCCGGAGGCTGAACTGCTAGATTGATCTGTACAAGCATTGCAGGATTGAACTTGATGTTGACTTCAGCGGGCTGACCTATGTCCACACCATTCGCATCCTTTCTGTTCTGTGTGCGTCTCAGAGTGACTCCACAGGAGAGGTTCTCTTGCTGTCGAGCGGGGGTGACGTTCCGAGTGAGCGCTCGGGCCAGAAACACTGACCCAAGATGCTTCAGATACTCTCTCGTCTGGAAGTTGTAGTGGGAGCGCAGCACAACTCGCAGTTTAGTCTGGTCMATCTGATTTTCCCACCATTCCCAGCCTCCGTCCTTAACGTGAAGCCCTCGGAGGTTTCGACATCTTTCCTCTGTTGAAATGGCAGGATTTCGATAACCGTCAAGTGCCTTCACATAGGGAAAGTCTGGAGGTACAGTGACTCCATAGTCTTTCTCCCGAAGTTTGTTGGCAAGCTGGTCTCGCCAAGCGGCAAAGTCATTCTTGCTTTCACATCGCCTCAATGCCCGAGCAAGGCCAACGCCCCGCTGGCACAACCTCCTCGCTTTCTGATGTCCGCATCCTGGAAGACATTTATCATCGTAATCACCACCAGCCACGACCGCGAACATGACCAGGCTGTCAGTGTCGAAGTCGAACTTGGGTAATACTGCCTCAGCCCTGTACACTTGAATACGATCCCAGTCCTTTTGGCCAGACATATTCCTGTCTGCTTTGATCAACGTTGTGCAGCCGAACATCAAGCAATCCCCGTCATCACTCCATACGGCATCAACAACACCAAGCTCCTGTAGACGAGAACACTCTGCTTCAGCTTCACCGGGAGCTCTGTGGTACGGAACATGCAGCCGGTCGAACATCTTGTGGAGCATCTCGATGACTGCCTTGTCGACTTTGCTGCCTCCACGGCCACCACCGAACTTCTTGTTCCAGCGCTTCTTGCCCGGCTTCGTCATGCCGTCTGTGATGAACAACAGCTGGATATTCATTCTCCATAATTTGAGGATCCGCGACAAAATGGTCTTCTCGATGGGATTGGCTGCTGGTTCGCCCTCGCGAATTCTGGCGACTTGTTCATCAGAAAGATTACCGAATCTCCAGCAGGCTTCATCGACTGCAATCCTTAGCGGCCGCTTGTGCCGTTTCCAGTGAGCCGCCGCATAATCAGCAATTGCATACTCCTCGCCCTTGCCAAGGACTTCCCACAGTCTGCCGATGTCAGCTTGAATTTCGCCGGGAGAAGTTTCGATTCTTACCCAGAGATGCCCATGTTGGAGTGATCAGCTGCTTGTCGGTGAACAGCTGATTAACAGCACTTTGATGCAAGTGCGCAGCTGACAAAGAACGGAATTGTTCATGGCGTGATGTTGCCAATCTCGAGGGAATCGCGAAGAAAGCGCGGACGACGCGGAGACGCGCAGGGATGGTGGCTAAACATAGCCTAGCCCCATGGGCCCGGGCTCGGCCTCAGTTCCGCGGCGGCACTTTCACAAGCGCGCTTGCTTCACCTCACCTCCAACTTCACAACAAGCGCATCCGACCTTGAAACCTCCATGCGCGCCTTCACATAGCATGGGTCTCATCACCAAAACCAAGTCTGCGCCGCGCGCCGAGTCTGGCTCATCCGGCKGCGGYGTCAAGTATATATGTAATGTATGCAGCAACGACATCACCGCGACCGTGCGCATCCGATGCGCGAGTAAAAGTTGCCCAGACTACGATCTCTGCGTGCCTTGCTTCTCGAGAGGCGCGGCCAACCTTCATCACGACCCACGATCACATCCCTACCAGGTCATCGAGCCACACAGTATACCCATATTCGACGAGGGTTGGGGTGCAGATGAGGAACTGTTATTGCTGGAGGGTGCGGAGCAGTATGGGTTGGGGAGTTTTGCGGACATTGCAGACCACATAGGAGGTTATCGTGAGAAGGATGAGGTACGAGATCACTACGTGGAGACATATATCAACTCTTCCAATTTCCCTCTCCCAGAGCGGGCGGACCCGCGGGACACAAGATTGAGTGATGAGGTGCCGAGGGAGGAGTTCCAACAACGGAAGAAGCGGAGGATCGAAGAGCGGAAGCAAGCCATTGCGGACAATCAAGGGAAGCCCACGGAACCTGCCAAGCCAACATCATCAGTACCCAGTTGTCACGAGGTTGCTGGGTTCATGCCAGGTCGCTTGGAGTTCGAGAATGAGTACTTTAATGAAGCCGAAGAAGCAGTCCAGCACATGCAGTTCTCCCCAGAAGAAGGTGTCAACCCTACCACAGGCGCCTACGATGCAGAGACCGAGCTTAAGATGGWCGTGATGAAGATCTACAACGATCGCCTGACCCAGCRAACAGATCGCAAACGGGTCATCTTCAACCACAAATTACTGGATTATCGGAAAAACACTGCAATCGACAAGAAGCGTACCAAGGAGCAGCGGGACCTGCATCACAAGCTCAAGCCGTTTGCAAGAATAATGTCTCACCCAGATTGGGTTGCATGGTCGGAGGATCTGGAAAAGGAACAAAGTCTCAGACAGGCCATCACTCAACTACAAGAGTGGCGACGAATGCGCATCTCCACTCTCGCACACGGTGAAAAGTACGAAGCTGAAAAGGCTGCTCGCATGGCACGCACTGTCACGCAAGCCGGACAGTTCGATCGCCTAAGCAACGGCGTCCGACCAAAACCTCAAGCAAATACAGCACCTGAGGTATCCGATACTGTTGTCAAGTTCACCACCAAATCTGATCTGCCAGTCCGCCTCCATCCCGAAGTCCCTGCCAGCATTGTCTCTCCTGTACGACCTCCCCTGCAACCAATTCCTAATCTTGCTCCAGCACCATGGGATGAATCCAATGCATCTGACCTCCAACTGCTGGATCCTGCGGAGACGGAACTGTGCAAGCTGCTGAGACTCCATCCCAAAACATACTTATGCATCAAAGATGCCGTCTTCAAGGAAGCGATACGCTGCGAGGGGAAACTTAAGAAGAAGAACGTTAGAGAGATCAGCAAAATCGACACGACTAAGGGTGGCAGATTATTTGAGTTCTTCGTTGAGATGGGATGGTTGGGGAATGCGGCCAAGTCATGAAGGCAGGGAAGAGAGCGCATTCGCTCTGTGAATTGGCATGAATCATGATTAGACGGCAAAGTTTTAGATTTTTGCGCTCGGGCGCTGCGATGCTCAGATCAAATGTACGGTTCCAGCCTGCCTTTCGACGATGAAGTGCCACGATGCTCTTGATGAAGCGTGATGGCGACACTCCCAGAAGTGAGACCGATATCGAGAACTAGCGTCGGGTTCATCGAATAGGCCACCGCGGTTTGCCTGGGAGTCTGGCGAGGCCCCTTGTTGGCGACCCTGAGATTCGCACCCATCCTTCATCGATAGATTGATGTCGTGGCAGTGCGGCACGATTTATACTTCCTTCGCAAGACTTAATTCAATGCTCATTGGTCTTTAGACGTGATGGACTTGGCAATGTAGCACGAAACATACAGATACCCAGCAGTGTTGAGCAAGTCTTGGCGACATTTCACCCAGAAACATCATGATATATACAGAATGGTAAATACAAGAATCGAAAGCAAAGGTACATCGCTTGCTCAAGGCTCATCTGAAAGATCGATGATCTCCACTGGTCGCTTGATGGGCCGTACGTTCTCAACAGCGCCTTCGGATGCCTTTCTCTTCGCCCCGGTGCTGCTCTGAGCCTCTTGCTGCGAGTTTATCACAGATGCAGGCCCGTTATTCACAGCGGCAGACGATGATGACATGCCAAGTGTTGGAGGACGATTCTCGTATGACCAAACAATCCGCGCTTCATACGTCCTCGMGAGCGGAACTCCGGTCTCCGACCGTCGCAAGGTGACGATCTTAAGGTGTGCCAGATTCTCGTAACTTGGTCCAAGGACCGTGCGCAGAGCCTGCTCGGACCCTAAAGCTAGTCCGCGTATGAACTTTTTCGTGTCATTTGCCACTGACATCCAGGTTGTGTGTTTTCGAGTAAAGTCCGCGTGTTTCTTCTCAATCACAAGAGTGTGCGGGCTACCCTGGGTGATTGTCGTCATTTGAAAGCTGTCGTCGGATCTTCCAATCCTCGACTGAAGGTGTGTTCTAATGACCTGTGCTCTTGGGAAACGTCCAGATTTCTGTGACGGATCAAGAAGAAATTTGTCCAGCCTATCACATTCCAGACATCCACAGCCAAGTCGTCGGGGCATCGTCCAGTTTGGTGGTTGCTCTGGTTCGGCTCCAACGACGCGAAGGATGTAGGCTTGGACCAAGTCTACAAACCAAGGGGAAAATCCTGGTCCGAACTGATTCATGATTTCCTTGAGAAGATTCGCTGCCTGGTTTGAATGCTTAGACGACATCCCTTTGAATTCGCGCAAAATTTTGTCCTTGAAACTATCTTTGAGTTCCTCGGGCACGCCGGGAACGCCTAGACATTTCCCGAATGCCACCAAGTCGAGCGCAGTGTAGTGGGTAGTCTCGTGCAGCGTCGGTAGACCACGAGAGCCCACGAGTGCATACATGTCTTTGAAAGGTTTGGACAGGCTGATGCCCTGAATGGTGGTGGGTGCGAGAGTGGTAAGCGCTCGATCTGGAGAAGCCAGAGAGGCGCTCTCGGGGGAAAGCACGCGCCATAGAGACAATGCGAAGGCAATGTTACCCTCGGCATTCTTTCTGAGAGCCACTGGTAGCAATCTAAAACATGCAAGTCAGTTCATCGTTGCGGGAGACAATCTGTAAGGCTTACGATTCAGTGATCCAGTATTCTCCTTGCTCTTTGATGGCGCCTTGGACGATAGCCGCATCTTGTATTGAAAGCGCGGGGGTGGCCTGCAGAGCGCGTGTCAAGCAACCACGCCTCCATATGTTCATACTCGAAACGTCGTCTTTTTCGCAATGCTTCCATCCGTCGGCCAGCTGCTTTAGCGCAAATTGACAATGCGCGAGACTATCATATCCTTCAAAGACAACTTCAAGGCATCCATACCAGTATTGGAATTCAAACTTGGCAGAGTGCTCGACAACTAGAGGGAGCACCACTTTCCGGAAGTCCGTCTGGATGTGAGGGTCGTGCATGTTATGGTACCTGCTGTGCGGGTTGTTTTGCGAACTTTCTCGGAATTTTCGCACGGCTCCGGTGGCGAGATCAATGCGTTTCATGTCCATGCAGCAATTGAACACCGCAGAAAAGCTGGCCGTATTGCCACAGCGGTTGGCCAGCACAAAGCTCTCCAGCAGGTCAGCTCTTCGTATGCTTTGACAGGCCGTTGCAACCGCAGCAAAGTCATCAGTGTCTACGCACTGGCATGATTTGATGGTCAGGCCTGCAAGGTCGTCCCACCCAGCCGCTCTGCATCGTTCGAAGACTGCAAGAACTCGTCTACGATCTGTGTAAGACTGGGCACGAATAGCCCGTTCTGCGATATCTTTTCGCCCTACCGCGACGCAGCCTTGAAATAATGCCCAAAATTTATCCAGATCCCAGCGATAGAGACTCTTGTCGACGGCAACAGTACAGATCTTCTCACATTTTGCACGCGCCCGTTCATCTGTAGGATTCAGATAGATCTTAGAGAGCTCTGTGTCCAGCAAGGGACGGAAGTCGTTAGAAGACGCAGAACTAAGACAAAAATCGATCCAGTTGTCTTCCGGAACAATGACCAAAGCCTGAGTAGTCAGCAATCAAAGTTCAACCCGCAGTGTTGAGAAGCTTACCGTATCCTGCAAAGGTGTTAGTATTAAGCCCTTTGAACACTGTCTGTGAGAACTCACCCGATACCAATGTGTGGCCTGCGCACCTGCGTTGCCTGTGTGCCCTTCGTAGTCCTCGTCGTCTGGGTCGCGGCCCTCGAGATACCCGATTTGGACAATGTGCTCATCTTCGTCCACCGCAATGTTCCGAGCCACGACGTTGCCGTCAAGGTCCACAACTGAAAGCAAAGATAACGAGCTATCATGCTCGTCATCAATCGGATGAATTCCGCCGTCGTCCTCATCCTCGCTTTCGTCGTAATAGCCATAGCCACGGCGTCTTCCCCAGCCACCTCCTCTGCCCCAACTCTCCTCGCAAGAGCCCGATACAGACTTCTCCAAGCTTCCAAGAAACAACCGAATGCCAAGTTCTTGTTGCAGATGCATCAAACACTGCACGCGATGCACATCTGTACCTTTCAGATCACTCGCTCGGATACTGGCGTTCGTGTAATTGTGCTCCAAATTGTAGACCAGGAAGGCGGGAGAGCTGATCTCCATCCAACGGATGAGAGTTTGCTTGACTTGGTCGATGTGAACCTGGAGACTTTGCGCCGTTGGCGGCGGGTGCCAGCCTTTTGCCACAAGGTTGTAAGTGAGAACTACACGATGTCCAGATGTGACAGGCTCCACCGAGTGAATAACATCTGCATACCTGATTCGCGCTTCAGCTTCAAGTTCTGTAAGGAGGGTTTCATTCAACTCACCAGGCCATGCATGTCGATGTCCATTCAGAGTACCTAGAGAAGTCAGCTAGCTACAGKGCACTTCCGCGACTGAACGGTCAATTATTGGTCAATACACACGGTGCTGTGGCCAGAACGTGGCGCTCTTTATTGAACGACACGATCAGCTCTCCTCCAGTGTGAAGGGATGGCAGACAGACGACCAAGGTTCCGAACATGCGAGGCGCTTTTTCGGAACTGAAAGAAGTTAGAAACTGGCCGTAAGAGGCGAACCGCGTTGTAAGACTGACTCCTTGTGCGGCTTGAACATTGCTCCCTCTTCGTAGACAAGAAGTTTGTAGAGCTGCGCCTCCACGACCCTGGTACCACCAGCCACTCCAAGTTGCTCACATGCTGTAGACACAATCTTGTCGAGCTCCGCGGGCCATGCGGGGTGCCGAAGTCTGACGCGAGAGCCGTCTATCTCCCATGTCTTTCGCACATCTTCATTGACAATGGTCTCCGTGCCTTTACCATACGGAGCCCGGTGACTCTCGGCAATAATGGCTTGGATGTCATGGTCTTGCAAGGGCATACCAAACCGGCGAAGTCCTTCTATCTCCAAGCCGGGATTTGGCGCAGAGGGTTTCGGACGAAAGTAGGCAAAGAACTTGCCGGTGCGCTTGATGAGGCTCAAGTCTGTGTTGAGCTGGTCTCTCACGTCCCAATCTTCGTCAAATTCATCGAATCCATCCTCATCAWCAACGTCTTCTTCAATACCATGCTCGTCAATTCCATCGGCAATCGGCTCAATTCTTGGGATTTGAATGTGCCCGCCGCCAATGTCGGGAGTGGTGTTCTGGAGCAAATTTGGATGGAGTGCGGCCATTGCGGCCATGCTTCGTCGGTCTTACCGTATCACGTGGGCTATGATGATGAAGACGAGCAGCTCTCATGTTGCTCAAGAAAGGCCCCCCAACAACTTGATGTCCGAAGATAGGCAACAGTGCAGGGGTGCGCGAAGAAAGCCACGAGGAAGTAACGAGTCGCAAACTCAAAATTGACGCGAATCATCACGCTAACAGATCTACGGCGTACTGTACCAGTACTTTACCTGTAAAGTCGTCGTTACATCAACCACACTTGCTCGCCTTTTTGATTCGTACGACACCAGCAGCTCCCATTTACAATCCCGTAATCGCAATGGGAGAAGACATTAAGCCTTCCATGGCACTTTCGCCGGCGGCGAAAGCAAACCGAGCCAGCGATGAACATTCAGCGAATTTGCGACTCCCCTAAGTGATGGGACAACCATTCATTTCAAGACTAACACCCAGCACAAGAGTGTTCTTTTTCATGCATTCCGCCAATACCCTCGACATCATTCACTAGTTGAACCGCCGGCGCAAGTATTTGCAATGGTATTGCCATTGACAGGACTGTGTGTGTGAAATCACGGACCGGGTTGTACAATTTCAACCCCATGGCCAACACAGCAGTCTGGAATTCCTCTCGCAGTGCCTTAATGCCCCATCCCCTGCTTGGGGTCCGCGACCTCGATGTCGTCCTTCTCTCAGGGAAAGCTGTGAACTTCGACGTAGTTTCCAGGAGACTTCTATTACTTGGGATCCAGCCACGGATTCAGCAGGGTCTGCGGTGGCGACGCTCTTGATACCGGTAGCCGTGACCTGTAGGACACCTCATTGCACCCAAGCCATGCAGCTCTGAATCTTCGACTCTTCCATACCGTAATGGCGACCCATTGCCACGAATCGTCCTCGCAACCACTTACGCTGAAGCTCAGGGATTTCCTCAAAAGTGGACGCTGCCAGAAATGGCCAGATCGGCTTATACCCGCCTAGCGATTCCGAGTCTGAGAGAAGAAGAGTAAGATATGCATCCGTCAAATTTGCTCTCGACTTACCCGTCCGCTGCCTTGGCGCTTTCCGAACACCTTGCACAACAGCATCCTCTCCATACCAGCAATATGCTACACTGGCGCAAACATCATCCGCCAGAGTTTGCAGACGAGCTTTCGCCATGAGGTATCGATAATCCTGCRTGTAAGTTTCGTTATTTGGGGAGAGCCATTTGAGCGCATCAATTACCAGAGAACAGCATGGCATATGGCTTGATCTTTCCATATTTTTCAAGCACACTGATTCAATATCTTTATAAACATGAAGATATGGCAGCGGCCATATCTCCATATCTTCAACATTCTTCAAATCCGGCTTTGCATATGTGTTGGCCACTGTTCGTGACAGCCAGTTCACGGGTGTGCGGTATTCTCGTTCTGCTATGTCTAGCATGAGATCGTATGCCTCCTGTAGAAGGTTTTCAACTTCTGCAACGGCCTCAGGTGTACGATCGAGGTCAACAGTCGGCCTGGCCTTTGAAAGAAGGGATGCCAATCTCAAATTCTGCTCGAGTACTGCAGTCTCTGATGCATCGAGATCTATGCTCCAGCCCTTTGGGTCTGGGAACCCTGGCATTGGCTTCCGCTGCTGTATGACGTTTGCCAACATCTGTGCACGTACCGATCGGAACAGTGCTAGCGATTCTTCGTCGTGCATTTGATCAGCCCCGCGGGCAACCACAATAGTAGCTGCTCCTTCAATGTGCTGCGCCCAGGCCGAGCACGCCTGGTCCGAGCACGATGTTGCTTCGTACGATGATAGTAGCAGAATGGTCGCCAGAGTAGCGTTACTGCTGGCCTGTTTCTGATTCACGAGAGTTTTTCCAAGCGACCGTAAAGCTTGAGAATATTTCATCGAGGCATTCCGCTCCAGGTCTCGCATCCCAGATCGCTTTGAGAGACTGGCCAGTGAAAGAGCCTCTACAGCCAGGTGCAAGAGCGATCCATCCTGCGTGCTAAGATACATTGGTATTGCCAGATCGATATACCCAGTGCTCGCGTCAATGCGACCTTGTGGAGTGCTTGAAGCATTGAAGAAGAAAGTTGTAGCCACAGTCTCGGCTGTGGGATTAAACGTTGTGTCCGCGAGGAGCCTTTGGCCATGATTCCTGGTACTTTGATGGTGCACAATGGCGTCTTTAGCAATCTGTTTCTCACATTTCTTTCCACTGCGATCTTTCAGAGGTTTCTTCCGGCTTGGGTCGACCGTTCGAAAGATCAAGTCTGCTTCTGTTGGTAGTCCAGGACATACGTGGCCATATTTTATGCAGTTGAAGCATGCAGGTTGCGTCTCGTCACACTTGGATGTGTCAGCTCTAAGCCTGCACCCATGCACAACACCTGGACTCCATGCAATCAGGTCTCACCTTGATTCGCCGCTTCTTGCAGGCCAGGCATGCTCGCGAGGGCCTTCCGAGATTTACCTACACATGACATCAGCGCAGCTCCCGGTGATCCATCTTCCTGAAGCTAGGTACGGTCATACCATCTCGGAACGGCGCCGAAGACCTCTCGGTTCGCTAATCTGATCAGAATCTTGGCTGGGTCAAGGTGATGACCGGCTAACAGCGGGCGATATTGGCGAGCGAGATAGCCGAGGTCATGTGATCACCACCTGATCAAATTGACGGTGGTCGTCTCCTGCTTCTTCTGTATTCTCCCACCTACGTACAATATTTACTCCCGTCCATCTCGTTGTCCGATATCACCTTGATACCCTCCGCTCCAGACTGGGACTGCCGGCTGGTCTGCAAAGGCATCTATGATGAATGTTGCCTTCGACGAGTGATGAGGAAGGAGAAGGGAGTACAATGTACACTCGTAAGTCAGTGGACTCTTTCAATATTTCCAACATCCAGGGGGGTAAACGCATGGCTTGAGAGTACAAATACAGGAGCATGTACTGCTTATCATTTGCCCCGTCGTAAATCAAATGGATCTCCTACATCATTTCAGATTCACTCACCTGATTTTGTTGCATTGGCTTATGGTCAGTGCTGGAGAACACGTCTTTGGCAACTGTTTACTGTTCGCGGTCACTTTCAGGTCCACGACTCAATCAAGCACCCCGTAGTTACAGATCAGGAAAGAAAAAAATTATGTTCGAAATCGAACGAGTCATTCCTTCCAGCAGACGTCATTTTGACCTATTCTATACACATCTGTTCTCTACAACCAACACCGAGGTCCCTCCTTTGAGATACCATCAGACTGCATTTCGTATCATGCGAACCGCAGTCATGCCCACTCATGTGCCTCAGCAGAAGAGGTTGAGGCCAAGAGTGCCGGCAGGGGTGTAGGCGCAGATAGCTTTGGCCGTGGCATCGTCGAGGGTCTTCTTTTTCTCGTTTGCCTTGTCCAAGCACGACGGTACCACATCCAGAACCTCAAATGAAAGAGTGTCGACAACATTTTCATATGAGCGGAGGCTAGCAGCCACGGGGCCCAGGAAGAACCCCTCAACCAAAGCAGACTTGCCGATAAAGGTTTTCATCAAATTTGTCTGCGTGGTGGCCATCTGTACAAGAGGTTAGTTGGACTGTAAGTACTACTGCTGGGACGACATAGAGCCCATCACTTACTGTGCTGTATGCGTTGCAAAGCGTTGTATGGCTGACTACCGTCTTGCTTTTTGACGATCTCAGTCATAAAGTTGGTGAGTTTGTTCAGACCATCTAAAGCATCTTGGTACTGTTGGGGTGGGGCGATCTGGCGCTTTGCGATGACGGAACGGCCGGTCGTAAGTTTTGAGACGACGGGTTGCAGGTTCTGGGACTGTTTTGTGATTGCGTTGATGTTATCAACCATTTGTTGCGCAGTCAAGGCACGCTTCTCGACGGTGGGTGCGGCAGCTGCAAGACCAGAGACGGACAGGAACCCGGTGATGATGGTGGAGAAACGCATGTTGATAGAATTGATGGAGATGAGATTGGTGTTGTATAGATGAACAAGCCAAGTCTGATGAGCGGTAGACATGGTCATTTATATACTCTTCTCTTACGCCCTCGCTTATCCACACCAACGCAGTCATGGAAGCAAAAGCTCCATCACCACAAGCCAACACCATGATCCTCCTCACCAGTACGCTCAGTGTGCATCACACCAATACCGCCACAAGCCACTTCTCGTTGATCTGTACATTAGTAGCCAGCAAAGTTCCACCAAGCACCTTACTATCAATGGTCGGAAATGATCCGTAAAATTGAATCTACATCGAGGTTACCGCAAACGACCGGTGCAGCCTTGCAGCGAGCGACGACGCCAGGCGATATAGGTTAGTGTAATGTTGATAGTTACCCAAGGGGGAATTTCAAGAAAGGGTCCGGGATTGCGCTATACATGCGCGTGGATGTCACATTGCATATGCATGTCTTCCTTACCGAACATGTTCCAGTACCGGATCCGAGAAGCACAAGTACAATGCCGAGAAATGAAGGTCTTCATCTCCTCAAACCCATTAACGCAGTAGTCAGCACGCATGCTGATTCCACTCTCAGAGATGGGAACACTATGACTTACCAAATCGGACCTGTAAGTCATCTTTCTACACACTACGCAGGCATACAGCAAACATCAATCCCAACCCGTGAATCCATGAGTTATATTCCTCTTCAGGGTCTAAAGGGATCTCCAAGACCCGGAAGCGACTACAAACAGTGCTCTTGACCCAGAGCAGAAAACACACATTCACTGATCAGCGGGTCTCGGGATGTAGGTACGCGGCCCGCTCGCATCGGGCCAGTTCGGGCCAACCGAGATGACGAGAAATGCGAGATGGTGTAGGCTTTCTTTGCACCTGCATATCAGATCAACGTCACGCCAAACATTTCGCTGGATGTCGATCTCGAGTGCTTCAGCGATCTGCAATCGCAGCTTTCGCTAAGTTGCGCACTATGTGGGATCATTCCCAACAAACTCATCTCGTGGACCAGTTGTGGTGGTGATGCATATTCTGATGTTGAGAGCGGTGTGTGGAGAATCGCGGCTACTGTTGGACCAGCTTCGATTGGCCGCTAAGGTATGTATACAGTGTCGATCCTGACAACTCATCATAATCCATTCCAGTACAAACATTACTTACTACAGTGTGCATCATTATTACCACCTTCATCCAGACCCCTCATACCCAACATGGTCACTCGACCTCAGACCTGCGCAGCCTTGAGATGCCACTCGGCCATCTTTTCGAAGATTCCTTTGCCCCCAGTCTCAATGACATCTCCGTGGCAGGGAATGATACGATCAAAATCCCACTTTGCGATCGTGGACATGCTGTGATTGAAAGCGGGACGATCCGATTTTGACTGGAGCCACAGCATTCGCTTCTGCCAGGTCGCCTCTCCATTCGTATGCATGACGCCGTTGAAGAGCTTGGTGAAGATGCCGGTGAGAGGGCTTTCGCCGCTTTTGCTGAATTGCTCGGTTGCTGGGAGGTTGAAGAGAAGGTCGGCCTCGATGAGAGTCTTGCTGGGTCTGTGATTGAAGACGAGCTCCTTGTTGCCATGTGCGAAGACATACTCCGAGTCAAACTCGCTGTCGAACTCGGTGGAGACTTTGTAGCCAGTTTCCTGGTCTGCTTTGCGGAAAAGGTTGTATTTCTCATTTGGAAGCTTGAAGTATGACTGCTTGTCACGAAGATCTGGGAGGGTTTCTGGAGCTACAATGGTAGCTTCTGGGTATGCCTAGTTGATGAACATCAGCACGTCCCTACCGTACCATTGGATATTGCGCTCATCTTGCCTACCTTGTGCCAGCTTTCGAGGAAAATGTGGTGCTTGATCGAAAAGGTCAGCGTCTTGTCTGCATTCACGGATACAGACAGAGCGATTCCACGCCCCTAATTCATCTCACCTCTTGATCTGGGGCCACAATGTATCTGACAGTTCCCTGACYCTCCGTCTCCTTCCTGACCGCGTCGGTCAAAGCGACTGGCGAGAAGATAGCCAACGAGCCCGTTGCCATGCGCACGAGAGTACCTCTGCCACCAATCTTGATCTTCCCGAAGCGCGAGAATGGTGTGCTAAAGGTGGTTATTTCTGGCGTGACCTTGCGAATCACCATGACCTTTTCCGGGTCGGATGGGATCAGCTTGCTGGCGGAGGAAGCCATGCTTGATGTCTAGTTTTGGGCTGGTTGTGAGAGATTCTTGGTGGGTTCGGAGGAGGAGAATCGATGCTGATTGAGGCAGAGAGGAAGTGGGTCGATTGTTTGCTGCGTGGAATTGGTGCTGCTGTTCTGTGAAACGCGATTAACCAGCCTTCTTGCCCACGCAATCATTTATTCCATGGCGGTACGGCCGCATCATCAGGATCCAATAATACTCGTGACGTCACGCGCCCTGCCGACCTCGAAGAGAAACATCCATGGATCGATATGGACATGTCCGTATTTGGTCGTTATGTCTTCCGTAGCCATGCCTACACCATCAACAATGCAATGTTTGCRTCGCCGTCGTGCATGCCGTGGTGTGACTTCATCCTACAAGGAGCATTGGAGCATTGAAGGGAAGGCGGGAGGCATTGGATGGCATGGCCAGGCATAGCTCTCGTATAGCTCGTATATGCATACATCACCTCACGTCAAGACTTCTATCGCCTCTTTCTATGCATCGCTGATTTGTACACCTTCTCTGGCGCCATGGCTTTCATAACGCCGGCATCGTGCACCCAACGGTCTCTCTCACGCCTTCTTGCACTCCCTCCACATATTCGACGCAACCTATACTCAACGGCCGCCTCGTCCTCCAAGCCTGAAATCTATGATCTCGTCTGCATCGGAGGCGGACCGGCTGGTCTGTCCCTCATCTCAGCGCTGCGATCCAATCCCTCCACCCGAAACCTCAAGATTGCTCTGATAGATTCCCAAGAACTGTCTCCGCGAACTTCCAACGATCCCAACAATTACTCCAACAGATGTTCATCCTTGACGCCATCTTCCGTCAGCTTCCTCCAGCAGAATGGGGCTTGGGATCATATTGATGTGTCACGAGTACAGCCATACCATAGCATGGACGTGTGGGACGGCGTGAGTGGGAGCAAGATTCAATTCGACCCAATGAGCTCGGGAGGCTCCATACTCGACAGCATTGCTCAGATGATCCCGGGGAGTCGGTTGGCGGAGAGCAGGAGGCATGACATTGTCGAGGTCGCAACAATGTGTGAAAACTCCAACCTGACTTCAGGTTTGCTGCAACGACTTGGGCAGGCGGGAGTGGCCGTTGAAACTTTGGACAAGACCAAGGTGCAGTCCATTGAATTGGGACCGGAGCCCGTAGACGAAAAATCGCTCGATCTATCGCAGTGGCCCATCGTCACTCTGCCCGACAACCGGTCTTTGGCTGCGAGATTGCTTGTGGGTGCAGACGGTGCCAACAGTCCTGTACGCCAGTTTGCCGGCATCTCAAGTCATGGCTGGGACTACAACCAGCATGGAGTGGTGGCCACCCTGCAGCTTGATCGTGCTTTCAGTGAATTTGATCTCCGCACTGCCTACCAACGCTTCCTGCCCACAGGGCCGATTGCGCTGCTACCACTCCCAGGAAACAAGGCTAGCTTGGTGTGGTCCATCTCCGCACAGCACGCTCCTAGAGTGAAGCAAATGACACCCCCGGAACTYGTGGAGATGGTAAACGCTGCTTTCCGACTCATGACAGTAGACATCAACTACCTTTTAACAAACCCATCTGCTTCTCCATCGGAGGAGCTATCATGGCGCGAATCCAACACCGAGGCTGTCGAGACTGGGCTGCCCTCGAGTCTTCCTCGAGTCATTGGTATCCAAGAAGGAACAGTAGCTTCCTTTCCACTCCGCATGCGCCACGCATCAACCTACACCGGCCATCGCGTGGCCCTCATCGGAGATGCCGCGCACACCATTCATCCACTCGCCGGTCAGGGGCTGAATCTCGGACTTGCAGATGCAGAGGCATTGGCGAAGCTCGTTGCTCGAGGTGTCGACCATGGCATGGATATTGGCAGCTGCTGGTGTTTGGATGACTATGATTCTAAGCGCTGGGCGGCGAATAACGCTATGCTTGGTGTGGTCGATAAGTTGCAGAAGCTGTATTCGGCTAGCTCGGGGCCGGTGGTGTGGGGAAGGAGTCTGGGGTTGGATTTGGTGAATAAGTTGGCGCCGCTGAAGGGTGCTTTGATGGGTGCTGCTGCTGGGCGGTGATGATTTATGCATCAATGCGTCACTTTCACTTGAGCATTCGCGCGCGGGCAACTTTCACGAGCCGCTGACGTTCACAAGCGCGGGTCAGTTTGAGAGGTACTTCGATCACATATCTTCTCAAAGCTTCCTCACCTTTATCCAAACACAACCTCGACATCATCTCCATTCTCCAACAGTCCAACGGTGACCTCCACCATGGATTCTGCTCCTCTCATTGGGGCATACCAGCGCTACAAAGCCGGCACCGAAAAGCTGATTCAATGGCTCTTCGACTCTGCGAGCGCATGTGGCCCAGCTGCGCCCTCGAACCGTCCGAGAAGCAAGCCGAAAACTCAACCGGCGAAGAGGGTCAGAACCGACGAGCTCATTCCTCTGGCCCAGAAGATCATCGCGGCGAAAGACCCTACCATCGACATACCGCTGAAGGTGCTCGATTGTACCAGAGATGCGATCAAGGGACGGCAGCAGTCTGCTCTTTGGTATGCGGACAAAGGAGATCTCATGTCCAACTCCACCCATCGGCACTTCTTGACTATACTTGAGGAGATCTTTGAGATGCTCAAGCGTGAGGTCAAGAGCCGGCGTCCGAAGCGGAAGAAGAAGATTGAGCTTGCTACTGATTCGGCTGACTTGAGTAATCTCTTTTTGCATCTGGAATTAGAAGATCCTAGTATCGGTACAGACGAGGCGGACACATTTGACAAGCCCAAGAGGTCCGCAAAGGCTCAGCAACCCGTCGAGTTGAAAATGTCAGAGGAGGATCTTGAGAATGAGAGGCGCTTTTCAATCTGGTGCTTGATGGATGACTTGCACAAGATTCGTATTCATGTGCGCGGTGTCTGGATGCAGTACAAGGATGGCGACTTGAGCCTGCAAACCACATGTGAGATCACCGACCGGGCCATCTACATCATCTGCGAGATACGAGACGACTTCTTGAATGCGAATCCAACCCTGGACTCGTGGAGGAACATCTTGTGTTGTATTGGACTCGATCGCTACATTCGTAATGCTCGTGGTATCGCGCCATGGGTATGTTCTTCCAAAGATCACGAGCACGAAGGTCCATCTACCACATGCCATTTCGATCGCTTGTGCATGCCTGCATGGTGTGCACTTGAAGAGTTTGAACGGCTGGTGTGTTGGATCAAGTATCAGCAGCCCTTCGATTCTCCAGGAGATAGGCCGGTCTGCGCCTTCACGGCACATCCATTCGCAAGAGCATTACTTGACATCACGGCTGATCTTGTCCAATTGGCCCCGAGCCGCCGTTCAGAATGTCCAATATTCGATCGATACACTGAGCTTTTGCTCCGGATGATCGACGAAGATCAGACATATGGGCCTCATAACTTGGTTGCAACGCAAATCTACATGGACGTCTGGGACGTCCTGGAGAGCTGCCCCGAGAGGGCTCTACTGGAAGCAAATGCAACGATAGAGCAGGGAGCCGAGACGACACGCAATTTCAGYGAGTTCTCGAAAGCTTGCAGCTCCGTCAGCACCAAGAGCGAGATACGAATGGACGTTACAGGTATGTGTCGCGACTGATCATCCTATTTGAGACGAAGTATGACAGCAACTGACCTCAACGCCTCTCTCGTGTAGGTGGACCTATCGCAAAGCCTTGCCATAGATGCAAAGTTCATCAGACGCAGAAAGATCGCACTGGCTGGACGTACCAAGCAAGTGAAAGCCAATCGCCGGTATTCATCCCATCCAATGTCCTGGCCACGCTGCCAGTGTTCTGCGGAGTTACAGCGTTCCGCGAACGAATCGACCTTACGATACACGGGAGTCGACTTTGCGACGCCAACCAGTTCACGCTTGCCGCTGCCCACCTTTACAGAGCAGCCATCGTGCAGGGCTCGCTCAATACCAGATGGGATGACATGGAGTTTGTGATAAGCCGCCAGAACTCACGAGACCGTTTCGTCGGTGACATGGAAGGTCAGGAGTGCGTCAACTTTGTTGCGAGGCAGTACTGCCTTGCACTGGGTATGAACGTGACGTAAGTGGCCGGCAAATACCACCCGGCCATTCCACCAGACAATACCTGTGCGAAGAAAGCCCGCAAAATGGACATAACCTCGGCCTGGCTTCGAGCCGAGACAAGCCAGAGAAACACTCCTTATGAGTTCTTCTACGAATGCGCGAGGAGCTACATGGAATTCCACAAGGATCCTGACCAACGGCTCACCGCCCAGTGGCAACAAACGAAGAAGTTGACACCATGCCAGCTACTTCTGATCGTCCAAGAGGTATTGGTCGAAGATGAGCGCTATGTCAACTTTGATCTTTACAGGTTCGCACGACGGTGCATTGACTTGACCATGGAGTGCTGCGACACATTTTTACGTCGGGAAGGATTCCCCTCGAAGATTGATGTCCGACGGCCAATGCCTTATGTCGTTGCTGGCGAGATTCTTTGGGCGGCCGCGGGTGCAGCAAATCGGGGTCTTGACAGGTCAAAGACTTCGCTCTGCGCTGCAGCAGAAAGCATGCGAGGCTTCATCGATCTACATGGCCGGGAAGGCATCGAGCAAGCAACTCAACTGTCGAGCGGCCATATCCCACCGGATCAAAGACCCCTCATTCGTTACAGCAACGCATTGAACAAGACTGGGGACCTGGCGTCATTCTCTGGCCTCCTGAAAGTCGAGTTTGAGCCAATCCTTGAGTCTGCCTATGTTGCAACGTCAGCCGAAGCAGAAATTTTGGAAGAAGCTGTCCGTCCGTGGAGAGAGTGGCTAAAGCAAGGACCGTTCATCCATGACAAAGTTGACCAAGTCATCGCCATCGTCAGCTCTATCGCAGACTCTCAGCTTGAGGAGGCCGGCGTTGATCGATTCGCCCACGTTAGTCTCGGTCAAGATCTAACGTTGCTGGTGCGAAGTATGGGCCGTGAAGAATATATGCTCTCTACCTGTCCGGTTGCGATGGGGATTCTTCAGAGGGGAGTATATGTGATGAATGGAGACTTCCTGGTTATGCCATCGATCCGTTTGCAGGTATGAGCGGCAAGGTGTATGGATTTCATGCGGTGATTCCAGAATGGCTCGCTGATATGTCTTTTTTCTTTGGGGAGGTCTGGACGTCGTGCTTCCATTACAATGGATCAGAATGTATCTAGCGCAGTAGCTACACAAAAGCTGTATTTTGACTCCCCAATTACTACTGGCAGACGTGGGACTCGAATTGCTATTGGCAGTGCCACGCTCCGAATCAATTTCTGCGGCGGCTCTGCTTCGATTCCTCCTCTGTTGATCAGAATGAGATGAGATGCCGTCTCTCGGTGTAATGATCGGGCAAACGATGACAGAAGTGTGGCGTTCTGATTGATTGATCGGCCGGCCGCGGCGAAAGCGATAACACTAGCTATAGTACTTGCCGCCAATGCAGTTTTCGACCTTTACAAAACTCTCCAAGCTTTGAAGTGATCGTCTGTCCGACTGAATCCGATTACATTCCGTCTTTAAGACCTACATCCATGATCATGCGACCAATTCTGACGATCCTACCACTCATTGGCCTCGCCGTCAGCCATCTACACACCAAAGAACAATCAGCTTCACAATATCCCCTCTCGGAACCGCATCTCACCATCAATGGCATTCCATTCAATACACGAGTCCACTGGATGCGAAGAGCAAACCAAGCCCTCTCAGACCTCGTCTCGCCATGTCCCTTTGGAGCTTTCGGAACCGTGGTCGTGAATCACACTGATACGACTGGTCTGGGTGAGTTGGTCTGTATAGGAGCCAATTCCATAAGTTCGACTGGGAATCCCACTCTGCATGGTAAGTAAGCATATTTTACATGATGAAGAATGTAGCCTATAGCTTCTAACACTTAATCCAGGTGAAATCGCAGCCATCAATAACTGTACCTCAGTCCTCACATCCCCAGATGGACCCTATAAACTCACTCCCAGTGAAGCTCAAGCCGCCTTCTCCAGTCTCTCCCTATACACGAATGCGGAAAGCTGTCCCATGTGCGCTTCTGCGATTCGATGGGCTGGATTCCGGGAGTATATCTACGGAACTTCTATTGATAGGTTGATTGAGAAGGGCTGGGGGCAAATTCGTGTGGGTTCCATGGAGATTTTCAAGCAGAGTTTTGATCTGGGTAGTGCGGGGAGGTTGATTGGGGAGGTGTTGACCAATGAGACGGATCCGTATTTTTCGTGGCAGTATGATCCGGAGTATCCTTGTCCGGCTGGGTGTGGGAGGGTTGAGGGGAGGTGTGTGGAGGTTTGAGATGGGGGGAGAGTACTTTTGAGAGATGTGTGGTATTTTCGTTGTGATTAGGTGTCTCGTTTCTTCTGTCAGTGTCCTGGTAGGCTGGCCAACGCCTTCGTGACATGATACTACCCTCCTGCCGACCACATGGATTCAGTCACGACAAAGTAGAGGTTCACTGGGAGACTGACAGAATTCTGCGGTTGGGAGGAACGTTCAACGCCTTTTAACAAGAGTTTTGCTACCGGCCTTGAATGTTCGTGTAACGGTGGAATCGAAACCGTTTATTGAGAGTCATCCGCTATACCTTACTTACTATTGAACACTTGCTCACGACCTATACCAACTTTCCTTCTTCTAAATTTCTTGATTCAAAGTTAGAGACCTTCTGTTCTGAGGCGTAAGACGCTCGTGTGTACGGCATATCGTGTAGTCGTGATCTCGCCAGATGTCAATAAACTCGGGTCCTTCGACGTTTGAATTCCAGCCGATATAATTATACCCGCCATCTACATCGCACTCTAGTGTACCTTAGTCGCTTGAAAATCTTGGTTCCCACTGCTATACTWTCATGTAATTGGATCGCACGTCCGGAGTCATAGTGGCTAGATGGAAGTTTGAAGATCGGGATCGGATATTCTCATCAGCCACTATCGCCTCCTACTCTACCTTATGCGGGAGGCGCGTTGAGGTCGTTGAACTCTGCATACCAGTTGTAGAGCTTCTCTCTGCTATATAAGTCCAACATTGCTCGCCCCATGTCGAATGATTATCAGCAAGACTATCTCATCAGCAAGACTACCTCACAACCAAGACTACCTCGCAACCAAGACTACCTCACTACCCAAGACTACCTCACAACCAAGACTACCTCGCAAGCAAGACTACCTCACAAGCAGCTCCCCCGAACGATCCAACACTTCACCGATTCCACTCTCCCCAAAAAGATCCAACACTCCACCTATCTCGCCCTCCCCAGTCCAAATTCCATATGTATGGCTTCCTCCAACAACGAATAACCCTTGAAAAAAGACTGACATCTCCACACAGACCATCATGCAGTTCACGACAGTACTCATCGCAGCCCTTTCGGCTTCATCAGTTGCAGCGTACTTCAAGAGAGGCCAATCCTGCGGCGACAGCGTTGCCTGCCAAACCAACTGCGTTGGCCGACGCTACTACATCGTCAACAACAACCGCAAGAACTTTTATTTCGGATGCTCCCTCGACCCCACCCCCGAGCGAGTCCAAACCTCTGATAGCAGTCTCCTAGACTCCCCTGTTCTGGGATTAACGTCCCTGGACAGTTCGCTCGGGGCTCTGGGAGGGATTGAGGATCCCCTTGCTCTTGGAGCGACTGATGATGCCCTTGCTCTTGGCGATCTTGGGGACCTTGGAATTTAGCGCGGGAGATTCATTTAAGATTACTTCCAGGAATGGTTTGATCAGCTTGGATTTATGTGGAGCAAGGGTGCTGGTATTGGAATAGACAGCCGCGCCATAGCTCATTCACTTCGGGATATATACATGGGGCTCTCGCAGCCCGTAGTTTAGTCGATTATGCAATGAATATATATATGGGGCACTGACAGCCCGTAGTTTAGTCGGTTATATGCAGTTATTCACATTCACCTCAGCCCTGGAATAAACAGCCCTAGAAGATTCGATAACGGATATGATATAAACGGCCCTAGAAGATTCGATAACGGATCTGATGAAGTGTATCCCTAAGCTAAGTTGATGCGATGCGATAAGAGCAGAGAAGAGTGTAGTAGAAAGAAAGGCACTACGTAACTGAAATGTGAAGAGAGCTAACTAGAAGCTTTAGCTCCACGTTGAGAGGAATCTAGTGAAATGTCATGATTAGTAGCGGCGGAGTTTTAGCAGTAGCGTGATTTGGCAACGGTTTTATACGTTGTAACTCCCGTGCGTAGGGTCTCCGGCGGTCTTATAGCAGATTCTCTGAGCACATTGTAGAGCGGGCGATATGGCTGTGTTCATACATCTATAGTCGAACGTGCTCGGTTAAGACTCGAGAGCTACGTAACCGTCTCTTGTTTACAAGCTATACTTCATGTACAATGGTTGTCTCTAATGAAAGTCAGAGTATGTCGATGGTATATAATGGAAGGCAGATACTATAATAATCAGGCTTTGTTACTAACCGTGAGTGACCTTTATGTTGGTTCATCACATGGCATTCACGACGTATGCGTATGCTTCGTAGTGTTCCTGTTCTCGCAGTATCTGGAGATACCTTCACTGTTTCTTTTACGTGTCCTCACAGTATCTACTCACCTTCACGCATAGACCGTACTGAAAGAGAGCTTGTACTTATTACAACAACTAATGCTAGCATACGACACCAAAGCTAAATTACACTTATTATAGAACCCAAGACAAAACCATGTCAAACTCCGTTCTAGCCAGTAGCATCAATCCAGCATTAATCCAGGAAATCAAGATCAATCGTTTCTTGAATAATTGTCCTTGGGGCTACATATGGCATTAGCAAAAATAGGAAACCTGCCCAAATCATGAAGGTACTTCCGCCCCCATAAGACAGAATTTAAAATTCGCGAAATCGCGTTCTGTTTCTGCGCAGCGAACGACTTTTTCGACGGTATTTGCGCGGCCAGCACCTGTAACATTGTCAGTACAAGTACTCGGACATATAGCGTTAGTCTGRGCGTACTTGTGCCTAGGCAAAGGCTTGAAATTATGAGAAGAAGCGTGGCGGACTTCATCTTGATTTGATGGATGTTGTCTGGTTGATATTGTCTGGAGGGGTTTGGTGGGAGATCTGTGGTAGTATTTTTAAGAGATCAAGAAATGGCGGCATGGTTTATATATACGAGAGGAGCAGTTGTCGCGATCGACACAAATGAGCGGTTGGAATTGAACGGCGAAAGCGTTCAATCAATTGCCGTTCAGATCTCGGTACTACCCTACTCTCGTACTGGGAGGCACATACCCAAATAGTCCAAAGGCTTAGAGATGTCTCATGTTCCTGGAATATTTCACGACCGGGAGGGAAAGTTATGAAATGGTCGTCTTCTGAACATAGCATAGACAAGAGCATGAATCGACATCACATTTTCTTTTGACCTTTCTGTTACCAAACGCAGTCTTAAAGAACGTTCAAACCACGTCTCCGGTTCCGCCATATCCTGACTTTGGCAAAGATACGTGGTCGTCGAATCCTTGGCAGAATTATCATATGAAGAAACTCTAACATACACTCGCACTCTCAAGTAATTCAGCGATTTTTGAAACCTCTCCTCTAAAATTCTCAATCCGATCAGATCCAACGCCTATTACCCAACATTCACCGAATCAGCTACCGCTCATCCAGCAGAAAGGATCCATCCATCAGAATCATGGCCACCATTCCCAAACTACTCCGTGCCATCCGMACCACTCCAACCACAGCCGCCGTCGTCGTCCGCCGCAACAACTACACCACAGGACCATTCAAAGACCCCTGGTCATATCCCGCCAGCGCACGAGAATCACCCCAATCCTTCCGCGAAGCAAAAGTAGAATTCACTATCCCTCCCACCAACAAAACTCCTTCACCATCCCCCATCCTAGCCGCTCTCACTACCACCACTCCAAAAGCTAAACCCGAGAAGATGACTCTTTCCGAGATCGAGAAGTCTCCTCATCCTATGACTTTGAAAGCTTCTGTCGGACCAGCGCAACATATTGAGTGGAACAGATATCCCTATGATTTTCTTTCGCATCTTGATGAGAATGAAGTGTTTTGGGGATTGCGGCCTGCTTTGTTTTTCCCCGTTTATGTGAAGGAGGTGAAGGAGGTGTGGGAAGGGAATACGGAATACACTCTCCATGGCCTGTAAGTTTGGCACAGGAGGAGAGGTTTGTTGCATTTACATGGAGGAAGTCAAGTAGGGGTTTGGAAGAGGCGGTTTTATTGTTATGCGGCGTGCATTGAGTTGGTCTCATTGCAAGGATCGCATTCGACGAGCTCAGCTTCACTGAGAACAGGAAAACCATGTAGGTGGAAGCTAAGTTGGAGGTATCAAAAGTCACATTTTTTCCAAAGGACGTTCACTCTTCTGAATTGCACGCCAAGTGAAGATTGATCTGATCCGCCTCTAGGACCTATCTACACGACATATGTTCGAATGACATCTGTAATATCGCCTAGTGCTGTTGTATCCTTGGACAAAATCAGGCATTGCGACGTCTGATTTTGACGAAGCTCGCGTCGACTAGAGGGCGACTATGGGGTGCTTTTGGCACTTTCGAGCCAGAAACACCTTGCAGATTGAATGAAGCCGCCAGCATCGGAAGGACAAATCGCTAATTGGACTGGATCATTGAAGCGGGTCCACAACATACTCGAAATCCGACGCATTGCTCTGATACAATAGATTGTGAAGTCCAGCATTCAAAAATCTAAAATAACAAGACCGTACAAACCATCTCATTCCGGGGTATTCTCCCTAGCAATCTCCATAATCATCTCCAATACACCATGCTCTTCCTTCGTAAAAGGTGTAACATCGTCAGATTGTAGACAAACCACATTGGAAGCTCGAACATCCCATCGGTCCCGATTCTCAGGTCTCAAGACTTGTGTCGGTTCCTTGACATATACATCAAAGGTCTGCATTTTTCCATGATCTTCCTTGAATTTGCTGGTTGCGATCCAGCCATTCCACCATAATGGCTTGCCTGCTCTGTCGAAATGGAGTAGTTGAGGGGAACACAATGTTGGGATCTTTGGGGTGTTCGTAGTGTCCGGGGTTGGCAGAGGTGGTACGTCGCTCTCAGTTTCCACATCAACTGGATTCAGCTTCGGCCTCCTCCTGGAAGCGCTTTCCCTCGCAAGATGAGCTTTAAGCGGCGTCAACGACTCCTCAATGTCTTGCTCCGTTTCCAGCGTACCCATGCTGCCAGCCACACTGTCATGAAAGGAGTATCCCGGATCTCCAGCCAACTCCCAGCTAAGCCAGAATGTCTCCTTGTCTCCGTACACCATGTCATAGATGCCTCTCTTACCCTGCTCGGGATTTCCATCGCGATCAGGCCCATTCAGTCTTGTAGTCAACAGCATAGGCACGAAATGTCTCCACTTGTCGACCAGAACCACGCCGGAGTCCTGCATGTGGACGCTCTCACCAGTCCATAGTCGGTTATTCCGCTGCACCTTGTCGGAGATGGGTTTAGGTAGCACCTGTCTCAACCATGCTCTTTTGTCATCCTGTGGCGAGAGATTTCGATCGGTGAAGAATAGAGCGCCCGTCTGGATATATTCTTCGTCTTCGAACAGTATTTCGGGATCGACGAAGAAAAGGGCGTCTGCGTCGATGAAGAGTACTTCTCGGAAAGAGGACATGAGCATTGCGAAGGGTTTTGCTGCCCATCCTGATAGTCTTGTTAGCATGCACAATACAACATACCATGAAGCGCACATACCTTTCAAAGTCCAGCCAACATCGTTGATCATGTGGGACAGATCACGAGTGATGACTCCCGGCATGGCTTCTAGCTTGTCTCTCCACTCTTCGTCCAGATCGCCATCACCAAGATACAACACTTCGATTGGGAGCTGGCAGCCCAGTTGCCGGAATGAGGGAATGGATGTAAGAAGGAACTTTGCCTGATCGTTTCCAGCTGTGATGACGATGCCTCGACCACCACTGTAGAGTGCAGCATGCAGAGACATGTGGTCAGGAAAGTAGGCGCCTGTCCAGGGGAACAGATGGTCCGCCATCTTATTGATATACGACCTGAATCGATCATATATCTGGATGGACTTTCGGAGGTTTACAGATGGCAGGTCTAGTTGACGTAGCCTCTGGATGACATCCTGTTGGTACATGGAGCCCTTGTTTTGGACTAGGTGCAGAGCTTCCCACGCCTCGAATGCCTTTTTGAATATCCTCACTCGTAATGCAAGATCGCGGACATGTGCTTCGCCGGTTTCAGCAAAGGGAGCGAGTAGTCCCTTTAATTGTAGCTCATCGGGGAAAAGGGTGGATATGTAGCTCATGGCACTTGCGATGTCCGCATTCGCCTCGCTTCTCTGCGAGGCGGATTGCTCCACCAATTGCTCGTCACTGGGGTAGTTCTCATCCTGCTCCTCGCTCGGGTAGTTCTCATCCTGCTTGGCCTCTTGTGGCTCTTCTAGTAAAGGCTGCTGCTTCCCTTGGGCTGGACTGGGGTATTCCTGCTTCGGACGATCATCCTCGCTTGATCGACGTAGAATCTCATGTATTCCAGGCTCAGGCACATCCTGTGTGTCTTCTTGCCTGCTGTTTGGGGGTATGATGGAAGCCGCACTGACGGAGAAAGGAAAAAATACAAGACAGAGAAGGGTAGCAGTCAATGTGCATGCCAGCACGCGACATATGATTGCTCTCTTTCGATGCCGGGATAAATTCAAAGACGACATTATTGCGGTGCTGCAAAGGAAGATGGGAGAAATCTGCGAGAAAGAGGACGAGAAGGGAGGCTGTCAGGAGGAGATACCTGTCCATGGWGGCAATGATGCAAAGGCTGAGTGCTGGCCAGCGCATGCGGGCAGCGTACTCGCTACCATGTTCGCTTACCATGATCGTTACGATGCGGCTTCAAAGCTGCCTTCCCCGTGTCAGCATGCAGAAGCCACCAGGCGTGATGATGGGCGGTTGAAAGTCTCGGACCCTCAGGCTTGAAGAGGAGTGTGGTGCGGAACTTCCGGGTGGGGCGATCCGCCCCGAGGTCTAGACCCGACAAAGCTTGGCGGCGATCTTGTTCACACATTCACATTCATGTTGTGACGTTCGTGGGTGTATATCCTGTTTCCCGGATGTTTCATGATAAGCATGCAAGGACTGTACGTTCGAGACTTTGTGGAAGAGCACACCGTATTTCCTCATGACAATTCGAAGCCTCGGATCTAGCGTTAGGGTTGGTGTTGGGGTAGTGAGACATATGGCCAACACCGCTTCATGTGTTGCAGGTGGTATGCTTTTGGTTCCTTTCGTCCAGTTGAAGATACTGTTTCGCATGTTGGATCCGGTCGATCTGTTCCTGTTTGCGAAGCCATAAATGAATTCTGAGAGCCAGTAAATTTATACACCGGATGCTCGTGTGCGGAGAACCGGCATTTCAAGAGGTCTTCACATCTCGTCCAGCATGATACCCCAAACATACCCGAGCAAGAGAGATTCAAAAAGATCCCGTCACAGACCCCAATCTGCAAAGTCCGCCCATTGACCTTGGAGCCCAAAAAGCCCTTGTGAGACAAAATGGAAGTCATGTCTCATCTTTGGGCTTCCCAAATCATGGCCAAGAGAAGCAGAAGCTTTCATGAAGAAGAAGAGAGTTGCTCTACATACATACCGTGCTATATGCATGCCTACCGATGCTTAGACTTTGCAGTTGGCCGATCCGACGAAGCGGAAACCAATGACAAACCATCTCAATGGTGCGCGTTTCCCGCGATCCGGGGTGGCTTTGTGGGGTGCGTAACATGAGGCAGCCAGGTCGTCGAGAGGGATGGAAGACGCGTTGACATCATCCACATTGTGTGCGCGGCTGTAGGTTCGATGCAGGATGTAGTGGAATCGTGCCTTTTGAATTTGATGATATTTTGACCAGGGTAACGTCGGAAGTCGTAGTTGGTTCTTCGGAAAATGAACCTTTATTTCAAGCCTTCTAGCAACCGAAGACGCATGACGGTGCAGATGAGGATGTGACACGATTCCGGGTTCTGATGCTCAGGCAGAGATGGCATGACATTCATTCCGTCCTTCTCGCGAAGGGGATGGCGACCTATCAGTCCTAGTCGGCGACATCTCCATTGTCAAGACGCCATTTCGAATAGGATCAGGATAAAGCGTGGTCTAAGATCTTGTCGCGACGCAATGTGCTTCAGAACTGTGGTGTAGGTCAGAGGGACACTTACACCCACGCTGGAGGTCTTCAGCAGCTCCAGGGCACTACTATCCTCATACAGTGTCTAGGTCGCTTGCAGATTGACAACGGTAGGGAGTGGCACAGTCGTGTACTCCTAGACCCGAGGACCGTTTGTAGCCACGTGGCTGTGAGGCTTAAGATATCTTTGGCATTCCTGGGGCATTCTTAAACTCACGAGGTGCCTGGAGCCTAGAGGCTGGTGCGTTTCGTGATTCGGATCTGCATCYTTCCGTGTGGGGAGAGCCGTCACGTGTGTGTTTTCCGGATTGAGAAGCATCATTTGCTTTTGCTGTGGGTTATGGATGACTGGTTTGGAAGAGCAAGCAAACAGCACGCGTCGGAAGATTTTTGGTCAAGAGTGCCGGACGCGTCCGGCATGCGGAAACTCCTGTCCCTCTACTCCGTAAACGACATTCAAAGCATGTGATAGAGTGCTCGAAGGCGCGTCTGCGTGAGGCGAGACCAGCCGTTGGACTGTCGAGAGCTTGAATTTTGAAAGCTCCGCAGCGTGGCAAAGCATGTTTTCCGAGGTGTCACACGTCTTAATTTGAGCGGAGGCGTTTCCGAATGTGGTCATAAGGCAGAGGATTTCGACGTTTTCATTTATCTTGCTTTCGCTCGAGGGGGCTGCCGGTGGTGCTTCGGCKCGTACTCCGTACCCGCCGTCATGGCAATGCTCTACTGAGACAGCCGAAACCCAGGAGCTGAGCAGCTCGTGATGTTGGCGAAGGATGCGTTAGAGAAAAACCACCATCTTATCCATGGGTTACCAGGTGGTGAGTATATAATGAATCGCAGTATGGATGAGGAACTCGCTTGGCTGGTGATTTGAAATGTGATGACGAAAAGGATGATTACGCCACTCATAAGGCGGATCGTGCCTAGCTCATTGCAAACCTCGTTAGCATCTTTCAATAGTACATATACTCTCCGGTTCGAGATTGCTGTGACGACTGCCGGATGGAGACAGGCAGCTTTGTGGGAAGAGCCTCCAAACGTGAGCTTTTTAACAATCGCATGAGGACCCGAGTTCTTGCTCGCTCTTGAGACGAGATCTCCTGAAGTGAGTGTACTCCTGCTGCCCTGCATATACCATGGAGATTATCTTCCAGGTCCCAGGACGAGGGGCAGTGCCGATCGCCCTGTGCGGAGTTGTGGCGCACGCTTGGCCTAAACGGCCATCGCGTGGCTCCGTTAAAATTCAGAGGACACCAGGGACACAGGCGGGGCACCAGGCGAAGTGTTCAAATCGGTCCAAAGCTGACCTGGAAGGCTGGAAGCATGATGATGATGCCAACGATGACAATGCCTGACGAAGCAGCCGAGTGTGATAGTGTCGTATGTAGAAATGGCGCGCCCTCCCGACCATTCTCCGCCATCGCGATTCGTGTGTTGAATTATCATAATAATAATAAGCTGGTTTTATACCGCCGTCCCAATTGTTGGTATAACTCAGCAGTAGCCGCCGGCTCGAGAAGTGTGTATCCCCCTTCATCGATCAAATGAGTGAACGAGACGCCGCCACCACCGACGTCCGAGACTGGGAGGAGCTGGAGGCACGCAGGAGGCGCCGGAGGAGCGAGTATTTCGGACAGCAGCGTGCAGGTCCGCCGCAGATTGTTCAGCCCAGCCCGCCGACCCCGAAACGCAGCGAGATAAGCAGAGAGGAGTTTTGGGCGGCTCTCGACCGCGACAGCGAGAGTGGACCACCGCAAACGCCCTCTACCGGTCCGTCCGAGGCTTCCAGTCGCCTGCAGCGTATACGTGGAAAGTGGACGGCTCTCAAGGAAGCCTTTGGTGCCTGACCAAGGAAAAACGGATCTCGTCGTTGGCGGCTTGATGGTGTTTGGGTCGCCTAGCGTCATCTCTCCCGACTCCTCGGTTTTCCACCTGCAGTAGCGGCTGCAGCTGGAAGGTACCTCTCCGCGACTACACGTCCTCCGCTTCCACTACGCGCTGGATTTACGACAAGTCGTCGTTGTGAATACAGCAACTCGTCACGATGGAGATGAATGGGCTCATCGTCCCGACGGAGGAGACGCGCCCACCGCGCATCGACACGACCGACCTGGCGCCTTCAACAGATCCTACATCCTCATCCTCAATTGCGACAACTTCTCGCTCGCACAGTCCGATATCGTCGGCGCCACCAACACCCAGACCTCGGACATCGCTCTCACGACAATCTTCACAGCATGCCAACTCGCCTGTCATCAACGGCAAAAATTCGCCTCGACCTCAACAACACTCCCCCTTTCGACGTCCATCAAGCTCCGCCAGCATGAATCTGGCACCTGCCTCGCCGAGACTGTCCAAGAGGGGTTCGCGGTCATCGCTCGGCGGTGCGCAGAGGGAGGAGAAYGACAAACGGCCGACGCCCAAGCGATCCATCTCCAACGTCATATCTGGCCTTAGAGACGCGCAGACAAACATGGAGTCCATTGAGGAGCCTATCCCTCTCACTGCCGCTCAGATTGCCACGGAACACTTCACAAGGGAGCTGCTGAGCCACTCGCAGTCTGGTTCCGAGGCTGAAACCGTCGTCATCCTGCATGATGCTTGCTACGGACATCGCTGGTCACGTCTCAAGACCAGCAAGTCGTCCTTGTCAATGATTGTAGAGAGGCCGGAGCGAATACACGCCAGCGTACTGGGAGCCTCAACCGCATATGTTCGTCTTGGAGCCCATCACTCGGGTGCACAGCATGCGCCACATCCTGATCGACAAGAGGTTTCGAAACCACCTTTTCAGATTCGGCGCTCTGCGCGATCGATGCCTATCACGTCTTCGTACGTTACGAATGTACACGGGACTGCATGGATGACGGAGTTGCAGCGAATGTGTAATGCAGCGGGCGGGAGACTGGCAGCGGGCGAAAGGGAACTAGATCGACGGCCAGCGCCGGGAGAGACTGAGGCGCCAACACTGCATCCGGGTGACTTGTACCTCGCTACGGGATCGTTGGAGGCATTTCAGGGTGCTCTTGGAGGGGTCGCCGATGCCGTAGATTCAATATTCACCACAGAATCAAACACGAAACGTGCCTTCGTCGCAGTCCGACCACCCGGCCACCACTGCTCGGCGGATGTCCCGAGTGGCTTCTGCTGGCTAAACAACGTTCATGTCGGTATCGAGTATGCCGCTCAGGCATATGGGTTGACACATGCGGCCATTCTGGATTTTGATCTGCATCATGGAGATGGTAGCCAGGCCATCACCTGGGAGCGAAACAGCGCCAATAATGTTAAACGACTTAATGGGAAAAACAACAAGCAGAAACTCGGCCCTGATATTGGATACTACAGCATTCACGACATCAACAGCTATCCTTGTGAAATGGGCGATGACGACAAGGTGCAGGCAGCGAGTCTGTGTGTTGAGAATGCACATGGGCAATCTATTTGGAACGTGCATCTACAGCCGTGGRAGACGGAGGAAGACTTCTGGCGGCTCTACGAGGAGAGATATCGAGTTCTGCTCGACAAGGCCAGCATCTTCCTACAGCACCACGCTGAGCGCATCAAATCGGAAGGCAAGMTCAAGCCCAAAGCTGCCATATTCATCTCTGCAGGATTTGATGCTAGCGAGTGGGAGGGTTCGGGTATGCAGAGGCACAAAGTCTACGTTCCAACCGACTTCTATGCACGATTTACGCAGGACGTGGTCAAACTGGCAGAGGAAATCGAAGGATGTGAAGGTCGGGTCATCAGTGTGTTGGAAGGCGGTTACAGCGATCGAGCTCTGTGCAGCGGTGTTTTGAGTCACCTTTCTGGACTCTGCGCCGCCCCTCTCACCCCTTTGACAAAAGGCGTTGAAGCGCTCATGGATTTGAGTTCGCAGATGACGGGATTGTCAATCAATGGGCTTGGTTTGACGCAACAACTGCGCTATGACAAGTCATGGTGGTCTGCCGAGAACTTGACTGCCTTGGAAATGAAAGTCAATCCGCCTCCACCTCCGCAAGCAAAAAAGGTCCGAACTGGCCCTCAGCCAACATATGCCACCCCGACAGAATCTTTCGCTTACAAGGTCGTTGACACGAACAAGTTTGCTCGCTCCATTGCCGGGACTATGAGGGACGCTCCAATACCCACACGCGGACCAACACCTCCCCCACCGGAGGTTGACTGGGTCGTTGCCACTCAAGAGCTCTCCAAATTGTTGATTCCTTCGGAGAGGCAGACCAAGAGCTTCACCGCAGAGGAACTCGGAGGTGTACGGGTGAAGAAGGAACCGGCAGCTCCAACACAAACTTCCGGCGATGCCACCCAACCTAGACAGCTGCGAGATCGTAAAGCCAAAGGTCCCGTGCAGTCCGACAGCACTAGCGACGATCTGGAAAGTGTTCTTTCTGCAAGCCGCGCCGAAAACAAGGCGAACAGACGCGAGACGATCACAGTCTTGCCATCCGCAACTCCAGTACCGCAGAGGAGAGCAAGCCGGCGTCTTAGCGATGGCAGCGCGTTGGATATCTCGAGTAATGCGATCGATGCAGATGCGCCTCCAATGCCGATACTTCCCTCTGAGTTCACGAACGCCTCGCATGGCGGTATGAAGCCACCGCCTGTGCCTGCCGCTGGCTCACAGATCAACAACAAGAAGCTTCGAGCTCCGAGCAAGCCAAGAAAAGCGGGCTCCAGTGCACCGACCTCCCCCAGATCAAGTACGAGCTCTTCAGTTGTCCCTCCACGCCCAGTCAGTCGCGCTGGGAATGCGACTGTCGCTGCGACGCCTACCACAGCGTCGGACGGAATCGATAGCATCACGGCTGGCATGAAGAAGACTAGTCTGACGCTCAAAAACAGCGCCACCAAGGAGGAGCACGATGCGAAGCAAAAGGCCAAGCTGGACGCGGATCGGAGAGCACGAGCACTAAAAGCCGCTGAGACCCGGAGGATCAATACTGCGGCAAAGAAAGTAGCGGCAGAGGGTGCAGCGCGAGCTTCAAATTCTGGGCCGAATCCCAGTGCAGGGAGTGCAGACATCAAATCCGTTGTGAGAAGTGGTCTCCCGGTGCCCAAGCCAGCCGGCGGGGCTATCAATCAGTTCCCAGCAAAGAAAGAAGATGTGGAGCCGGCTAAGGGACTTCACCTTTCACAGCCTACTACGGATTTCACGCCTGGAGACTACGCTATGCATGCGAACGGCGCGAGTCTTGTGCGAGATGTTGCTCAAGAAGAGACACCGATTATGCCGCCGCCTGCGAAGCTTACCCCTGGTCATGCACCATCGGCATCCAACCAACCCCTGTTCCTGCATCAACAAGCACATACATTGCCTGATCCCACCACAATAGACACAGAGATGTCAGAGAACACAGCACCTTCCATGGTATCCAACATTGCAGGGTTCAGTACAGCGCCTCCACCTCCTCAAATGCCCGTCGTCCAGCAGATTCCAGAACACCAGTTTTCGGCTCAGGCGCCACCACAACCCATGTCGAGCAATCCTATCTACATGCCTCCTCTACCGACCATGCCGACCAACGCGGGGTATATGCCTCCACCCTCCATCATCCCGCCCACGCCTCCCCAATCATCCAGCAACAACGGCCGTACTTTGCCCGTCTTTAGCAGCACAGGACCTATTCCCTTTGGCACAGCGCCGCCGAAGAAGCCAGAAGAAGAGGGTAGTAGTATATGGGATATCCCGGATACTCCTGCGAGATGAGAAATAGATTTTCCTCTTTGTGTTTTTTTGGAGTCTTATCGTTTGAGGGAATGAAATGTGTGTGTTGCGTTCTATGGATGATACCCCCCGGCAAAAACACGGACACGCTTTTTTGTCGACGTTTTTTTTTTTGGGGAACGAGAAATGCCTTTGGTTTTAGATATTGGGAGGGAATGAATTCTGAACTTCTTTGATCCAACAATCTGATGAATCTTTTGCAAAACAGATTGAGGCCGTTGGTCCCTAATAGTGCCCCAAGGGGGAGATGGGGAGTGTCGTGATCCAGAATTCGTCCGGTTAGGTGTCGGAAATGCCAAAAGGTAGATGGATGTGTGTAATCTTAAGCAAGCAGGACTCGCGCCCGTTATACTTACTGTTAGCAACCTCGATCGTCTAAGGTTATCAGCAAGAGTCGATCTAACCTGGATTTTTTTTTCTCTCGTGGCAGTTATGACTAACAGACAGCCGACCGCTACAATTCTCTTGAGTTCTCGCAGTCTAAGTACCTAATCCTAATCAGATTTTTTCCTCCCACTTCTAGTATTATTATAATAATCCATCATATCAAAGAAACTCTTCCTATACTTCCTCTCCTGCGTAGTACAATATTAACAAATTGCAAACCATACGTACTCTCAAAATCCCCCCCACTCCCAATTATCAGCGAAACACCAAGCCAGCGCACCAAGAACATTCACGTGGTCTTCCCAGATGGCCTGTAGCATAGCTTGTAGGAAGCTGAGATAGTATTGACTGCGAGCGGTGTCGAAGAGTTGTTCCGTTAAGGGGAGTTCGACTTCATGGGGTACGGAAGAATCCGTATTCGGTTATGAAGACTGGTTTGCGGTAGGTGTTCCAGGACCAATTTAGGTAGGCACGTAAATAGGTGGGAGTTATGTAGGGGAAGGTTTTGGATTTTGTAGCCGATGTTCCAGCCGGWGATTGTTGTGGATTGCTGTGTTACGCATTGAGGGTACAGAGAGGGTGCGAAGGGCCGGTTAGGGAGCAATTTGTGATGCTACTGCCATCTGGTGGAGCGGAGACAATGGTTGTGGTGTAGGCGTCGATGGCGAAGTAGTCTGCTGTTCCGTTCATGTATGTGAGGTCTTCTGCCGTTAGAGGTATGTAATCTGGAACCGCGAGTTTGAATTGTTCGGGGGTAGTCTTGACCTAGGAATAGGGGGTTGGCTAGGACTCCGATCTCTGCGTTGTTGAATTGGTATGCGGCTTCGATGTCCAGGGGGGTTTTCTGCATCTAGAGGAATGCCGAAATTGTCGTTGAATTTCATGCCTACTTTCCCTGTGCCTTTGATCTCGTCGTGGTAAAAGTGCCAAAGGCGTGCGTGGCCTTTGATCACGGAGTAGATAGAGGCACCTCGGTCGACGCCAGTGATGGGTTCATTGATACTGGGAACGGATGGATGTCAGCATTTCATCACACCAGAGCGAGTTTTCGGGGGAGCTCACGTCACCCAAATAATTGGCACTCGATCAGCAAAGTGAGACATGACAATCTTCCCATAGTTCACCCATGCATCCTCAAATCTCGGATCCCCCATGCCATAGTCAAGGAAGCCGTATTCTGGATTGCGACCAATGTATTCTTCGCTGACGTTCGGATAGAAGATGAGGGGCGAGTCGATATGAACGAGAGTTACGATGGGTTTCATCCCTTTCTCGAGGACAAAATTGATAAGATCATCATAGTGCTGGAGACCTTGCTGATTAACTGGCGTTCCTGGGAGTGTAAATGGTAGGATGCGTTGCCAGGATATACTGAACGAGTAGTAAGGCATTCCCATAGTGGCAAGGCGCTCGATATCCTGCTTGTACAGAAAGTAGTTTTCGATGGTTGTGTACCCATGATCCCCTTCCCAAGGTTCTTGATCGAACATGTCGAGCACGAATTCCGGACCAATGAACCTGTCGGCCCAGGAAGGTCCTTTGCCCTCCATTGCAGCAGCGCCCTCGACCTGCGCCGCAGCTCCTGCTGCACCAAGGATGAAATCCGGGGGAAAAGTGTAACAGTCTGTTGGACCAAATGGATCGGTGGGAGGTAGAATCAATTCCGATGTGGGTACTGGCGTGGGGGAAACCGTGGTGCTGTAGATTCCGGTAAAGGTGAAGTTGGGTAGTTGGGCACGCTCCCATTGAGCGCTCCATGCAGCTCTTCCATAAGGCTCCGCCGTATCCGTGGCTTTGGTATCATTGGGGGTTCCAGTTGCCCCATGTCGTTGTGGAGATGGATGGTAACAAGCTGCTCAGGCTCGCAAACGGGGGTGCAAATGTCGTGGTCGAGGTTGGAGAGGCGATTGAAACGGCAGTGCGTCTTGTGGTACTCTGCGTGTAGCCGAAGTTGGAGAATTTGTATGTCGGAGTAGCGCCGTCGTACGAAGGGACGTCAGCCTTTTGATGTGCCACCACAAAGCGGTTGGATTGGTCCAGTATCAATGTAGATTTGCTGCGCGTTGCTCATGGCAAGCAGAAGAAAAAGAGTCTTCATCCTGACGTGCTAACAACCAACAAAATGCAACTCGGGGAAACGAGTAGAGTAAGCCGCTCTGGAACTGAGCGACTGCTTGCTTCGGGTCTACCACCTCCTCCAAATCGAGGAATATATAGTGGAAAGATAGTTTGAGCGAGGTGCTATATAGCGTCCGAGTTGGTACATATTTCAATTCCCACCCAGCGTCTTACAGGAGGGGAACCTCCAGCGGGCTTCCATGTCCTCCCCACAAACCTCACCACCTTTGTCCAACAATTGTCCCCCACTTCGAAGTTGTTCTACAGCGCCCCTTCGCATGGAAAGCTGTTCTCGCATACATAGCCAAAGACCCACTTTCGCCATCATCTCCTAGGATGCTAGAGAGGCCTCTGTGGGGCCGAACAACCTCCGACGGCAAATAGATGCTACATATATATATACATGCCCGTCCACTTCCTCCGAGACCACAACTCCCGTCCCCAACGGAAGGGACAAGAGCAATCCGCCCACTCGTGCCGACAGCTCCCACCTTCCGATCCTCGCCATTGCCGACTTTCCCTTGGTTTTAACATCCGGTGGACAGAGTCGGTCCTTGCTCAGGAATGAAACGTCGTTCTCTGGACATAAGGATGAGGCTCAGTGGACGTGTTAGGTTGGCTAATCTCCTGGTCCGTGAGTGTAAGGTAAGGCTAACTTCATGGTCATGTTAGGTCTCGCCACGCATAGCCTACATGAGAAGTGCATGTACTCAAAGTGAAGATTATCTATACACTATCACCAGAGATCAAGCGAGAGCATGTCTCCCACACATCTCGACACGCACGGCATCATAGTTTTCCCCTCCAACTTCTCCCCAGCTGTCAATACAGTATCCCGATGCTCCGGCACGCCATCCACCACCGCAACCTCACATGTGCCGCACGTGCCTTTTGAACAGGTCGATAAGACGTTTGCCCCGTTTGTATTCAAAACTTCGAGGAGGGTGCGTTCGGGCGGTACGTCCAAGATCCTTCCACTCCTGCTCATTCTCACCGTGAAGCGCCTGTTGACCTGGGCGGATTGATCAAGAGCTGTGAATCGTTCCACATGGAGCGTTCCCGCTGGGAAAGCAGCGCAGGCCTTTTCGACCGCCTCGAGAAGTCTTGCAGGTCCGCAACAGTAGATCTTCAAAGAAGCGGGATCTTCGGCGGCGAGGGAAGCAACGTCAAAAGTTCCATTCTCATCCCGAGGCCAGATTTTAACCGCTGGATCTATAGACAGCTCGGCCGAGAAGGCCATGGAAGATCGTGCGCGTCCGAGGTAGATGAGTCTGTAATTGCTCCCGGCCTTCTTTGTCACCTCCAACATCGATGTGATGGGCGTGATTCCGATTCCGCCTGCGATGAACAGATACCTTGGGCTCGGTTCCATCTTGAAATGGTTACGCGGACCGCGAACAGTGACAGTATCGCCTGGGCACAGTTGTCGGAGTATGTATTGTGAACCTCCGGAGCCTTGTTCCTCGAGGAGGACCGCTATGCGCCACTGTYCGGGATGTCCTACGTTCGAGCACAGCGAATACTGCCGGTAACCAAGAATTCCCACTTTGACATCAATATGGGACCCTGGCGACCAACTTGGTAGCTTTTCGTGGTCTTTTGTTTCCAATACGAGCTGAAGAACACTGTCCGCCACCTTTGTTGCTTGCACAACCCGGAGTGAAAGATCGTCCCTTTTGATGGTAATAGGCGGCTTGGTTGGCAACAGGTCGGCCGGTACCTTGGGTAGATTTTCCGTGTCCCAACAGACCTCCAGACTCTCGATGCCGCGACCCTCGTGTATGCTGTCGTACTGGATCTGATCGTAAGGGATTTTCAAGCGAAGATTGGGCAACCGGCTTGCCAGAGCACGCATCTCTACACGCAACAAGATCCGAGCGAGCGGTGCGCCCAGACATGCGTGGATACCTTTCCCAAACGCGAGATGCTGAACACCTGTCTTGCGGCCCAGGAGGAGATGATCTGGATCCGGGAACTTGGTCGGATCACGACTGCCTGAATTGTACGCTACGAACAATGGCGTACCTGCACTTACGGGACARCCACCGATGGAAGTTTCGACGGTGGCAACCCGACGCATGCCCGTAATGGCCGATTCGTACCGTAAAAGCTCCTCCAAAGCCTCCTTGATGGCTTCGTCATCTTTCGAGACATCCTCCCAGATTCCACGCGACAGCAGGTGTGACATGGACATGSAGAGGAAGTTTGTCGTCGTTTCGTGTCCAGCAAGCAACAGACCCGGGATCATCATCAGATGTTCCATGTCGGTCATCTTGACAATTCCCGCATCGCGCTGTTCCCAGATGTGGCTGATGAGATCGTCGCGACGGTCCGACTTGCGCGCTTGTATCAAGTCCGCGATATAGTCATGAAGGTCCAGGATGCCCTGGATTTGTTCTTCAAAAGTCCCCGTCCGCATTGCTGCGTGTCCCCCGAATAAAGCGAGAGAGCGTCCAATCCACTCCCATCGAGCAGGATCCAGACCGGCAACAGTAGCTATGACCTTCAAGGGCAAAGGTAGTGCAAAGGCGGCTTTAAGATCCGCACTGCCTTGTGTAACGAACTCGTCKATGAGCTGATGAGCCTCACGAGCAATCAAGGGAGCGAAGCGCTCAAGCCTACGCGGGACGAAAAAGGACGCAACGGACTGGCGCAAGCGATCATGGTCGGGGTTGTCCCAATTCAAAAGCGTGGATCCATCCGGTACTTTGCCAGCGAACAGATCTCTCACGAAAGCAGGAGCTTCTGGGATCGTCGGCTTCGAGGAGAAGATATCGGGTCGGTCGAGGATGGAAACTATATCGTCGTATCTGGAAACGACGTGGGCATTGAGATGTGAGGAGAATGGAAAGCCGGGCTGCTTTCTCAAGGAAGCGAAATCGGAGAAGAGGTCCCTTGGGCTTTGGAAAGGACAGGTCGGAATTGTAGTCATTCTGTGCAATTGTAGGGAGTCGAGCAATGCACAGTTTGATTACTTAGCATGCCTACTTCTTCTCGATAACGTCGGTCCATTGTAAGCCGAGTACTCATATATAGCAGACAATCCAACCAACAGGCTTCCTTCCAGTCAAACTAACCAACCTGACACGGAAGTGGATTTGTGGCCGACTCGCAGCGGGGGAGTTTCCATATGTCCACCTCGCAAGTGGGCGGAAAGTGGGCGGGGCTCACGTCTGTCTGCCTTACTCCTTCGGCTATTGATGAGGAGAGCGAGAGAGCTTTCCGATACCGACTTTATATACCGTGCTGCTTCGACTAAGTACTAAGCCTCCACTGAAGCCGGGACAATCACACAGAGCCCTAACACGACCCCATGGAATCAATTAGATATACATATGCGGGGATGTGGTGGGTCCCACCTTGGATGACCTCCGATGCTCGATTAATCCAGCCTCTTTCTATACTTAAGGCATACTAAGCCTTACTGACATCGATATCGCAGTGGATGCTAAATCATCGACACAAGACGTAGACTCATGTTGAGTCGGTTCGCAATCAATACTTCATCTGTCAACTCATTATTATCTCTTCCCCCCTCCTCCCCCTCTCTCTTTTTTTTCCCGTCTGATTTGTCTTTACCAATTTTGATCAATCAGATCATACACACGCTTCCCTTGACGCTCCTTCCACACACAACACCATGGCGACTCCGACGAAAGATCGTGATGCCGCAATGGACCATCTCGAATTCATCGACGAAAAGGCTACCAACAAGCATTCCAATGCCCAAGTCAATGGCAACATCAATCTTCTCGACGACCAAGGCGACGTTCGCCGGATCCCCATCCCATCCTCAGATCCCAACGACCCTCTAAACATGCACAAATGGCGCAAATTGGGAGTCCTAATCTCATGCTGTTGGTACTCCATTTTCTCTCTAGTGCTCGTCGGGGGCGCAGGACCCATCCTACCATTTTGGATCCAGGAATATGCGTCCAGTGGACGAGATGTGACGGAAATCGTCAAGTTGACAACGTATCCAAGCTTGGTTATGGCGTTCGGCAAGTCCCCCCCTCAAAAAAGCGACAGTTTTTTTATAAATATGTCACGTTGACATATGGACAGTGAACATGGCTGACTTTCAGAGCAAAAAGGAGCATTCCTCATTCTTCCCTTATCCATCGTCTTCGGTCGCCGACCAGTCTTGCTGGGATGTTGTCTTCTTCTTCTCGGATCTACGATCGGGGCGGGACTGAGCCAGTCCTATGAAGCACACATGGCTTGTAGAATTCTACAAGGCGTTGCTACCGGTGCGGCTGAATCCGTATGTCTGCTCTCTACATACATTCCGAAATTTCGAATGAATCTGACGTCTTMCAGGTCCTCCCTCTAGTCATCACCGACGTCTCCTTTCTCGACGAGAGAGGGCTTTTGTTCGGATTCTACTGGGGTACACAAAGCTGCGTCAATGCAATCTTCACTATTACTGTCAGCTATCTAGCTGCAGACCTTGGATGGAGGTCAGCTACTCCACCCCCCCTCTCATGTGAGCCTGGGCATTGGACACCTACTAACGTTTCTATCAAAGATGGTTCTACTGGCTTCTAACAATCCTAGTATCTCTAAATTTCCTCCTACTATTCTTCTGCCTGCCCGAAACCCGCTACGCACGAAGTCCAATGTCCATCCGGGGGCAAGAATGGCATACTGATGAGTTTGGCGTCACACGCGTCATCTCTTCACAACAGGCACAGGCACAGGGGCGATTAACCGCGTCTACGATTCCTGAAATCTCCTCGGACAACGTTCTTGGGGGACAGAAGAAGAAGCGATCCTACTGGCAGGAACTCCACCCCATTAGCTCCGTAGCTCCCAATGGATTCAGAATCGGCTTTGGGGTCATTGTCAAAATGCTCTCGGCTTTGAGTTCGCCAGCGGTGATTTGGGCTATCTTTGCTACTTCTATCAGTTTAGGTATGATTTATCCCATCACGGCCTGCATATCTCATGCGAGTGATTGATTGATTTAACATGGGACAACAACTAACTAACTTTGGACAGGCGTTGGTATTTCCATGAGTTTAACCTACGGATTAATCCTCACTGAAAATTACACATGGAGTCAAAGTTCCGTAGGACTTGTTAACGTACGTTACTTCTACTCCATGGACAGGCAAATAAATATGAGAATTTGAACAACGAAGATTGTTCCTCCTTCTAACTTCCCCAACTAATTCTATCTAGTGCGGCATCCTACCCGCAGCCCTCCTCGCAATGTTCTGGGCAGGCTGGGGCGGAGACAAAACGAACCTCTGGCTTGCAAAACGTCGAAACGGCGTGCATCATCCGGAAGATACATTGGTTATTCTCATCTGTCCGACTCTTGTGAGTGGGATCGGGATTGTTGTGTATGCTTTGGCTGCTGCTAGACCTGAGGGGTATAGTTCATGGGGGATTATTATGGGTATGTATATATGTTGGAAAGGCAGATATAATTTTTCGTTTGTGCAAAAGCTGACCGTTGATAAAAAGGATGGACATTGTTGCAATTCGGCTTCATTGTGTGCATTATTACAACTACGCATTTTGCCGCAGAGGCTTATCCGAGTAATCCGGGCCCTGCACTTGTGCTTGTTGTTGGGGTGAAGAATATCGTTTCATTCGGTCAGTCAGTTCTGGAATCTCCTTCGAATGCTTCTCCGATTCTTCCTCATTGGCATAATGATTGACATTTGCAAATACATGGGGCTTCATTCGGCATTCTTCCAATGGTCCATACCTGGAACTATCTCACCGCGTATATGCTGGTAAGTAAAGCAAGCATGACGAGAATAATTTATCTTTTCTCTCGCTCAGCACCGCTGTTGGAGAGTTGAGGATACCAAAACGAATAGCTCTTTGCCCTCTTTATAGGAATTTTCCTGGCGGGGATTCCCATCTATTTCTTAAACCCCAAGGTATGTATATATGCTCACAAGATCTCGTAATCCGAAAGCATCACTTATATGTATAAATAGTGGCGTACTATGATCGTTCAGAGAGAGGGGGAGAATAAATAATAGAGGAATATATTAATAAGAAGTAGCTTGTGAAAGAATATTGTCTGATAATTGTTACTTCGCCCCCTTTTTTAACCCAACGTACTGTACTTCTAACGAGCCTTTTGGTTTTCAAGGATACCTAGGGTAGATCTATGCCATTAAAATCGTGATAGCAACTGAGCTTYGCAGCGTGGGATTGAAAGTTTGCCTTATGAAGAAATTCGAGTCAATTCGTACGGAGTATTGTACTTGTTACTATAGTAAGTACATGATGGTCCGAAACAACGATCCCAATCATGAAGTAGAAAGGACATGGTACATTCAACATTTGGGATTTCCCGGTGGTCACCCACTTTAGTACTGATCAAACGATTACATTGTTTAATAGGCCGGATAGTCTTTTATCTGCGAACGTAGTCGAGGTGGTACTCTGATCTTCCCTTGCCTCCTTCTTAGGCGCTCCTCTCCTCTCCTCTGTTACGCCAGGCCTGTCTCGATATTTAGGCCATCTTAGGCGATGTCTAGTTATACGATAGAGAGTCGGAGTAGTTACTCCTAGACATAACCCTTGCCCGTACCGGGATCTGATTGCAAACAACGTCCTCACCAGCTGAGCTGAGTCGATCCAATCTACTCTGTCCGCGAGGCTTCGGTCGATGAATGGATATTATTGGACCATGTCCAAAAATGAGGCAAAGTCACGCAGATGAGAACTCCGACATGTTCAATATGCCGTACGGAACAAACGAACATCCGGCATTCCACCATGAAGACTTTGCAAACTGCCGTGTAGTTCTTCCGTTGCGCTTTAGAGTTCATGATGTTGAAACAACCAACTGTTCTCGTTGGCTATCCGTCGATCTTCTGCCAATCAAGAGTGCTGAATGCAGATTAGACTTCATCAATTAGGGCATGCGGCTGCAGCTACCGAGGCATAGGTATGCCTAGCATGACCGCCGCAATATCCAATTCAATTGTTGCGGACTAAAGAAATGTCCGCCGTGCCGTTGTGGCAACTACAGCAAATTACACTCGGCCTGCTCTACATATAACCCCCTTCGAAGGGGAGCTGGAAGACATGCCTTCATCGGCTTCGAAAGTCTTCCAACTCCTCACCCAAGACTCCAAATTCCCATCCAATGGCATCAACCTCTTTCAACATCGCCGAGCAGCCGCTCTTCACTCGTCGTAAACTACGTGTAGCTGCAATCGGTGCTGGATTCGCTAGCTTGAACCTCGCWTACAAGCACAAGTACGTGGGCGACAACAGCTACATGGATCTCATCATCTACGAGAAGAACCCAGATATTGGAGGTACTTGGCGAGAGAATCGATATCCTGGAGTAGCCTGTKATGTGCCGGCTCATATCGTATGTACCTTACATGATCACATAATCGAACTCAGACTTACTGATGTGGCATGCATGCAGTATTGCTTTCCATTTGCCCCGAATCCAGACYGGAGCTCCTTCTACGTCGGTGGAGGGGAGATTCTTCAGTACATGGAGAGAACGGTGGACAGCTTTGGACTGAGAAGCTATGTCCAAGTCAACTCCAAATTGACGAGTGCTACATGGTCAGAGGAGAGGGGAAAGTGGCTGCTTGAAATTGAGCATGGTGGGAATTCCATCCGCGATGAAGTGGACGTTCTGATCAATGGCGGTGGTGTTCTGAATAGTTGGAAGTGGCCAGACATTCCTGATCTTGAGAAATTCAGTGGTGAGATCGTACACACCGCAAACTGGAAACCGTTGGAGATGAAAGACAAAAAAGTGGCATTGATAGGGAATGGTTCCTCGGGGATCCAGATCCTACCAGAGCTGCAACGTACAGCAAAGAACGTACACACATATATCCGGACTCCGACATGGATTATCGCGAACGTGCTAGCTGAAATGACCCCTGAAGGCAAGAACTTTGCATATTCGGACGAAGACAAGAAACGCTTCCGAGAGCACCCAGAAGAACTCAAAGAGCTTCGACAGAAGATGGAGCACAGTTTCAACGAATCCTTTTCCCTCTTCCTCAAGGACTCCCCGCAGCAAGCAGCAGCCCGAAGCATCTTCGGCGATCTCATGAAGCAGAAACTCGGAGGCGATACTGAGCTGGCACATCGACTGATCCCAGACTTCCCCGTTGGCTGTCGAAGAATTTCTCCGGGGCCTGGCTATCTCGAAGCATTAACAGCCGACAACGTAACAGTGCACTACGATCCAATTGTGCGGTTCACGCCAAACGGCATTCTCTCTCAACCACCTTACGATACGCMACCAGAGGAGACCAAATTTGACCTGATTGTATGCGCAACAGGCTTTGACGTGTCGTTTAAACCTCCGTGGTCAATGACAGGCCTCAAAGGCGTGAATCTCCAGGAATCGTGGAAAGATCAGCCTGAAGGGTACATGGGAGTCGCGGCGCCTCACATGCCCAATTACTTCATGTTCAGTGGACCCAATAGTCCTCTGGGACATGGCAGTCTCTTTGGAGTTCTCGACGCTTCCTCGGATTACATTCTGAAATGGTGCGACAAGATCGCCAGTCAGGGAATTAAATCCGTCGTCGTGAAACCTGACATTGTTCGCGAATTCAATGATTATTCACAAGCTTGGCTTGAGAAGACTGTTTGGTCGGCGGGATGTCGAAGTTGGTATAAGAATCATAAAGCTGATGGGCGCGTTACTGCTATGTATGCGGGTAGTATTTTGCATTATCGACAGCTTTTGGAGGCTTTTCGGACGGAGGATTTCGAGATCAGTTATTTTAACCCTAGGAATAGATTTGAATTCATGGGGAATGGTATTACTGAACTTGAAGCGAGCGGAGGGCAGTTGGGATTCTATCTTGAAAAGTAGTAAACAGAATACGCCAAGCGTTCAGGAGCTTCTACATAACAACCATTGTTGATAAGTGCGCTTGATATTCACCCTCTATGCTAGACAGCATCGACTATAGACCGGCACACAACATCAATTTCTCCAACGGCAAATCAAAGAAGTTTGGAGATGCATTAATTACTTCGAAGACCAGGCAGCATTCGATTATAAAAGCCTCTCGCAGATTCTCGCACATAGTCAGAACATAATGCGAACCCCAGCTCTCTCTCTGCAATCCAAATCGGACGCTTCTACTCACCTACCTCGTGAAGTACTAACTGTCAAGCAAATCCCCCAATGAGCATGGGCAATAGATCCCCTCGAGACACTCCGAAGACGAAGTTTAGAGAAGAAATTCCTGGTATGGGGTATTGTATCTTAGACACCACTTTGGCCGGAGTTATTGATCCTGATGCTAGTGACGATGGTAAGGAGCAGTGCTCCCACAGTACCACGACGATACAGACTCCGAGACCACAAGCAGATTCCCATACGATGACAATAATACCGGCGACAGCGGGATACGTTGCGTATTGCCAGTTCACCGGCAATACCAAAGCGACCAGAGAGGTGAACACGTAAGCGGCCACAAATGTGGTATAAGCACGGTGTGTCACCATCGTCTGTAACTCGAGGCTTGGTTTGGATAGAGGGTTTGTAGGAGATTTAGGATCGAGCTGGTAGTGCTTTTGGCTTAGGTTGGGGTCTGCTGCTCTTTATATCTTCACGCCCTCCCGAGTTCCAGTGCATGTTTTCCAATCATATTCAATGAGTTGAAGTACCCTCCCGACCAAGCTTCCAGAAAAGGAAAGCATATGGCGTAAGATGTTCCACCTCAGTTGTTGCGTGGGGCTCGTTCGAAAAGCGGAAGCTCGAACTTGACGTGGTTATATCGAGTATGTGATGATCCATCGTGTAGCTGTTAGGCGATCTGCCTGCAAAGAGCTACAGCAGATCTACACTAGATGTACCGTGGCATAGGCAAGGCCTCCAGGCGCGTGGTGCACGACGATGCAATCGCAAATCCCTGACCTGAAGAGGTCTCGATTRCGGAAGGTAATTTCTTCCAAGTGAGAACCCGTCTAGCGCTGAGCATCATTCCAAGTACGGATGAGACAACATAGCTGGCTCTTTTCAAGAGGCTCGGGGCAAGGCACTTGTTCACGCTGCAAAGGTATACATCATCATCCTCATGGCGTTGAACAGCGTGCCATTGTATCTGTAAAGTCAAGCTGGGCAGCGCAACGAGTACATTAGCCACTACATCCCTAGAGAGGAGAAATAATTTTCGAYGCCGCATCGAGCACCGCATCGATCACTTACCGACAGATACACTTCGCGGGATTCCAACAGGAGCTGCATTAGATTGCCCAAATGATTTCGAGAAACTTCAATCCCCAAGCGAGGAGTACGCCGCCAGTAGTGAGTTCTACCATTTGTGTGTCATTTGGATCACGCCAATTGGGCCAGCATTCAATAACATGGGACAGTAAATTCCACGTCCCAGTTATAGACCATGTGACTACGCAAGCGTCAGACAGCCTGCCAATCCATAGGTAGATACCGCCAGATGCGAGAGCGTATATCACTGATATCTCTGATCGTAACCTGCAGACTTTAGCTTTCAATTTCGTATAGTAAAAGCATTTGTTTCTCTTACGAGACGATGAGAATGCAACCCACGCTAACCATCACAGCAGAGCAGATGCGGACGTGAGCTGCGGCATAGTAAGTTCAGTAGAGCGCCAACGCAATGCGGCGCCGAGGATGCATACATACTCTTGTGACTCTGCATCCAATCCAAAAGGAGAGAAATGTAGTCCATTTTCTGATATGGCGGGTCTTATAGTTGTTCCTATAGCTGATCGAAAGAAGCACTCGCATCGTAGAAATTGTGCCCGATGCACAGTCTTACAACCGCCAGCGACGCTTATGGAGTCTCGGACTTGTGAGCTGTCTATCGTTGGTCGATAAGGGGCAGACTGTGCCGCATTGCCGAGGTGAAATGTGATTATAGCCAAGCCAAAAACTCAGATTGCCGGTTGCCGTCTACACCGCTCCTATAGGCTATTGAATTGGAGAGGGAATGATAAAAAAAAGGGGCAAAAAAGCGCAAAAAGTAAGATAGACATTCATCATTTGGGATTCTCCAGTGGTCACCCATCTGAGTACTGATCAAACGATTACATGGTTTAATAGGCCAGAGCGGACGGGATGGCTTGCTTTCTAGGCGATATCCCCTTTGCAACAAATTTCACGCCATGGCATGTTACGACAAATGAAGCCAAAGATGGAATTTCAAAGCCAGAGGCAGGCTGCGTCAATCGGGCGAAGAGTTCGGCAGGCAGCCGCTTACGATAAGTTTTCTTGAAAGCGTGTAGTGATTATACTCAAGTTGCTAGCCTAGAGCCCATAAAAGCACAAGGACTGGATGGAGGGTGTTGGTGGGGAACTCTCGTGGTAACCGAATCTAGGATCATTGCGTACCTTAGCGGCCTAATTGAGCCTTCAACATCTCTCTGCATTCTCGTAGGACTCGAAAAGTGAGATCATGTCTCGATTTTTTCGCTCGTATACTATTACGCGCTGTGGCCGCGTTTTCGTGCCAAGGCTTATTTCGTGTAATACGGCCTATCTCGTGTCGAGCTCGTTAGTGCGGCTACTAATTAAGGCCTATATAGAAGAACGGCTGTTTTATATAATAGGGCTTATTTAATGTCGCTATCGCTAGCGGAGCGAGTAAGGGGGGCGGAGGTAATAGATTCGAGCGGTTAGTAATAGATTCGAGCGGTTAGTAATAGATTAGTAATAGATTAAGAGCGTAGGTTAATAAAAATAAGGCTATTAATAAAGCGAAGGTTAGTATTATTATTAAGTTAAACTTAGAGGTTTAAAAAGGTTACTATCGCTCTAACTAACTAATTACGTGTCTATATTACTTCCTCTTACTTCTCGTAATTATGCGCTTCTATACGCTAGTAGCTACCTTACCGTTAGCCTTTATTATCGCTACCTTACGGCGTTACTTTTTAATCCGCTCCGCCCCCTTAAGTTAAGCCTTTATAGAGGCGGTAATCTTACGCTTACTAGCTCTACGGTAAGGCGGCAAAGCCGGTATTAGATAGGTAGTATTAAGCTATCGAACGGCCGAAGAAGACGGCTCGTTATTAGCCTACGTTAGTATATTACTAGCACTTATAAATAGCGTGTCGCTCGGTAGCTTAGTAGTTAGTATTATAGAGCCTTCCTTACTACTATCGCTATTAATTACTACCGGCTCTTTAAGCTCGCTATCGCTAGTAAGGGACTTATTAGAAGAATAGCCGTAGTTATCTATATTTAAACACGTATTACTAGTGCCGTAATAAGCCTCGTTATAAGGCTAGTTGTTCTTTCGATAGCTATAGGCTTACGTACGGTATATGCTCTTAACGCAGTTATAGGCTATTAATAAATTATTAAGGCTAACTTAGCCTTGCCGCTTTATAGCTATAGACATAGTAATATAGTCGTTCTTATAGCCTACGTAGATAACGAATAAGGCTATCTAATATAGCTAATCCTTTAGAGTAAGGTAACGAGTATGCTAGTAGTTCTTAAGAAGCCCCTATAGTATAAGTAGCTTCTATAGAGGACGTAACTTACTATCCTCGTTCTTATATTGCTTAATAATCTAGTAGTTAACAACTATAGGGCTAAACTTTATACGGTACTGCTTAGGGATTACGTAGCTAACGATATTACTAACTTAAAAGCTAAGTAGATTATCGTACTTCCTAGCTCTGTCTACCTTGTTATTAGCGCTCTGTTAATTAACGCGGAGGAGCTTATCTAGCATACGGCGGCTATTATTAATCTTAGCCGTATTACTAGTACTTAATACGTAGGTTGTTCGTATTACGCCCTTTAGCTCGTACGGAGGTATGTTAAAGATAGCTCTACGGCTAACTAATCTACGCTAGCGGTCCTCTTACCCGGTAGAAGGCCGGTCCGCATCTATATTAGCTATAGGCTAGATATCGTCCTTTTTAAACTACGCCGCTCCGGTTACTAACTACTCGATATTATATAYGTCCGCTAAGGCTATTATAATTAATAGAGCTACGCTACTCGCTCGGCTATTAGAGGTAGAGGTAGGCTCTTTAATAGGCCGGAGCTATAACTCGTCGAATGTAATGTCTATATTACCGTCGATAGCTATAGCTATTACCGCTTCTAAATATAGCCGTAGCTACATAGGAGGATCCCTTCCGAAGAACGCCTTATAAGGTATTATCTTAATAGCCGAATGCTATATGTTGTTATAAATAGAACAGGCTAATTAAGCTACTACGACCTAGCCCTTTAGTCTAAGCTCTATCTTTACTACTATAATACGCCTCTTAAGGATACTATTAGCCTATTTAATAAGGCCTTAACTCTAAGGATAGTATAGAGCTCTATATATAATCTTTACACCGTAGGATTAAAGTAGTTGCTTAATAACGCCCTTAAATTTAGTGCCGTTGTCTATTTGCTAGAGGCTAGCTATACCGAATATTAATATAAAATCCTAGAGGCAAAAGGCAACCTTAATAGCTGTTTTAGAGGTAAGTAGATATACACGGCTAAACTTCGTTTTATAACACTTAATATATAGTAGGTAGATATAAATTCTATCTAGATAGCTTCTAAAATCGATAAGGTCTAGTTATACGCGTAAAAGGGCGCTCTAAGCGGTAATGTGTTCGAGTAGTAATCCCTTCGGCCTCGGAGGCTATATCTTTAGAAGGTTGTATATTTAATAATACTTTAAAACCTCTATAATGTCCTCCTTCGTAATGCCGTAAAAGTGTAGCTTTACGAGAGCTTCGATAGGTCCTCGTCGAGCGTGTCCGAGAGCGTAGTACTTAGTAGTAATAATATTATAGATTTCGTGTCGCTATATAACCTCGTAAACTAAACTATCCTTCTTAATTATACGGAGCCTCTATAACTCT